TTTTGATCTACGTCTTGCTGAGCTCCTTGCTGGCTGCCTGAAGTAGTTACTTGATTTAGACTAGCATGATCTGGGTCATCTTGTGGTATTGCAGTAAATTTTGAACGTGCTGAAATGATTTTTTGATAAACGTACTTGCATGCCATGATCATTAGAGGAGTTTTCAGCAATAGGAAAACTATTGATACAGCCAGTACTGCAATATCTGCGGTGATTCTAAGTCCACATTTCCAATCACACCAACTGCTCTGCTTTAACTCTGCAATCATGTCATTTGTGTGATTTATAGCCTCATGAAATTCCAGCAGAGAGACACATTCTGAATCAAGGGGTGTTGCAGTTGTTCTGGTAGATGCCGGCCGTGTCGCAGGCTCTGTTGTAGGATCTGCTAGTACAGGATTTATTGAACTGGGCGTTGCATTCTGTTGACCGCTTGTTGGAAACCAAATTTTGCTCTCCGTAGAGAAGGACAAACCGTCTATTATGAAGACCAATCTAAAATGATATTCATCGTTGGAGTCTGGGTTCCTCACAGTGACTTTGTACCTGAGAAGAAGCCCGTGCTTTTGGTCCACCTCAGCAGTTATTGCGATTCTCCATCTCTCGCGAAATCCTGTAGCTTGATCATCATCCACAATGACTTCACCATTGGCTATGGTGAGATCTACATTCTTTAACTGCATGTTTTGAGAATTGTTCAAAACATTCATTAACTGGGGTAGTCCCATGCAAATGTCCATCTCCCTGGTTGCATCACTGCCATTGAAAAAAGTCTCACTTCTTACCATGCATGGTACATTGGAAGACAAATCTTCATGGTCTACCTCCTGGCATTGATGTAGCCTATTTTCTTCTTCAGGGCATGTTACCACAGGGAGGTGAGTAACCCCCAAAGCACTCATCAGCAATAGCAAACGTAAGGCCATCATGAACTCTCTGTGTACATCCCCCAATACAGATGTAGATAATGTGATTCACACACATGGGACGCACGTACATAGGAGTCTATAGGACACTGAACAAAATTAAAGCTGTCAGGTTTGCCGTTGGATTTTCCAAAAATAAGCATTAAGTACATGTAGCACCATTAAAGACCATCACAAACTTGTCCTTTAGAATATTGTCGAATATACATGTACATGTACCGTAAGTATGAAACCGTCCATTGCTCGTAAACATCTTCAAATTACTGGTTGAAATGAACTGATGTCATGACCTCACGCGACGTGTTTTGCTGTCTCATGTCCATCGATCCCCTCCTCGTTCGTAGAGTTTCATCTAAAGTCACTGAGATTATTGCCCTAATTTTTTTCTATACAAACAATTGCAGCTAAATAAATATTACATAAAGTAAACAAAATTCTTTTATTTTTTCACGTCTGTTTAGGATATGGAATGATGAAAATGACAAAAAATATTCATAGTTCTGTGATTGTATTTAGTCTTCTGTTGACATATGGGTTTGAATTCCCATTTGGACTTTTGCCCTCTTTTACAATATGTATTCACATTGAAAAGAATGAATGTTCCATAGTGCGTGCTTTTGAGACAATGTTTGTGAGCTGCTCTATCAAAACTAGGAGGAAAGAGCTGCTCAATTGAGATAGATGTCTGGGGCCTGGCACTGTGGGATATAGTCTCACTATCAGCTACTTAGTTTGCATGCATGCAGGGCCCTCAAGTAGCAGGATGTGTTACGCACAGGTACATATAAATTAGGTGCATGGGTACTTATTAAACCATATCAGACTTTTACTATCAAACGACAGAATACATAGATGTACTGAACCTTGCATTTCCTAGAGAATATATATATAATATTCTTTTTAGGTGGTCTGTCAATGACAGATCACCTATTGTTTTCGTCAGAATTTTCTTTCTTTATTTATTTATTTTTATTTATTTCTTCACACTTTTTTGTGCACAGGATAACTCAAGATCGGTTCAATCAATTTCCTTCAATTTTGGCACAGTTATAGGTCATTGCCATGAGACGTGACAGTAACATTTTCAAGGTCATCAAATCTTCATGACGTCATCCAGGCGCCATTTTGTGTTTTGTTTGGTACTTTTTACTCATGATCATATCTTCATAACGGAAAAACATTTCTCATTCATATTTATCATGATTAAGGTCAATATCCGTCCGGTCAATTTCAGGTCAAAAAACATGCGCGCATGCGTACGTCCGCGCGTCAGCTCGCGCGCAAAATTTAAAAATGCTCAAAATCATATCAAATTAATTTTGCATACGTTTTAGGCCATTTTAAGCATTTTGCAAAAAAACGCGCACACGGGCATGCGCGCGCGTTTTTGCGCGTACTGGTATTTTCCAACATAGAATCGCCAATCTTTCTCTGTCATCATATTTGGCACATTTTTTCAAGCATTTTGATACCTTGTTCACCTTTTTCTGACCATTAATAACGGAATGAGCGTCCGTTTAAGATAATTTCCGTGCGTGCGAGCTCTTGTAATACATAGCATACATGGGCAAAAACATGCCTATACAAAATCCATTGTAGCGCTTTAGGATGCAAGGTGAACCCAATTTTTTTTCTCCATATTTTGATAGAGTATGAATTGGAAATATGATTTCATGTCTCATTTGACCCTCAAGTAACTCATGACGTCATCCTAATGGCCTCCCAACTCAAAATTTCAATTTGCATATTATGACGTCAGCAGATTTTTGGAAAATTAATTGTATCTCTGTAAATATTAATCAATTTTCTTTCAAATTTTGATATGTTCTACCTGAGAATATTCTCTACAAATGCACTTTCCACAAAAATTCATTTTGACAATGGTATCATGACGTATTTTTGCGATTAAAGGAGGCATGTCAATTTTTCACATTTTGCGTGTATTCTCTATGGGACATGACTTTTTCTCAAAACTGGATTCTACATTCTCTACTTTCGCGAGCAATATCTCCGTCGTTTTATCTTTGTTTACGCTGAGCTTTGAGTATGTTGTAGCTGAGACAATAAGCTATCGTAAGTGTGCCCCTTATTTTTCGATCAGATGCCGCGATCATGCTCATATTTCACTTACAAAGTGGGATTTGAGAATTTCATTTTCCGTTTACGTGTAAACGCTATGGGAAACGTTTTGGTATATCGGTAACGCACTTGACTTCCGACCTTGAGGTCCCTGGTTCGAGTCCGGGCGTCTCCAACACATTTTTTTTCTTCATTTTTTTTACTTTTTTTACTTTTCAATGATCATAAAATTGAAAACAGACCACCTAATTCGTCACCATGACGAATTAAATTTCTAGTTTTCTTCTTCTTCTTCTGTAGACCAGATTCTGGTCATTTTAAATATATTTTAGCTTCAAGTGTATATGCGGGGGCTCACCCCACTAATTCACCTACCCCCCCCCCCCCCAAAAAAAAAATGACCAGAAAACTTCACATCGGTCCAAATGAATGACATGTGATCCCCATGGCCTCACACACCCAAAAAACCTGCCCCACATGAGAGAGAAATAATAATATTAAAAAACAAACATCAGATACAAGAAGTCAGGAGACAGATGGTTGCATCATACAACAGTTTTGGAATTAACTGCATGTATTGTAGCCTAGCTATGCTCTGCTATGTGTTCTTTCATTCATGCTTTGTGCCCAATGGTAATTATAATAATCAGTAATGATTGTAATTCATTTTGCACAATTTCTATAAACTCAACTCAACTGCACATCATCATGTAACAAGAACACAGGAGAAATGACACTTTATAAAATAAAAATTAGTTGTCAGTAGTCTAAAAGGGTTTTAAACAGGCTTTGATGTTTGATGTAAACATGGGTCGTATTAAAGTCACATAGAAGTCAGCTCTCATGGGGAATTCGACACCGTTCAGGTGTTTACCCAATAACAGGTGTGGTCAATCACCAGGGTTAGCCTTGAGTTTTATGACCATTAGACCTTATGTAATGCTTTGCTTTTCCTTCGCCCGAGAAATCTCCGAGCATGCTCCGAGAGACTAGGGGGTAATTCTTGACTGGCCACCGGGTTTGCTGTGTGCAGATTTGTACTCCCATTAATGGTAATCCCACCAAGTCTGGTGTCAGCGAATTACGACCTTCTGCACATGGAAACTGTCTACCCACTCCCTTTAAGCATGGCTAGGAAAAATGTTGATGAAAATAACTGATTCTTAGGATTTGAAACATGCTTACCTTAATGAATTGAATGGTGGTCATTATTTTACCTGACTGCCAAGAAAGCATAAATGCTTGTAAAGTAAGCAACCAGACGGCCGACAGCTTTAGGTCCTCTCCGAGGGAGCTGGTGATGAGGATTAATGCCTTACCAAAGGGCACTAGCGCATCGCCTTGGTTTCGAACCCGGGTCACCGGATTACTGCTCTTCCGACTGAGTTATCACGCCTCCTTAGGGAGGGAGATTGTTTCAGACTTTGGGTGCAGTACTAACAAAAACAGATTCTCCTAGTAGAGGTGTCCAGTTGGTTGATTGGTTGGTTTGTTTTAATACCTGACTGCTGAGAAATATGTGTTTGCTTGTAAGTAATCAACCAGGGGACCAACGGCTTAAAGTCCTCTCCGAGGGAATTGATAATGAGGATGAATGCCTTACTAAAGGGCACTAGAGCACCAAATTGGTTTCAAACGGGGGACGTCCAGTTTATGAGACCACTGCTCTACCACTGTGCAATGGTTTGAGCTCGACCGCAGATGAGGTGGTGGGTTGGAGCCCCAGTGCAGCACGAGTGTCCTTTGCCTTGACAAAACATTTATCTGCATTTGCCAATCTCCACCCAGGAGTTAAATGAGTACTGGTAGGAAGGAAGGCCTTGAATGCTGTGAGCCCCAGAATAGGTAGCCTATGGAGAGGCGGGATATTACGGGAGTGCCTTGAACACCTAACGAGCGGAGATAAGTGCTTAAAAAATATCAATTAAAAAAAACTGTTAAATGTGATTGCTGTCTTATAATTAAGAATTTTGTGCACTCATATATTTCTTACAGGATCAAAAGAAATTGCCAGCAAGAGAAAGAGCGAAGTACAGCGGGGCCAGGAGTTTGAGTCTGGTCGAGGCTGGAAGAAGCGTCTGCAGGCCTTTCCGAGGGCCGTTCTCAACCTCATCACCAATATTCCTTTCATATGTGTGTGCTTCTTCGTCACATGATAATGTTTCTATTCTTCTGGACTGTCTGTGTTTGGGCCTAAGTACATGGAATCTCAGATGAATATCTCCTCTAGTGATGCAGCATTCTATTTGGGTAAGTATACAATTTAGTTTTCATATTGACTTTTTTCCCCAATAGACATGAAGATTGAAAATTGAACTTTACCGACTTTGCTACCACTACTGTACATGTACATGTATATTCAATTGCACGATCTTTCAGTGAAGGTGTACATAGAGCGATTTCTGGTTCCTGGACCCCAGTATCATCACACATGCCATGCAGTGGTTGATGCACTGTGGGACATGGGTGTTGACAAATCGGGACATTGTGACCAGCAGATGGCAGTATATTTAAATCTGAAGCAGTGCCAGTAGAATACCCTGCCTTTAAAGATAAAGTTGAGTTATGGTAATGCGATTGCATTGTGAAAGAAACGGTGTGGAATTGACCACAAAAATGGTTGATCATCTAGCATATAAGAATTTGTGTGTATTGCAAGGTTCTGGAATCATCAAAATGATAAGAAATTTGGCCAAGTCTTGGTAAAGCTACAAACACTGTACACAGAAAGATGTATATGGGACTACATGAACACATGGCGTAAAAATCCTACCCCGGAGTTTTACGATGTTACATGACATATTTAGAATATGAAGGCATTTGAAGAGCCATGCTCTTCAGGGAACATGTCTTATATGATGTTCTTCCACACTTGCATAACAAGAATGATAATGCTCACAAATTATTTTTCACCTCTTCCCAGAACTCAACCTTCTCTTTAAGTCAGGGCAGTTTCATTCATAACAAATGTTTGCAAACTTCATTGCACAGACAAAGGGGTTAAAAACAATTTTCAATTCTTAGAAGTTCATTCGTTCAGAGGCCTGACAGGCCCTGCATGGCTTTAACTTCTCTCCAATGACTTGGTAATGAGGGTAAATGCCTTTAATACCAAAGGGCACGAGCATATCAACTTGTTCTGGGACCCTGGATTACTGGACCACTACTCTGCTGCTGAGGCAATACGCATCCCTATCGTGGCCGAGTGGTTCGAGGTGCTTGACTGGAGATGCGAAGGTCGAGGGTTCGAATCCCGACACGTCACCAATATCCTTTGGCAAGATATTAACCTGCACTTGCTACTCTCCACCCAGGTGTTAAATGGGTACCCAGTAGGATGCGACCGTCAAACAGTTTTTGAGCATCAAGTAACGCCTGGCTGGAATGCTCCCCAGGGAGTGGAGATTGTGCACACAGTGTGTGCGGGCAAGCACTGAATCCAATGACTGGGGTGATAGTATATATAGTGCTTTAGAGACATTGTATTAAGCGCTATATAATATAAGCGGAATATTATTATTATAGCAATGAATACAGTAATCCTATTTCCTCAATGTCTCTACTCTCTAGGTCTCCTGACGATGGCTGGCACGGTGACAGGTGCCTTGATTGGAGGCTGGATCATCAAGAGATTTGACCTCAAGTTCAAAGGTCTCATTGGGTTTGCCATGGCATGTGCCGTAGGATGTCTTGGAGCTTCCTGTGCTTTCTTGCTGAAGTGTCCCAACGTTCCCATGGCTGGTGTGACAGTGCCCTACACAAATAGGTGATTTCTCTATTCATGTTGATATTGATTTTTTTTTTATAATGATTTTTTATAGAATTAGTGCTTTGCCTAGATAACTCCTTTATAAATCAGATACTGGAATGAAAATCCCCAAATAAATTCATGTAATTCCATGTTTTACCTAAATAACTACTTTATAAATGAGATAATAAAATGAAAATCACAAAATACGTTCTGGTAATTCCACAACTATTTTTGCACCCTTGCTGTATCTGAATAATATTTTGGTTAAATCAGATTAAATTAATATCTCCAAATATGTTCATGTGATTCCACAATTATTTGGGATATGTTTTTATAAAGCATTCTCTTACTAAAACCTTTTAACTCAATGAATAATCAAGCTGTAGTTTATGATCAAATTTATCACTATAAAATGTAAACATAAATATATGTATGTATAATCTTAAAACCTTCACAAGATCTAAGAGGGTTGAATTCATATCATATTCATGGATTTGTACCTTTTTTTTGGACGTACATAGCTATTCAATTTTTGCTTCACAAATCCAAGATTATGAAAAGAAAAGATGACAGTTTATTAAGTATTGATCATAATAATGTTGTTGCTGATGGTTTATAACCAGTGCTTACATTTTTATTCACCAGACTATGAAAAATAAACTATTTTGCAACAGTTCAGGAGCAGCATAACATTTAGGCCACATTTGTAATCACAGCGATGATCTATTAGTTTAGAGAATGCATTTCAATCTTGTGACTCTCTCTTCATCAATGTGAATTCTTCATATGCTCTTTGATACTGCAGCTCTCAAGAACTTCAATCGCATCGCAATATTACAGCTATGTGTAACATGGAATGTAGCTGTGGTAGAAGTTTTGTTCCAGTGTGTGGCAGTGACAAGGTCCTCTACTACTCGGCTTGCCACGCCGGCTGTTCAGAACAGTCGGACGGCGATGAAGTCTTGGTAAATAACAACATATTGAGGGGTCAGTGACACAAAGACGTAACTCCATTTTGGCCATTTTTAGAAAAAGTGGTTTATGTGTCACTGAGCACTTGGGCCTTAAGGAGTTAAGTCTATTTTTCACTAGCCATTGACTTCAATGGGAGGTTGGGTGGAGTTAAGTCTTTGTGTTTCCTGGAAAACCCACATTTTTCTGAACAGTTTGATATCAAATACTCATTTTGGCAAAATATGGAGTTACGTCTTTGTGTCACTGAACCCACAATATTAACAGTAATGTTCATTGGGTTTATTTTCTGTTGTATTTGTACATATAATGTGTTAGCTTATAGGTGAATTACTGAATCAGTTGAAACTAACACTACACTCAAGACTACAAATAAATGAAATTTGCACATTGTGTAGATTGTTAACAGCACAGTAGAGAATATCTGTATAGTAGCTGTGCTTTATAAATTGATGTAGTAATTATTAGGATTAGTATGCCTCCATTTTCATAACTGATGTTTAGCTTTACTATGTATAACTTCCTTAAACATGGCTCCTACCTTTGACGATCAAGCTACCTCTTCTCCATTTTTCACCGCAGTACACGGACTGTTCTTGCATCAGGAACAGCTCTAGTCCTGGACCTGGTTCTGCCGAGCCTGGAAAGTGTTACATCTTCTGCAGATCTAAATGGCCGTTCTTTCTGGTAATGTTCCTGCTTCTCACCTTCGGTGGGATGGTACATGTGCCAGTATGGACAGCTACAATAAGGTCTGTATCCTTGACGGGGGGCTTCTTTTTTTAACCTAACCCTGACTCCCTATCGCTTCATTTGATTGGCTCAATAGGAACCATACGTTATGCGCTAGTCATAAATATTCATGATACGCACGCACACAGAATTTGATGCGAAAATTTATCAAATAAAGAGATTTCATACAAAAATTACAAGTGCAAAGCTATGTTTACTTAAAAGAATGACATTGCGATCAAATCGGGTGGCTTACCGTAAACGAATGACTAGCCAGGTCATAAATTGTCCATAATCATTGGGACATACTGGTTAAGTCCAGAATCTGGTCGATTTAATTTTACCAACGCAAATATTCATATATTCAAATATTAATATGCAGCGCAGGATGGCTAGGTTAGGTTTAAAAATATCGCTGACGGGGCACAAGAAATGTCTTATTTAATGCGGACTATGTCTTGTATTCTTGAAACGTGTGTAAAGTCGGTCTGCCATATTTTTGAAGTGCCAAATAATACCCTCTTCAAAATTGTTCAACTAAATGAATATACGGTGTGATTACTTGTTTCAGAATTTTTACAGTAAATATTAACACAACAGGGGGGGGGGGGGGTGGGGGGGCTGCAGCTCTTTTGATCTGCACTGAAGATCTTGAAATGACTGATATTCAAGCTCCCGTCATCTTGCATTCAGACAATGAGTTGATACTCCTCTTTTCTCATCCTATCTAGTATATTTGTACAACATTAAAGGGCTTTACATGGATACAAAGTGCACTATTAAACAGTGGATGTCACTTTAGCAAAATGTCTTGAAAGTATATTTATGCCAGAAATATCACCTTCTTGTAAAAGCTTTGCCTATAGGTGTTTAGCTTTATACAATTAATTTATATTACTGTACTCATTGTTGAACTAATCATGTTGGTAATATGAGCAGAAATGATTGGCACATCATCGTGTGACCTTATTTTAACCCAAACCAGAAGGAATTCTCATCACAAGGAAAATAGACATTGATCTTCCATTACACATGCTAACTACATAGTGTCACATGCATTTCGTTTAAAGCTTCTTTTGCTGAATGTGCTTTTTTTTCTTTCAGATGTGTGCCCCATTCACAGAGGACATTTGCTCTAGGGTTGCAGAGTTTATTGTACAGTGCATTAGGTGAGTGTGGAATTCTTTCTCGTGAAAATTGCACTTTTTGTGCAATGTTTATTAACTGGAAAATTAGTCAGAAGTGGTGAGTGTGGGAGGGGGGGGGGGAGTGTAGTTAATCACCCGTAACATTGAATCTGCTTGATTTGTAATTAGTATGATATGATTTGATAAATAGAGGTGTCGTGGTCAGGTGGATACGTTGTCGGACTGTGGATCACAAGGTTTGTGGTTTGAGTCCTGCCGCTGCACTTAGGTCCTTTGGCAATACATTATGCCACATTTGCCACTTTCCACCCGGGTGCTAAATGGCTATCAATCGGAAGGGATTGCTTGAATACTGTGATCACCAAAAATGGTAGCCTAGAAGATCCAGGGTAATATTGGAGCGCCTCGAGTGTCCTTGTGTGTTGGATGTGTGCACTTTAAAAAAGATACCCCGGTTTATTATTGACTCCACTGATACAAGGAGTGTTTTGGCATCTTCCCAGAAGGCAATATACAGCCTTACATGCATGTAGGATTTGATAAACTAAACTAATACAAGAGCTTTTAGCATGTTCTCACAAGACATTTTTCTTTGTGAAACATGCTTAACTTCATGATATTAACATGTGACCTTGAAAGGTGGATGGGGATCGCAGATTAAAGAAATCTCAAAATCACTAAAAATTGCCATTGAGCAAAAGATGACAAACTGTTCTAAAATGTAAAATTGGTCAACAGTTGTTTAACAAATTTTGAAAAAGAAAGGCTGAAATAGGTCTTAACTTTTGTTGTGCTTTAGGTTTAAAAAATATATCTTAAAGGGATAGAAGGGGGAGGCGGGAGGGGGAGGCGGGAGGCGGGAGGGGGAGGCGGGAGGGGGAGTGGTCCAACCTCCTCTTGCAGTGTCCATGTGAGGCTTATCAAATAGAAAAATGATTAAGAAAGGCATTTCTCATTTTTACTCCTTCACATTGCACCGTAGGAACTATCCCAGGACCCGTTGTTCTTGGTCTTCTTATTGACAAGTCCTGCTTGCTGTGGGAGGATTCCTGCGATGGGTCCAGGACCTGCTGGCTATACCAGAACTCGGAGCTGTCCCTGGTCTTCTTCTTCATCACCCTCCTGGCCAAGGTGGGTGGACTGATATTTCTCCTTGGGGCGCTGCTCAGTTACAGGACGCCAGACGGGAAAGGAAGTGCCGACGGGAAGTATGATAAGCTGGTGAATGAAGATAATACTGATGCTCTATGACCAAAGTGACCGTACCCTGTTTCCCACCAGCTGTCCAGCTTTGCGCGATGCTCTCCCATCTTGTCATTGTTAGACCAGGATCAGCTTGTGAGGGCAGTATTATGAAAAACTATATTAGAAAGAAGATGAATTGAGATGAATACCTATCGGAAATGAAAAATGAAATAAACGAATTTTATAGATCAATGGAAGGCTTATAGGCCATAGAGTACAAAAATATCAATCATTTGCTATTTGAGTGTCTGACAAAGGAGTAACAGCTCTTTGAAAATTCTAAATCTTTAGCTTTGAAAATTGAAATTTGTTGACCTAAAAACTAGCTATTGACTTTGTGACATCATCTTATGTGGAGTACGCATATTCACAATGACTTTACAATAATTAAGCACAGCTTATTGCTTCAGCTATCTACAGGCGTGCTGATCAGGTGTGTCGCCACTGTAACTGCAGCAAATTCGACCCCTGTTGTCCCGTAATTTGGAGGGGTGCTGAAAATGAGGTTGAAATTTGCTTTTGTGCAACACTGAAAGGGAAAATATTTGTTATTCCTTTTTATTTGTATTCAACGTTCATTCAGCTCTCCATTGATATAAGGTTGTATTTTAATCGGATAGGGTTTGAAAGATGTGTAGCAATTCTTTGATTTACCTAGGAGTGCTCTGTGTGTTTAGAATATGTAACACATGACTGTTCCAGGTTTTTAAAATTAATCGCCAACAATAAGATTTGTACACAATTACCAGATTTTCATTAGCCAAGTAAAATGTAGATTGTGAGTTGCAACTATTTATATCTTTTCAAAGAGGCTCCTTCGTAAAATACCAAGGAATGTAAGGTATAATTTAGGCACACCTTGAGAACGAATATAAGTACACATACAGGGGGGTGTTTCACAAAGATCCTAAGTTGGACTTAACAATTATGGAAAGCCGTTAGCATCTTGAAAATATTTTGTAAACATTATTTTAAAAGGCATGAAATGTCGATTCAAGTCAGTTGTATTTTCTATTATCAAGGAGAATTCATGTTCTTGATGTGGAATTTATGAAAAGTCTAAAATACTGTAATATTTGCTTTTGAATATATTTCACTTTAAGGCTACAAATGGCTCTCCATAATGTTTAAGTGCAACTTAGAGATAACTACGACTTTGGATCTTTGTCAAACATCCCCCTGGTGTACTTTTAATATCTAAATTGTAAATATGAACACCCTATGCTTGTTTATTAATGGGATATTCTAGCTAAAAGACCCCTTTTGTTTACTGTCACAGTCTGCGGACAAAAACAAATGAAGAAATTACCCATTTGTTTTGTATGATCGTGAAGAGTTACATTTACATATTTTGATGGTGAATATACACCTTGGGTAATTCACATTTATTGGTATATGTTGATAATGATGAATTTGATTTATGTACAGAGAAAGGTCAGAAAGGAAGTTGTGTAAATTTGCTGATTCAAATGCTCAATGTTTGTTTAGTGTACTCTAATTTTATTCACCATGACAACAAAAACAAAAAAAACTTGTCATCAGGAATTTATGTTTTTCTTGGTACTGAATCTTGTCTTTCAAACAAAATTTTTGTTTTCTCTTATTTGCATACAGGGTAAGCTTGAATATAGCATTGGAAAACTTTGTCTAATATGTAACTTGTGAATATCAAAAATTATATGGTGGTTTTTCAGTTAAATAAATATTATCATTCAGATCCTCTTTACTTATATGAATTAGAACATTTCTCTTTCAAAAAAAATACTGGTACTCAAAATTTCATTTTGTAATCTGCTCTTTGGTAATAATTTTAGTGCAAAACTTACAGTTATTGGCACAAAGAAAATATGTGACTCCTTATGTGATTTGAAATGGAACTTGCGTTGATAATTGAGGCACATGCTGAAAATTGAACCTTTAAATTTCAAGTGATGTTCTCTTCGGCTTTATCACAGTAGTAAGGCTGGCAATATGCTTAAATGAGAGGATTGTTTGATGAGAGTAGAAGAAGCCAGTGCACTTGCAAAAAATCTATTTATTAACATATATATGCTCCATCACTGCCTTTTTAATATATATATATGTACTTATATTGTCTTTCTTCAAAACAGTCAAGGATATCAACATTTGTTGGATACCCCTGAATATGAGGAATAAACTCTGTTTGGGCTTTTTAAGTGTATGAGCATTGAAGATCAGGTGACATTAAATGTACTTCTATTCGTGCTTACCTTTTCAATTTTTTGTTTTATTGCTGCTATTGCTGTTGATGTATTCAGGCTGTGAATGGTTTATGCTTTTCCCACAAGCTACGTTTACATGAGAGAATATATACTCTATACAAAAGTTATATAATCAGGCTGATCTTTGTAGCATACAAGTTCATGTACAGAGTAAGAATTATATATCTTGTTAGAGATGAGACAGTACTCTTTGTTATTGCATTGTTTTGTATCGCTAAATAACCTTGAATTTGCTGAATTTACAAATAATTCTTGCAATTATCTGTTTTTAAAGTCTGTCAATAACTTTGACTCTTTAAGCCTGTATGAACTAGTTTGGAGAGGATGGATTAGACCTCCCTGCATGGTCACTGACAGGTGGTTATCTTATCAAATCAGCTCTCACTTAACAATAGAAAAAGGACATCATGGGGACCAACTTGTACCGATTAGACATTATTTGCTATATAGAGGGCGCAAGTAGCTACAAGTAGTGCAGTCCCGCTTTAAAGGTTGTTCATAGTCATTTTAATGCTCCTGTTTCTATCTCTATCCTCTCTCCATTTATACTTCCTTCTCTTGTCTTCCAATTATCTCTCTTTCATTTTCTCTCAATTTACTTTTCTTGTTATGTAACTCTCTGTTTTACTTCTTTTGTATCTCTTTATCTTCCATTCTTTAATTTTGTCCGTGACTGCTGTTTTACTTAATGTGCAATACTTACATTGTTATTTGATTTAAAAGAGTTATATACATGTACATGTAACTCAAAATATAAATCCATAACATTTCCATGAGCTTATATTATGCAACATACATTTTATGGTTGAGCAATTAAACAAAATGAATTTATCAATGACTGTTTAGTTTTGATTGAAAGTATTGCAGAATGCAATGTTTAAAATGTGGTTTTTACATGGATATGCAATTATTTATTAGCCACTATTTGGAAAAAGATTGTATTTAAAGAAAGATGAATGCTACATTTACTTTTCTTGTACTATGGCAATCGAAACCTTTGAGTAATATTTAACAGAAAGTTATGTTATGACATTTGTCAACTGATATACACTGTATTGATATAAATAATATGACTGATATGTTTTAACTATGTACTAATTTGGTAGTGGTAATAAAAAAAAAGGGAAAGAAAATATTAACTGTGTATATGCCACACAAAATTGATTACATCACCGTGCTACACTGCATTTATTATGGGATATATATACCAAAGACTGCAAGATTATTTAACTGTTTCCAGAGCAAGTTTAATCTATTCCAGTGTTAAAAAGGTTGTCACTCCGCTAATCACGACCAGAAACGATTATTTCTGCAAAGCCATTGTGCTGCAAAAGGCAATCCTTACATCAATTCAGGGGCGGATCTATAAGGGGGGGGGGGGTATCTATTTAGAAAGCATTGATTATTATGTTTTGATGGGTATTAATACTTGTGTATGAGGAGTCTGGTAAACCATTCGCTATTAATTGTTCAGAATGTCAAGCTTTTTGGTGACATTTGGTACCTTTTAAAAGGTGCTTATCCTTTTATGAAAAGGAACCAGGTTTAGGGGCTCTAAAGTGGGTTTCAGAAAGAGTGATAAGAAAGAAATGAATGTAAAAAATAATGATCATGAGATTAAAAGCGCTATTAAAAGATAAATTTGGTAAGCATTTGTGTTGTCTACACCTGTAAAAAGGCTGAAAGAGAAAATATAAAAGAGAAGAAAGAACAAAATCTGTGAGAATGACAGACGTGTTTGTGGTTGAATAGATCAGCCGCCGTGAATGAATTTAGTGATGTATGTCTGTAATTCCGGAGTGAACTCTCTATGCACTTTAACACCGGACCTTCTTCAATTTCAGTAAAGCAACAAAGTAGCGCAGAAAGAGCCCATTTTTCATACAGATGAGACCCCGGTCCACCCCAATAAAGTTTATAACGCCCCCCCCCCCTTTTTGTGGGCTGTTTTAATTCTTTTTACACAAACTTGTGTCCCATGTGGACAAAAATCATTGATCTGCCACCTTAATTAACAACACATGGCATTGGTCTGTGTATGTGTGTACTTGGGGAGGGGGAGGGGGTGTTCAGGGGCACAACAGGCCCGAATCCCTCTAAATAGCATATCTTCTACATGTGTATCTTACTTATTATATTCATTTTATTCGTTTATTTTTACCTCGGAGATTTCTTGAACACCACAACCCCACCCCACACCCGCTCCTTTACAAAACCCTTGATCAACCAATGACGAGTCATTGTCAAGAGAGTTAGCCTACCGAATCGGTAAAGAATAAACATTTCCTTCACCTGATTATACCATGGACCTAGGTCCATGATCATACCAACGCTTGCTAGTATGCCTGTGTCTCTGTTCTCGTGGGCACTCCATTAACGTGACAGTTAAAATTGAGGTATGTTGACTATCTATATTATCTTTATACATCTTCATTAAGTATTGAACGTAACTGCCTTTTGATGAAGTTTTGTCATATCAAACACGGGGTTGCTGAATATACCTTTTGTGACTGAGGAATTATCTATGAAAATGATGCTAGCGACCGATGTCACTGAAGTTGCAGTTTGTCATTGAAATATTAGAACGATCCGCAGATCAATAATAGTATATTAGACCTTTGAAAATGATGTTGTAGTGCCAGCACCTGGGTCGGTCGGTCGATTAAACAAAATAATTCATTAGTGTACTATGGAATCAAGAAAAAAGTAAAACATGGATAATATGGAGAGAGAGAGAGAGAGAGAGAGAGAGCAAAACATGCAGAAACGAAACTGAAAGCGAACAAACTGAAACCCTACCATTATTATGTCTCTTTGCGAAACGAGAGAAATTGGAAAATAAGAGATACGATATAATTGAAGTGATGGGATTTGATTATCAAAATATTTAAAAGCGATTCATTTAAGAAAATAGGGAAGGATGTAAACTTATGAGAGGGAGATGAGAAAGATAAATGCATGATCCCGAACTAGAAGAAAAGGAAGCAGCAGAGATGAGTAAAAAATCTAAAAAGAAAGAATAAAACCAAGAAATCATTCGATTTACACTATTGCCCATAACGTTAGATTTTGTTCACCCGTTCATAAATGGTTGTCATATTATGACCCCCCTGATAGATATAGTTTATCATCTTAATATTTCTCTTTATTGATCAATCACTATGCATTTTTAGATTGATCAATAATAGTAGACCAGCCAAGACGTGATTTTTCACTGTGGGCGGCTTTTTTGGGGGGGGGGGGGGGTAATTAATGCATGGCATCCGTAGTAAAACTTTTGCAGACATGTCTAAGAATAAGATAAGGGTGGATACAGCGCGCATTCTTGGCTAAAAATGTATTATTGGAGATCGAGAGTTGAAAGAATGTCAACAATCCTGATTATTAACTTTTTGGCATAATATTTATTTATAGTGAACATTACCTTTCCACTCATCATCAATTCAAATCTGCAACCATCCTCCAATCAAACAGATATCTCCTGAAATAAAGGGTGGATTTTGAACAACACTATCTCTGAAATGCAGTACTTTATAACCATGCCTTGACACCCTATATTTTCCCCATGCAGGTAGTGATCTAAAAGCCCCTCTTAAGTGTAGGGAATCTCAAATTCGAAAAAAAAAATGATGGTAAAATTGTATCATAATGTAAAATATGTCATTTATTAAAGACACATTTCTGCAAGGATTTTCAAAACAAATATTGAAAAAGAATACATAAATAGGGTTTTCTGTTGTATGCAGATCAAACACCTAAATTTCGTATTCTTTCATCTATATTCGACTTCAAACACATTTGTTTTGAAAATCCTTGTAGAAATTTGTTTTAAATGACATCCTCTTTCACATTAAGATATAATTGAAGTGAAATTTTGCCAGCAAACTGCTGGGGATCCCAACACTTTAGAGGGGCTTTAACCTCGACCTAGATATTCAATGGAAATTTTCTTTGATACCAAAACGCCTCGCTGTTTATCGAAGAACGAAGTTGATATTGTTCTTTGGAGAATATTTCCGACCTCAATATTTGCGACCCTCTTAAGCAAACAATATGCTTCTCCTGTCGTCCTTAAAACATATACAACCTTCATTGCAGTGTACGTGTATACATGTTAGAAGACAATAGTGCACGTCAAATTTGTAAATATGAATGTAATACAGACAGTATAGCGAGTTGGCAATTGCACTGTTGGCAATTTTACTGTTGCCCATCGAGTTGGAATCATATTTTCTTGCCTCTTTTCATGAATATGATTGTGACAATACGGTTTATTCTTGATAAATAAAGTTTATATCTTCTTAGAACTGTACGATAGACCAGCCATGAATGAAAAAGGCTCTAAAAAAGATTCAACGGAACTTAGGGGATAATGCATGGCATCCATGCTAAAACTCTCATGCAAAAGTACCAAGGAATACAATGGGGGTGGAAGCCGCCCCCATTTTTAAAAACTAAAAATGTCATGTTTTGCCTCAAATTGGCAAGAATGTCAACAAATTTAATTTGTAATTTTTTAACCAAATATGTTTTCTCTAACAATCACATTTCAATTGATATAATCTATATTATTAGTTTCAAGTTATAAATCTGTTTAAAATGCTTTTGGATGTTGGATATTTCACACTTGTGTATAGCTCATTGACAGTTAAAAAGTGTGATTTACTCAGAATATGGGTCAATTAAACCTACATTAGTTGTCAACTATTTCAAAATGGTATCCGTTGAGGTTAGTTGGTAACTAAATTTCTCCCCAAATTTAGAGTTGATGTAGAACTTATAGAGTACATTAAATCAGTAGTTGGCAACTAGTAATTTTATCACCGAGTAACAGATGTACAAAAGTGGTCAGAAACTCGGAAAATTGGTAGAGATGGTCACGAAATGGGAAGAGAGAGGGTAAATTTCAGGACAGGAGGAATCAGATGGAATTAGATGGAGAGAAGCTATGGAAAATATATTATTTCAGACTCCCCCCCCCCCCCCTCCCCCCTCCCCTCACACCCCCAGTGCATTTACGAAATTGCACTGGCAAATACATTTTTCTTCTTCCAAATTTAGAGTTGATGTATAGGGTACCTTTAAATCCGCACTAGTTGGCCCACCCTTACAAAGATTCAGAGTGCTGTATATATCATGCAACATTATTTTGGCACATGCAGTGGATATTGTAATAAAAACGTGCACATTTGCTAGGGACGCATAACTTTATACACAATGCAATACCCAATACGCTAACACCATTACGGTCCAAAGTACAACTTGGGACAAAGATCTATGAAAATTCGGCTGACGGGGACATCCACATTTCCCCTTTCTACTGAAGTATGTATTTCCCAGGCCCCAAGACCACAGCTTTCCAATCTCCCGTTCTCTAAAATGATGTTTCATGCGTCATCTGAACAGGCTTTCTTTTCTTCTCGCTCTCTGCTATCTCAGTAATATGAGCTACAAAGTGGACATGACACTTTTGACGTATGAAAATGCCTGCTATTTTGACAAATTTTTCCGCCTCCCTAAGATTGTCCCATTGTATTTGCATGACTGTATAACTTTTGGAAAATAAACATTTTTATGTTTGTGAACCGCCCTTCAAATTAGTATAATTTTATGAAAACAGGCAAGAAAATATGATACAAACTCTACGGGCAACAGTGCAATTGCCACTCACTGTACTGTCAGTATTGCATTCATATCTTCAAATTCATATTAAGTATGCACTATTGTTATCTTACATGTGTACACGTACACTGCAATGAAGGTTGAAGAAGTTTCAAGGACGACAAGAGAATCATACTGTTTGCTTATAAAGAGAGACGCAATATTTTGAGGTGAAAATATTCTCAAAAGAACAAACAATTTCGTTTCGTTCTTCAATAAACAGCGAGGCGTTTTAGTATGAAAGAACATTTCCCTTCAGTATCTGGGTAAAAGGTTGAAATAACTGAATGCATGGGGAAAAACTGCTGGTATTATGACAGTATAGGGGGTCAAATTAAGTGCGACCTTGTTATAAAGTACTGCATTTCAAAGATATGTGTTGTTCAAAATCAGCCGTTTATTTCAGGAGATCTGCTGCTCGTAGGATGGTTGCAGATTTGAGTTGATGGGGAGTGGTATTAACGGATACACAGCCGTAAATTTGGTGTTTCGTCATTTTTAATGGTAAATATCCATGCAATTTGTTTTCTTCTTAAGTTGTGTTACTTGCCTGCTTTAAATGAGAAGAACATTACTTACCACTGTAGCCTGTTGGAACTGCATACAAGGGTGACCAAAGTCTATGACGGTAAACAATCCCTCCTGAATATTATTCGATCAGTAAGTTTTGAATGCCACAATATATATGATAATCCTCGCGAATACATTTTTTAATTGCTTTTCTATTACATGTAGTAACAAAGTAATGGCGCAATATCTACTATTAGATTTGTATAAAGACATTTTCATTAAATTCCCTAAAAGAAAACATCTTTCAGCTACTAACTTAGTCTTGAATTTCTATGTTTGATATCATTTTGTGTGACAGAAATATTTCGAAAGACAATTTTACAATCATACTCCAACAGCATAATATTTATTATTTCCAGTACTCTTTACTCTGACTTGCTAGAAGTAAAGACAAAATAACAATAACTCTTTTTATTCACTTCTGGTAGTATTTTACTCGTTCTTCTGCAGATTTGAAGCAGATCTTTTCTATAATCACCCGTGAGACGCTGTCCATTTGACGTCAAGGATGTCTGACCTTGAAGGTCCAGACCCGCAGTCAATTCCACCCAATGGCGGTCAACCCAGCCAGAGTTTGGAGGCCAAGTTCCCCAATTTCAAAGGCAGTGGGAACACCGACTTACCAAAGTTGCCGAAGATGCTCGGCGAACCAGCGGAGGCCATCAAGGTTTTCGCTGAGTATACGAGACTGATGAGATCAGCCGAGACTCAGAAGATGTTCGACGAGAAGTTGGATTTCAACGATCCCAATGTTCTGGTTGAAATGCGGGTATGTTGACAAATAAATAAATACATTGGTTGGTCGGTCCAGAATGTTTGGACAGGCATAGTAGGGGGAGGGGACGCAACTCTTGACAATTTTCTGACGAGCTCAAAAAGGGTACTCAAATGTTTGGAAGATATAGGTGTTTGAAATGGGCAGGAATTTCGCTATTGAGGGACGAGGGTTTCATCTCACATCCTATTCAAGGTTTCTACTTTTACATTGACCAGGTACTTAATTTCACAAAGTGACAGATTAGGAAAAGGAAGTAATTATTACAGGGGCGAACCATATATTTGTCTTGGAACTATATATCCACATCATGGATCATAATTATGCCCATAATCTTTTCATAGAAACTACAAGAATATTCAACATTACATTGCAACATTTCCCTGTAATCGAGTTTCGAACTATTCTCATGGCTCCAATATACCACTCTGTTAATCTCTAACCACATCTCCCTCCAGAAAGTATGGCTTCATTCGACCTTTCAAGCCCTGGAACTCTTCGGCCTAGATCACCTCAAACCTAAGTTTGGACCGGGAAAGATTCCTTATCTTCTACCTCTTATGTTCACTGCATACGGTGATTGTCCAGAGGTAAGTGTCAATATAAAATAGTTCATATTTATGAATGAATGAATGGTGGTTATTTCACCTGACTGCTAAGAAATCATAAATGCTTCTAAGTAAGCAACCAGACGGCCGACGGCTTTAGGTTCTCTCCGAGGGACTTGGTAATGAGGATTAATGCCTTACCAAAGGGCACAAGCGCATCTACTTGGTTTCGATCCCGGGTCACCGGATTACGAGACCACTGCTCTAATGTCTTTATTTATTTACCAACTATTTTTATTCTTAAAAATTCATACTATTGTATAAAGAACTTGTGAATGCCTACCTATAATTTCTAACGAGATCCAAAGGCTACACAGTCGTGCCTTGTTGTCACACTAAGAAGAATTAAATGTCATCTTAGGTGGATGTGGACGTTGTAATTCTGGTTCGAGAAATTGGTAATAAGATTTAAAAAGAGAAACGTATTATGAGAAAAAAAGGACAGAGGGAATGATATAAACAGGAAACAACAATACAAAAACGAAAAAAAGAGGGGAAGAGAGAGAGAGAGAGATAGGGGGATGAGGGAGAGAATAGAGAAAACTGAGGAGGAGATACAATAACGATCAAACTAGGTGAATAGGAAACGTTAGCAGAAGACACAGTGGCGATACGGCCTATCGAAAGATATTAATCGTTTGGTATAAATTGTCGGCAAGGATATATTTTATTCATCATTCCTCTGTCTACAGATCTTAAGCCTGGCTTCGTTCATTCATAGCCCAGCCCTCAACATCCCTCCACAGAGGTTCGTCGACGTGGGCGATGTCGTGCCCGACCTCCATCTCGTATCTCTGTCAGGAAGAACCATCAGCCTCGCCGATCTCCATATCAACAAGGACCGTCCCCTGATGATCCTCGCATCGTCAGGCTCCTGACCTCCGCTCAGGGTAAGGATTATGATTGGAGGGGTGACAGTGATTACTCTTGGGTAGATCGAGGGATTAGGATGGGGAGGGTTTTGAGGGCGATACGACCGCTGGTTTCCCATCTGCTCAACAAAAAGGTGCAAACAAATTTTGTTGTGGTCAAATTTTTATATTTCTAAAATTATTATGATGAGAGAATAAAGAAATGATAATGAGAACATATTAGTCTTATTTTCTTATGGTGAATAATTGAGACGTTCTACAGACTATTGTTTAAAGGCATCGTTTAACAATGTTAAATCTGAGATGCATGGCCCTACGTGTTATTAGTGTCTGTGATATGGTGTAATATTGAAGCCCTAAAAGCTTGCACTTCAAAATAATCATGAAGTGTCTCAAAAAAATAAAATAATCTTTGAGTGACCGGTCTTACCATACCCCCTTACCCCTGGGAGAGTCTTGAGCGTCCGACCGGATTCTCGCCATCAATAATAAATGGCTGGATTGTTTTGAGATAATCTAATAGGTTTAATGATTAGTCATTAGTTTAATTAGTAATATTGTTTTGATTTAAGGGTTAGGATAAAGGTTAGAGTTAGAGTTAGGGTAATAAACCAGTTTTTATGATGTCCGGTTAATGTACCATTTAAGGTTTTAGATATCCTGTTTATACAACAAGTATGGTTATATATATATACCTTATCACCTTTAGCTCTAAAGATCCTCTCATTCGTTGCCATCCGTAGGCCTGTGTAATAGGTGGAACGCTGGCGACCCTCGTGAGCGACTACCGAACCCAGGTCGATTTCGTAGCCGTGTACCTGGCCGAGGCCCACGCTGAAGGAGCGTGGGAGATGGGCCACAACATCAGCTACATCAAGGATCACACATCACTTCAGGAGAGGATCGAAGCAGCTAAGTGAGTCAGATAAATTAAAACACAATACGAACACAATACGAACACAATATGGAGATGTGAGTTGGTGTAGCGGCACGTTCACTGGGTCAGCTCTCTGTCATCGCCTACAAACTGGCTCAGGTGACCCCGGTTCGAAACTGAGTCACGTCTTTTGGATGGTGATCTCAAAGGTCAATTCCCAGACGTAAATAATCATAACTAATTGACGTCCGTATGAACTCAATTACACACACAGTCGCACGATCTGATCACGATCCGATCTGGGCAGAATTTGCAACAGCTATTGAACACTCAAACTTCTAAGATATTAACTATCGGGATCTAAACAGTTTGACGATTAATAAAACCTTATTTTTTAATTTTTTTTTATGGATTTGAGCTTTCTTGGAGGACAGACTGATGCGGCTCAGAATAGTAATGACGCCAAACCAGTAATCACCTGCAATTGTCTGCAATTTGCGGCTGATTTGGCTTTTATTCTCAAATGAAAATGTAATTTCCGTTGTTAGTATTGGCTTCTTTTATTATTCAGAAACTAAATCGGCAAGATGATGTTTGTTTAGATTTCCGTATGTCATAAAATTGCAATTTTTTTGAAAAACGGATCACATGATGTACTGTGGACTACGACATAGTCATGATCTTTGGTTTAAAATGCTCTGATCTTTTTAGGAGAATTTGTTTTTCTTCATGGTCGCTTCCGTCTATGATCATGTTTATCTGCCAAAACGGGCGAGTGCAACCTTTCAAGTTTTCGAAATTCTATTTTTTTTCTTCCTCAAATCACCTCAAACCTGAAAATTCTCTTCAGTTCTTAGAACTTCATCACCCTCTCAAAACTTTTTTCCTCAGAGACTTACTCAAGGTCGACGCCACGTCACACAACTGCCTGACTGATGATGTCACAGACACTTCCAAGTTCCGGTTGGTGGTGGATAAGATGGACAGCCTCTTCACCAGAATGTTCAGGGTACACCCCGATCGGGTCATATTCATCCGCGATGGCAAGATGGTGTACATCGGGAACTCTATCCTGGGACAGATACAGAACCCCACCTACCTGATGACGCACGAGGCACGTGATTGGTTAGAGGCGAATGTTGGATCAGCTGCTGCTGCCAATCAGTAGATCACGTGATGCCAAGTACCTTACAAAAATGTGAACTATCAAGGACTGTCGATTTTAGTCCATTTATTTATCCTGAAATATCGCTATTTTGACGACTTTAGATCATCGTTTCATGAAACCGTTCACTGACATCCCATTGAAATGCGTGTTTTAAGTTAACACCCGTTTCAACGGAATGTCAGTGAACGTGTACTTATGACGGTTTAGGTTCCACGAAACGATGTCCAGGTTATCAGTCAGGAAGTTTTGTTAAGTTAAGTGCGGGCCTTAAAATGTCTGAGTAGTTAGTGACTTTGCCCCGAAGTTCGCATAGTTATTTTGTGTAAGATAGATGGATAGGAAAGGGTGGCATTGTTGCATATGACCGATGATTGACGCGAACAAAACTGATGAAGTTTTCATTGGAAATACTGACCTGTGAAGATGGATGAAAAATATTTGTCACGGTCTATCCGATTGTATGCAACAGCGCAATCTCGAGTTAATCTATCTCGTTGTTTTACTACCACTAATCAAGGCGATTTCATGCAATGTGTCTCGTATTAAATACGTCTTTTATGCTGTTTATCTTTTTTTCCTTCAATCCAAAGAAATGTTTACAAAATATCTTGGGACGACCGTTGAACAAGGGTAGTGATACTAGAAAGCGGAACCATCAGTCTGTTAATTGTTTGTTTAACATTACCCTTATTCATGGAAGAACAAAGGGAAATAAAAAATAAGACTAGATTACTTGTTTTTAGGAACGATGCACTCGACTATATATCAAAATGAATCATGGCAAAAATTATACAAAATATATTTCAACAAAACATATGAAATATGCGTACATTTTTTGTTAAATAATAAGGAATTTATGTGTTTCCTTATTGGATGAAATATATGATGAATTATGTCGTACGGGACACAATGTACTGTATTGCGGAACCGTCATTTAATTATTGTTGTTTTTTTTCTGAAACGAACGTTATATACATGTACATGCATTTTCTTAATAGCCTATACTATTAAAGTCTCAGAATGATACAATATTCGAATCCTCATTGTAATCTTTTTATTTATATAGAAATTGATATGATAATAAAAATTTCTAGAAAAAAGGAAATAGTCCCGTAGTGATAATAATACTTTGCGTATCTGGTTCGAAGACCTTTTCGGTATCCTCTTGTATAAAATATTTTAAAAAAAGGTTGAGTAAAACATAATTATTAGCTATCCTGATTGAGTGAGAGTCAAGTTGCGCTTGATGTTTTGCTATAATTTGAAAAAAGTTCTGCGATGAAGAAATAATAATATTAATAAGAATTTTAAATGTACGATCAAAACACACCAAAGGCATGCCATATCTCCATATATTTTTTTTTCATTTCATTTATTTTATTTTTCTTAAATGTTGTTGATTAAAAATAACATAAATCATAGTAAAAAAAAAACTATCTACACAATGGAAAGCAGCATTGTAGATACATTAGATTGAGTGGACGTGTTTACACTAGACACTAAGATCATTTCTCTACTTTTTGAAAATTAATGAAAAGGAATTCGTTTATTCTTCTTAGCTAGAAAAATATTCTAAATCGTTGTTGGATTTCAACTAAGCCTTAATATCTTAATGGCGAATCTACTTTAGATTTACAAACACAAACACAGTATTTCAATACCAAAATAATGTAAATTAAATAATCATCATTATGTATACCAACAAATTTCTGAAAAACCGAGAAAGTAATATTTGCATTTTCTTTCCTACCAATGGTTTCAATTATATTATTTCTATATGCCATACACTGTATGAAAATATAAAATAAACACTATAATTATAGAGAATTCTTTAAAAAAACAACTGCAATACCTCATATACACCTGCAAATTGATATATACATAAGGATAACAAGTACGCATATCTGTCTGTATTCAAAGTATTGACTTAGCTTTTTAGTGATCGTTGATAATTAACTAGGAACGTCCACAATATCGTCAAACGGAGTGTTATAATGATAATCTAAGTTGCCCCAAACAATTATCTTAATGTCGTTTGTTTGATATTGGGGATATTTTTGTTTGAAAAACGAGAATAATGATATGTCGAAGTTGAGTCTCCCCTTTTTTTTAAATCTTGAACAATGTGACGTCATTGACTAAATGCCATTTTAGTTGGTGTCCAAACCAGGAGCGGTTCCACAAGAATATAATTTTGTAGACATGAGGGGAAGGGGGAGGGGGTGGGACAGCTTTTGGGTTCTTGCTTTCATTTTCTACATGTGTCTCGGAAAATTGGCGGAAGAGGGGGGGGGGGGGGGACTTGACGCAACGGGAATAGGGATCCCCTTCCCAACCCCCTCTAAAACCACTACTAGTTCAAACAGGTTCGACGTTTGCAGACTTTGCCCTCAAGAATGTGCCACATCGAGGAACAATAACAGAGAAAGGTCTTACGTTGTGATCATTGACGCATGCAGAGGTGTCGCAGAGAGGTGTTTTAGGGGATGTAACAGTCCCCTACCTTTCCAAAATGAAATTCAGTCACAAATCTCAGTGTCATTTTAGAGCCTTCTCCATGTGTAGATTTTAATGCTCCAGCTGTTCGTCCCTTCTATTCATTTTGCCCAAGCAGTATAATTACAAACATAATTATTTCATAGAAATGCACTCGTTTAAAATGGACAAATCGTCTTTTATATCTTAAAAATGACAATCACTTAAAATTAAATAAATATATAATAAATAAATAAAAAAAAAATGCATAAATAAATAAATCAATCAATAAATAAATAAATGAATAAAATAAATAAACAAATAAATAAAACAAGGGCAGCTAAGTCCTTACCAACGATATCGGCGTATATGAGAGAGAGAGAGAGGGAGAGAGAGAGAAGGTGGGGATGTTCTGCCCAAAATAGAAAGAAAAGAGCGAGTCTAAGCCTTTGAATGTATATTGCTTTAAAGGTACTATGTCCCTTTTGCAGCCAACCTCAAATTCTGTAGAACTTTGCAGGAATTATGAATATGTCATGTATGTCCTATCTGTGAAATTTAAAAGTTAGCAGTGTTCTAATATTCAAATTATGCAAATTATGCAATTATACTAGCTAGACTTTACTGTCAGACGCTATTGAGTGACTGGCTGGCTTTTTTTCTTCTTTGGTAATAACATACATAAAATGAGCTGTAAAGGGTACATGTGCATTTGTCTACATCAATAACCCCCTTCTTGTGATGGCCAAAATCAAACTGATTGAATCTTTGCGCAGCATAAAACGTATGACCATTCGATACAATGGTCTGAAAATCAAGACTATTACTTATTGGCTCTATAGCTCCTAAGTCGATTTGATAACTAATAGTCGTTATGTTCCAACTTGAAGACATTTTCGAGCCCTACCTTTTTTAGGGAAGTTCTAAATTAGTATTATCTTTCAAATGCCGTTTGGAATTTAACCTTTTCATTTTTTGGGCCTGCAAAGGGGACATAGTACCTTTAATTATGTTGAATTCGAGTTTGTGCCTATAGACGAACTTTATTCTGCAACACGACCTTGGACACGTATCAGCCTCTTGCAAAGTTATCTGATTACTATATATAACCATAGACGTAATACAATATAACCCAGTAAACCGAGAGACAAACCCTCAATTACCTGTTGCTTTGGACTCTTAACTTGCCAAGGACGTTTACACACTCTTATCACAGTTGCAGAAACATTTACATATTAGACCTTTACATCGGAATGAATAAAAAAGAAAGAAACGGCCGGTGTTCGTAAGACATTTTCACAACTCGGCCGAGTCAAGATGACGACGTTGGCACGGTTGTTGCCGATTGTTGTTGCTGCAACATTTGTTGTTGTTGTTTGTTGCTTTACAACAGTCCATGCAGGAGCGGATCCCTATTTGGACAAATACCTAGCATCTGTGAGACAAAGTGAGTATCGTGTTGCGTGCATTGGGATCAAATGGATGGGTTATGATTATGTTCGAAGTTACTATTTATAAACTAAACATAAAAAGTCGATAATTTGCTGAAGGATACTTGTTGAAAACTTCATGATAGCTCAACAGCTGAATTACATGGGAAGTACATACATCACGCAATGCAATACAAGGCCCAAAACAACATAATATGATATATACATTCATAATTGACAAGCGTATCATACCCCAAAGTATAGAAAAATGGATATAATACATGTATAATAAATGATCTTAAATGCAATTAAAACAAAGCCATAATACGTTATTATTATAGTTAGTGGTCACGGTTAATTTGACTTGGTCAGTTGATAAATCCATTAGAAGATTGACGAGAAGGTTGAAGTCTGGTAAACAAATCTGTGAGCTTTCTCATTACATGTACTATGTGCGTTTGGAAGAATAGGCCTATATATGATAAATAGAAGTGTCTCTTTAAAAGGAGGGTCCTCCAAATAACTTGACTTTCGACATATGTGACAAATAATAGCTGACAAGTTGGACCAAAATGTCATGCCAATATGTAGTCCTCTATCTCGATTCTTCTTCTTCTTCTTTTTCTTTTTTGTTCTTCTTCTACTTCTTCTTATGAATTCAAATGTTCCTTGTGATGCTCCCTTATTCTAAAATGACGAAAATCATTTATTATATACAATTTTAATATGTTTAATTTTCTCCCCCCCCCCCCCAACAACAACAACAAAAAGACAAGCATGGATTGGAGGATATCAGGAAGCTTTTTGCTGATAGAGGTCTAGATTTGAATAACGTTGTCGAAAACATGGGAAACAATCAAGAATTCGCAAAGGTAAGATTTTTAAGGGGGAGGGGGGGGGGGCATATTTTCCGATTTTTAAAATTTATTTCAAGGCTCGTCATTCTGTAGGTTAGTTACTACGTAGGTTCATTTCACCGAAGGTTTGTCATTCTGTAAATAGAATAGAGTTATATTTAATTTTTAGGAAATATAAAATAGGGTAAAAGAATAACACTAAGAAAAATTTAAGGTTAAAGGCATCATATCAAAGGAAAATATTGTCTATAGATATTATAGTTTCTAAACATTGCAATCATGTTCATATACAGCTTGCCATAAACATACTGCTCTTGCCCGCTTAAGTTCACTGCACCATTCTTTCATTTAATTTGCAGTTGTTGCTTGAAAAGCTATCGTCGGTCAGAGACATGGGCACAATTCGGGAGGGAGAGAATGGTGATCAATTCTACGTGTTTGATAACGAGGTGCCTGATCGACCAGAGACACTAGTTTTGGCTTCATGTCTGACCGACCTCATCAGGTTATTAGTCGATGTTTCTCTCAATGTTGAGTACGCTTCGAGAAGTGAGTACAACCTGGGGCCTTGCCCCCCCCCCCCACTCCCTCCAAGATTTTCAACAATGTAGAAAGAGCACCCTTACAGTAATAATGGCCGAATTTAAACCATCCCTGTTAGGCATTTTATTTTTTTAGCTAGATGACAATTTAGAAAGAGGTGAATAACCAAAACTGTTACTTGTCAGCTCAGACCCGTAACGCCCCTCCCCCTCCTCCGTCAGAGAATTCTGGATACACCTCTGTTGCTCCTAATAAATACTCTGGAACAACCACTCAGTACACCTCTTGATAATGTTTTTCGTCTCCCTTTTTTACAGATTGAAAAACTTCTTTTTTTAGACATTTAGTCGGCTACGATATAGAACGCGCAAACATGTATGCAAAATATTTTGTCGTCATAACAATCCTGTTCAATTTACACACATTTTTATTTTAGCATACCCCACCTCCCAAGGAGAGAGAAAAAATGACCTCGCTTAGGGTTGCCTCGTGATTCCAATAGATTATTTCTGATAAATCTAGCATTTCGGTAACTTTGAGTATTTCATATTGCTTTTCTCTTTCCTCCCCCTTCCCCCTCTTTCTCTGTCCCTCCCCCTCTCTCTCTCTCTTTCTTTCTCTCTTCGCTTCTTTCTTTCTTCTTTTTCTTTCTATCCTCCAGTGTGGGTATCCCGTGGTAAACTAGACGAAAGCGCATTTTATACGTTACTATTCAAAGACCCCGGTAACAGATGGTTGTGTCAGTCAGTGAAGGAAAATAAAACTTCACAAAATCCACCATTTAGCGGCAAGTACTGCTATTCTGCAGCGTTTAACATTGTAAGTATTGAGAAGGTAACAAAAGATAGACATTTTAAGACTCGTTTATAATATGACGCAACAAAGTCGCGGCAATGTTTTGCTCCCTTTTATCATGATGTAGATTGTAATACGATTCATATTATACTGTATCTTATAAAATAGAACTTTGCCATTGCCCGCGGTGTTTTTTGCGTCGGCTTACAGCGTTATATCAGAACAAGCCTTTATTTTGTATTAAAAGGTATTATATGATATAATATCGAGGTTTTGATGTCAAACTAAGAAGCCCTTGGTAGTATTTTTAATTTCCACTTCATTCAACAACAAAAAACTTTTACTTATACTCATACAATTATTAGCAGTATCCCCCAAAGAACTATGGACGATTTTTGTTCTTTCACGTTTAAGTAAAAAAAAAAAAAGTGGTGGTATGTTTTTGTCAAAGTATAGTACTTTCAAAGGCCATTGCCGCTTTTATCAGTTAACCTTGTCCAAAGGTTTTTTGTATTCATCCATAATATATCTCATGCGGTCTGAGGGCTACAGCCCACGATAGAACAAGATCGACAGCCCACTAGACACACCCACGAGACCTACAATGTTGGTCAAATGGGCCTTCTGGCAACTTTTTCGAGGATTCACTACATCGACGTCCAATGAGACCGACAGCCCACGAGACCGACAGCCCACGAGACCGACAGCTCACGAGACCAACTTAAAACAATTCTCTCTCCATTTTTTTCTTTGTTTAATAGACGCCATGGTCTATTTTCTCTCTCTCGTGGGTTGTTTGTCTTGTTTAATCGGTGCCTTTGGCAATGTATGTTGTAGAGGTTTCACTGAAACGACGTCACACGAGACCAAAATCTCTTTATCTTCCCCATTTTCCGTGTAGCTAGGACTACCCACCCTTGGAAATTTTACTCATTTCAATGAATCATTGTGTATATTTTGTTGCTCTTTGTGAAAACGTATGCAGCCTGCCGGCCTTGGAACCTGCGTACCAGATACGTGCACAGAAGAGGATGTCAACATCTTGGCATGGCTATGTAAGTAGGTCTAGACTAGAAGATAAATATGATTCTGCTCCCTTCGTGGACTACCATCCCCTGACAGCTCACCCCTCCAGGATAATAAATCTTGTGTATGTACCCCCAGACATTTGACCAACGGGACAATAACTCTTCGGACAACTAACCCATGGGAGAGGCCAAACCCCTGAACAGTTGCCTAAGACAATACCCCTTTAAACATTACTTCACGATTAATTGTCCGAAATGGTTGGGTCTGATCGACGGGGCAATAGGTCCGATTCGATAATGGTGTATAAAGCGCATATGCATTCAAATATTATTCTGTTTATATGATAATGATTAATTGAAACTTCTGACGAAAAAAAAAAGAGTTTCAACCAAATTTTGTCGCTAGGATAATCTTAAATACAAACCGAATTGACAGTCAACTATTTTTTTAATCTCTTTGATAACGGTTTGTTCTTGTTAATTTGTTTCCTTGTTTGTTTGTCTCCGTAGTGATGATCCTCATCGGAATAGAGCCGTTTTATTACGTAGACTGCACCGAACCAACTCCGTGGAATACGGCTGATATAGGATTCACGTAAGCCAACATATACACCTGACAACGTTTGAAATGATTACATCAGAAATGTAGTAACGGATTTGGTTTCATTTTCAAACATGAACTTGTACTATATTTTCATAAATAACAAAGAAGTAGTTCTACTTCTTAGCATGTTCTAATACACTTATACATATCCCTTCAAACGAAAAATATCATGAGAAAAATAATAGTCATAAGAAAGAAATGCGAGCCCGAGCTACGACGAGAACGTGAAGAAAATATTAATACTGTCAATGAGTTATTTATTTAAAGAGTTGCGGTTATATGGTTGGGAGATGGGGATCATAGAGATACGGGCAATTGGTACACATCTTTCTCGCCCTCGATCACCATCCTTTCAATTCTGCTTTTTTTAATGTCGTAGAGCTGGACTTGCTTTCTTTGCGTTAATTGTCCTATGTGGGTCCTTGTACGACATCTTTCTCCAGCAACTCGTCCTCGGTAAGATGCGTGGATACGCCGTGGCTGACGACGTTGTCAAGCGATCGTCGCAGAACGCAGTGGAGAACGACTACGAAAACGTCCGTGACGACACTGTGGAAGACGACCAAGGGTCGGATGTAGCGACGACCTCGATCGATAGTGCTATGGATGCAACCGATGATGTGCAGGAAGAGATGGAAGGGGCAAAGGTCAATGGCGGATACGACTTCCGGGTCGAAAAAGAGGTCAAAGATGGGGTCACGAAGGAGCCACCGGCGCACAAGAAGAACGTGGAGGTGGAAATTGATGATTCAGGCTCAAGCTTGCAGAGAGCTAAAAGATCGAATAATCTAGGATGGGGTAAGTTTTTTCTCTTCTGTTGACTCTATTCTCAGTCATATACAGACGCTAATAGCAATATTCCATTTACACTTCAGTCACATCGCCAAACAATCTCCCGACAAATGCTTACCACCCAAGGTAATATATATTTTTCTCAGTCTAGGTTTGTTGTCGGTCTGGTGGTTGTGACTCGAGTATAAACGTACACTTGAACCTTTTTTGGTCTAAGCAGTTCTTGCGATACACATCCTCACCATTTCATAATGACCAAACTGACAATGCTACCCTTATATCCCCCTTTATCTAATTCTTCTTTAGCTCATTCTTCTTTCAAGCCATTTAGTACATTTCCCATTTGCAATATATATATATTTGTGATAGTCATGTACTGCTTATACGATTTATTAGTTAATACATAAAGATTACAAGATTCAATCTCAAATTCTTATTCCGTATTAATCAGAAACCTTTAATTAGTATTGGTACATAGGTATAACCAGATCTGTAGTATAGCATGGGTCTCTAATACTTGAGGGGGAACCAGCTTAAGGGGGAGGGGGCACTGATATAATTACTCGAAGGATGAAATGCAAATAATGGTAAAGTGTAGATTCGGTTGTAGCGCCTTTTTTGTACATTCCCTTTTCCCTCTCCTTTTTCTTTTTCCTTATTTTCTTTTTCTTTTACCATTTGATCGTGGGTACGTGCCCATTGTGCCCCTATAATTACGCCACTAAACGAAAATGCACTTTTTTCAGCTGTCCTACATGCCCTCCTGATGTCGTTTTCCGCTGTGAATAACTGCAAGAAGCTTCTAAGTGCCAAGAAGACCAAGAACACCATGGCGGTCCTAAACGGACTGAGGGTAGTCAGTATGTTCTGGGTTATTCTTGGTCACTCCTGCTCGTTTTACATAGGCCGACTCAGTAAGCAAAACTTCAAACGGTAGTAAAAGACAAAGAATAAAGTGACTCAATTTCAATTTAAACTAGGTTTATAAACATTACAAATATGATATGAGACGGCAGTCCAGAGATTAATTGTGTCACGTTTATAATATAAAAGAACGGATTGAATGAACAAGTATATTAACATCTAAGATTAATTAGTTAGCACGAGGTGAATAAAAGTAAACATGTTTAATAAAACAATTTGAACATTATGGCAATATAACGCACACTATTTTGACGTATTTTAAGAAAGATTCGTGCAATCACAGATTGGAAAGAAGCATCTGATTGGGGTTGGATAACGTTGCAGAAGGGTTCATCACGATCAGGAACAAACAAACAAAAATCTGTTTGGGTAAGCATTCACTAGTTCTTCTGCACGTTTTTTCAGACTTTCGTCGCAGCTTACCTAAAAAATATGAATTTATAATAAGTGAAAATTTAGGTGCGCAGACGCAGGGCTCACCTCATTACTTATCTTACCTTTGCTCCCTAGTGAATCCATTGGAGAGTCTTATACTGACAGACGTCATTGGGTTCAATGCCATTACCAACGCGACGCTCTCTGTGGACACCTTCTTTGTCTTAAGGTAGGTATTTTGTCACGGTCGCCATAAAGATTTGAAGACATTCCTTGATGACGGAAGTTCTCATTATGCATCAGAGTCATTCAGCTTAAAGTGTTACCAATCGCTTGGAAGTATTTTGTTCTGTATGTTAGTAGTTTAATGTCAAAATCTGAGCTTCAATTATTACATTTGTTACGAGATGTTACAAGTTTACGTACCGTCACAATTAACCTAAAAAAACGCCATGTGAAGTGTTCGAAATCGCTTTCATTGTTTTAGGGTAGATTTCTTTTACAGCAAAATATTTCACTACCCCTATTTTTATCGCCTCTTCTTAAAAAAAAGCGGTTTCTTAGTCACCTACCTGACTCTGAAGCAGATTGACAGCGTCCGTAAGAGAAGCACTGCGCAATGGGCGGGCTTCTGGTCTCTGTTCTACTTCCACCGCTGGTGGCGCCTGACACCGGTCTACATGGCAGCCATGGGTATCTATGCACTCCTAATGCCTCACTTTGGTCAAGGATGGAATACGGAGGTCATCTATGAGTACATCAAGTCTATCTGTCGTCAACAGTGGTGGACTCATCCTTTGTACATCAACAACCTCTACCCTTGGCCTAACGTACTTGATGACTCGGTCAGTATTCATATCAATTAATGTTAAAAGAGATTTCTAGTTTTATTTTAGACTAGGTAGTATAAATATATAGTCTCAAGAGCAGCAAAAGTACTGGGCTTATAGAGTGTTTGTAGTAGACAGTGAATTCTACCTAGTTTTACAATTCAGACACTCTATTATGCCTTACGAATGAAAAGACATGTTTGGGCCTGCAAATTAGTTTCACAATGCTGTCCATCGACAGAATTTCTTGTAGTTTTACACTTTGACCAGTACATTTTCTGTGAGTCAACAGTCACACAGCACCCCCTTGGACACATATAGGGCAGATAAATATCCTGCACTAATACCGCCCATGAAGAAGAAAAAACACATCGCTGTTATTACCTTAAGAAGTTGTACTCCATGTCCCCTTGGGACACCCTGTTGCCGTTTCCCTGGCTCCTACATCCCCTGGCGAAATGCTCGACTTAACTATTAATTGAATTTTTTTCGAAATTCAATTAAACCTTATATATCACCTGTGATATTTTAAGTCTCAACAACTAACCCCTACAGGCATGACAGTGATAACTACCCGGACAATTACACATGTGCCTTTGACAATTGAATACTTGACTGTCTTACCCAAATCCGGAAAAAATATAAATGTGTCCAAAGAATAATTGTCCAATGATTTGCTGTCACTGGGCATGCGTGTCCGGGGGCAGCTGTTTAATTCTCAGGTATATCATTTTGAAAAGCTCTGTTTTTGTCATATCAAAATGCTACATTGAAACTCAGGAAGCTTTGAACCTTGTAATTCTCCTTTAATCAGTGTATGGGTTGGTCTTGGTATCTAGCCAACGACATGCAGTTCTACATCATCAGCCCCCTCATCCTCATCGTTCTTTACAAGTAAGTTTTGCTCGACAGTTTTAGAATATGTTCTTCTATATCCATGGTTTGGTTTGATTTTCCGTATAAAAAAAGCTTTTAAATGCATATCTACACAGAAAGATCTATATGGGACTACACGATGTCTGGGCTACTAACATTGATTTCCTTATCTTTCTATGCTCATTACTCAGCCAGTATACATTTTCTACCAAAATTGTTGGGCAAATGACATTTATTTGTAATCTTGAACATTCAGTGTAAGTTTCGTTTCATTCTGTGAGAATTCGTTTTCTTTTTTTTACCAGAACTCAAGTTTGTCTTTAACCAAATTTCACCTTTTATAGTATATAATGATTTTTTTTCGGCTGAAAATATGATAAAACATGAAATTATGTGCTTCGTTTGCTGATCGGTATATAACAACTCGATAACAGCAAGATTGCTAAGCGTAACACCAAACCTAAGCGAAACTATCCATTTTGCTGGTCTCTTTTAGTTCAAGTTCAAGTTGTTGTGGTTTATGCAACTTAAGTAAATTCCACCATCCTTCTTTATTTAGGAATGGAAAAGCAGGCCTTGCCCTTGTCGCGTCAATCATGTTTGTATCTTTGTCTTCGCTATTCGGACTCAACTGGCATTATGGATATACTATCAGCTCACAAGAGTAAGTATACATAAATTAGATGGGATATTGTGCATTGGATTTGCGGCTACCGTGGATAGTTGCATGTGGGAGTGGGTATGGATGTGGGTTTGAGTTTAATATTTGCGTGTGCATGTATGTATTAAGAGGGAGAAAGAGAGAGAGAGGGAGAAAGAGAGAGAGGGAGAGAAAGATGAAAGATAGTAAATAGGTGGTAATGTGAGTTGTGTGCGTATGTGCATGTGTAAGGGACAAATAGAAAAGAGCGGGTGTGTAATGTGTGTAATGTGCGTGTCTGTGAGAGAGAGAGAGATACAATTGAAAAGAGAGAGTGGGGTGTGCAGAATGTACGTGTGTGTGCGTGTGTGTGTCAGGGGGGGGGGTAGTGAAACAGAGAAGTCCAGAGAGTAGGGAGACAGCAAGAAAGTGTCTGTAGAATCACTAAAACAGGTGAAAAGGGAAATTTATAAATAAATAAACTTGTTGAGTAGGGCCTAAATTAGTCACTAGTCGCTGCATGTGTAGGCCTACGAGCTTGAATAAAGTCGGACTTGAGATCCATGCACCGTTAAAGATTATGAGATTTTTGCTGTTCAGTTTATCCATTATACCTAAACACAAATTTGTTTTTCTTCACGTGATTGGTCAACTTTAAATTTCATGCTCACCTTCTTCTGTTAGACCCTACACGGACAATGTTCCTGATCCCGAGAATGCTGACACCACCTACAGTAAACCATATACCAGGATCCCGCCCTATCTCGCCGGCATGGTTGTAGGCTATGTCATGTTCAAGCTCAAGGGAAAGAGAATCAAGATGCCCCCGGTACGTTGACTTGTGGTGCTAATATTATTGTTAATAACAATAAACAATAATAAAGATAATGATAATAATATTAATGATAACAACAATGATAATAGTTTGATTTTGTTGTCAGTTGTCATCTGTTAAATTCATCATACATTACCTTCATCTGATTATTTTGTTCTTTTTCTTCGTTACGATGGTGACTGTGATAACTTATTACCACTTAACATTCAGTTCATATTTTTATTTTTTTAATATCAGGATCAAGATGGAAAAAAAGTAACATACTGATTTTGTGTTCTTTTATAAATTGATTTGAATAAATAAATAACTTTACGTGCAGTTTGGCAAATGTCTTATTGACTTAACTGACATATATTTCTACCACCATCTACCACCAACTTTAGCTGATGGTGATTTCTGGTTGGTTAGCTGCCCTAACCACTCTTTGGTTTACTCTGTATGGAATTTGGTTCTCCTACCAAAGGATGGATGTACCCCAGGCCACGGCTGTCATGTATCTCACCTTCTGTCGTCTGGCGTGGGGAGTTGGTGTTGGCTGGATCATCTTCGCTTGTCTGCAGGATTACGGAGGTTCCTTCCTATCTTACTTCATCTCCCTAGTTATTTTTCTTCCTTCTCCTCCTCTTCTTCCACTCCACCTTCTTCTCTACTTCTCCTCCTTCTTCGTCGTCTTTTAATCTTCTTCATTTCACACCATCATCTTCTTTTTCCGCTCCTCAGGCTCTTGTTTTCCTTCTTGTTTATCATCATCTTCTTCTCTTTTACATTTTGTCTTTCTTCTTTGAAGACCCCCTACTGAAACTGTTTACCGTTAGTACTTACATTTCTCTGCATTCAAATTTAAAGTTTTGCTCCTTTTCCACATTGCCCTTGTTTAAGGATGTTTACTGTACATGCACTCTTCACGTAGTTTTAAATCCGCAACTTTGTTAGTTCATGATTTTTTTTCTGCAGCCCTTACCAAAATTTTACTTGAATGAATTTTGTAATGTACATTATTAAGCTTGAATAATGGTATTGAAAAATCTTAACTGTAACAGGGACATGTAAATGTCTCCGATTGCAATTCGGACATTGAAGATGTGTACCACCTCAAGTATACATTAAAGCAAAATGTTGACCGTAAATACAAGTGCAATTTCAAGATATTTGGTAAATTGGGTTTAAAGGCAGGCTTTACTACTTCAGCCAGAAGGGATTAGACCGCCCAGCGAGCCAGCGAGATCACTGTAACAGGTGACTATCTCATTAACTCAGCTCTCATTTAACATAAGAAAAAGAGGATCATGGGGGACCAACAGGCACCGATTAGGGAAGTTTTCTATATAGAGGGAGCAAGTAGCTACAAGTAGGACAGTGTGCCTTTAAGGCGTTACCCAGTCTAATTGGATCATGACCAATATTGTCGTCACTATCATTTCATTTGATATAAAAACATCATGTGTGCCCATACCTTTGGCGTTGTCGCCATTAAACGTTTGTGACGAAATACGTGGGACGTGCCCTTACAGAAAGGCTGTTGAACTTCGTCTGACTGTGGAATAAGGGTCGACTTTCATAGCTCTCTCTCTCTCTATCTCCCCCCCCCCTCTCTCTCTCTCTCTCTCTCTCTATCGCTCTTAGGTCCTATCGGTGCCATCTTGAGTTGGCAGATCTGGATTCCTCTAGCCAGACTGACCTACTGTGCTTACCTGATCCACCCTGTCATACTCTTCAGCAGGGTCTACTCTGACGCAGTCTTGTTCCACACGAGTTATATTACCATAGTAAGTATAACAATGGTAATGACTTCAATTATTAGTATGTAAACGTTTCATAAATCAGATAAGATAATCAAAATCATATTATATGAATTATATAGGAAACTGTATTATTCAGCCGTTGAATTATATAAACATAGCGTTTTTTTTATATAAAAAGAACAGAACTATGAAGACAGCTTTCTGCCTTGCCTACAAACTGAATCGGATATAACCCAGGTTCGAAACCGAGTCACGTCTTTCGGATGGTGACGTTTAAGGTCGGTTCCCAGACGTATTGATACATTGTATATGACGTGTGTGAAACCAAAATTATGACGTGATATATATATATATATATTTATATTTATGTTTCATTTTATTTCAGTCTTATCTCTTCGTCGCAAACGTGGTCTTGTCTTACGCCTCTGCCCTGGTTCTTTCTCTCTTGGTCGAGGGTCCTACCATGGGCTTGGAAAAGGTCATGTTTGGAAAGTTCAAGAGGTCATAGGTCATTACTCCCAGTAGATAATGCGATAGTTTTGTTTATGGAGAAATAAAATACATACATTATTACTTACAATAATCTGTTAAGAACATTAAGAACGGCGTAATGATAAAATCATCTGGTATACTTGGTTGCGTATTTTGTATGATGTGAGACAGTGATGAAAACAAATAACAAATATTATATTATGTAATAGCGCCCGAGTTTGGAGATGCAATAGAAAGGCATCATTGGAACCAGAGAAATATGACATATTCTTATACTATCAAATTGTAACATACACTTTTGTGTTCGTTTTGTTACCACATATGTGCCTGAGGAAGCTCAAATAATATCAGAATTGTAGCGAATATAATTGAGCTTGTTAATATCTATCTGACCCGATTTTTGTCATTATTGTGGTTGTATTTGTAATATTCGATGATTTAAATGATTTAAACCTGCAGTAAAACAAAACGCACATCCCATCCCTTTCAAAAATCAAGTAAAGAAATCAATCGAATTTGCAATTGGCCTACGCTACATTTTCCACTCCCTTATCATCAATTTCGTGATGCCCAATTTGAATCATCTGTCATTGATAATGCTTATTCTTATAAATTTTCCATTATATATGTCTTCACACTTTGCATATCAGATTATTCAGTTCGTAAATGATTTTTTTCTCACAATTGAATCTATTTATAAAATCTCTATCCATTTAAAGTTTAATAGTTGATAATAGGTCAAGGCTGTGAAATTTGATTGATCATGTTTACAATAAACCAAATTATCGAAAACATAGCTGCATTTCTTACCTTTTATATTTTCATGCCATTTTTATTTTTTTTTTCACAGTAATTCTTGTTCTCTCTTTTCCTCAAATGAGGTCTTTTTTTGCCTAATTTCAATACATATTTACATTAATTACTCAAGGATTTAGTGAAAATAACATTAGCTAAAATTAAAGTATATTCAACCATTCTTCCAGCTTAGTGTTATTTTCTTTGCTAACACATTCAACTTAAATTTAAATAAGCAAATCATGTGGGTAAATAACAGAACCATTGACAATCTTTTTAACGTAACATTTATAAATTGCATATTGCGCATTTCCATCTGTCTTCTGTTTTGTGGATAATGAACAACAAATATACATATATATCCTGACTAATCTACGGATAAATGCAAAAATAAAATTAAAATTGGTTTTAATATGGAATTGTGCATTCTTCCTACAATGATGTTTTATGTGCTTTACAGTCATCCTGTGTGAGTTTGTAATGAGTGTTTGGTCGTCAGTATGGTTGCGAAGGTGGGAGTACTTTAGAAGTGAATATGAGTAGAACGTCGGGGGGGGGGGAAGTAGGGAAGTTTAAGTGACGGCATACTTTCATCATTCAGAAAAAAACACTTCTTGCCCCTTTCGATGATTTAAAAGGTTGTCTTTTAATACTGACATTCTTTGTGTAGCTTTCGTTCATAGCATTGACAGGCGACTTTCTTATACATCTTTTAACAAATCGATTGTAGAAAGTAAACAACCGAAAAATGTCAATTCAAAATGACATATTGGCTGATATGCTTTCATAATTATAGAAGTAAACAAGTGACTAGTTCGGATAGATCTCCCCCTCCCCTCTCTGTCTTTCTCTTTCTATCTTTGTTTCTATCTTTATATCACCCCTAGTCGCTGCCTATTTATAGTCATGCATATTTACTTGTACTTGTTTAATTATATACTAAGGACAACCTCATCAATAATCTGTGAAACAATGACCACTGACAAATATGCGACATGTTTTGACTCATGAAGCTAGAGATGAAGTTAAAAATCCTTTAAAAATACTTTTAAAATGAACTTATCTTAATAATGTCAATAAGATTAAGATAGCAGCTCATGTAAACAATCTTAATTCAACGAACTTTGATTACTCACCCAACATTACTACACATCGATTAGCAAACTTTTCGTCATCCATGGCGGTCGAACGCAGTCTAAACCAAGCTTTGACGTGGTTGTAGTTAGCTTATGGTATAAGATTACTATCGCCAGACATATTTTACGTCTTTTATGGGAACCATTTCGCGAAGAGGATGAATTTTCGGCGGAATTTGCTTCTTTACGTGTCCGGGATGATTCTGCTCCACTGTTTCACTTCAGCAGTTGGACAGGCAAGTCCGGAATACGACAAGTTTAGGAAATCCTTGGGGAGTAGTGAGTAAATCTTTACATTAACATTTGCATTACATTGTATTATATGATGTATTTGATCAAAAGCGTATTGGAAGAACCCTACTCGATCTTGAGGGTACAGGAATAATTTGACTTCATGGCGAATAGTATTGGATTTTAATTCAACATATTGAATTCAAATAGTAAGAGTGCACTGCTGTGCTGATAATGGTGTTAAACTCATTTTGAGTGAAAGGACATTGAATAAAGATCATAGTAGTACGAGGTTTATAGCTGCAGCCCTAATCCGCCACAATTTTGTAATAAATAAATTACCAATATTCAGGCAACACGAACTTCGTATTCGTTCAGTGAAGTAATCTGAAGGTGTAAATTATATGTGCTACATGACTGAACTACATTTTGCAATTTAAAAAAAACATGTCAATATGGAGTAGCTGAAAGATTAATGTATTAGAGGCAAAATTTGTATACATAACAATGTGAACTATATTATTTAATAAAGGATCCCTGAGGAAGGGAAAAAGAAAGAAGAAAAAAATTAAACTCCTCCGTCCTGACAAAATCATACTCTTACGCATAGTTATGAAGATTTGCCCTATATTGATACAGGCATAAAACATCAACATAACCCTCTGCTATTGTACATCTATAGTTTATAATACTTCGTCACTGACGAGGGTCATAACTGTAACGATGTAAATATTATCACTGTAAATTCATAATTTGTATTTAGGCCACAATGACCTGACGATCTTTAAGGAAATCCTTGCAAACAGGGGGCTAGACTACGACAGAGCCTTGTTTCTAATGAACAACGATCAAGCACTAAATGAGGTAAGATCAAATTAGTTCTAAATTATTTTCGATTCCCAGGCTCTCTTTCCCTCACAATTGTTTTAAAAATAAGAGTCGAGCTAGGAAAGAAGCTTTTGACTTTGAATGTTATCTTGTTGTTGGGCCGGTATAGCAAGTGATATTTTATCATTGGTGAGTAAAATCAAAGCAAATCAAGATTGACATTCTTTATGACAAAATAATGGTACTTGAAGGGCAATAAATCACAAAATCATATTACAGAAATGTCGCTTGATCCGAAATATGACAGTAATCTTTTAAAATAAGAACCTTTATCATGTAGATTCTAATGGAGATCTATTTAACGGTCAGGTGCAATGTTATCCCCATTCTTGCTATTGGGCTACATGTCTTTGATAGACAAAGACCTCTAGCGATTGTGTAATTATGTCAACTTAAATTGAATAGCTATACTTTTTATCTCAATAATACCTATCGTCGAAGCAGTCAAAGATAAAAGATGTTGTGAAACGAACCGCACTTCGTCCGAAGAACCTCGTCTCAGACGATCACGTCTACGTATTCGAAGGGGAAGACGATGACGTATGGCAGATTTCAGAGAAGTGCGTTGTCGACGTCATGCAATACTACAGGGATCTCATCAACGGAGTATATTACGCTGACAGAAGTTAGTCTTCTTTCTTTTTTCATATTTGTACAAATTTGGAAATACATACCAAAGAGGCTTCACGTGCAAGCTAAAGTTAAAAGAAAATTCCTACTCTAGTTAGAAAATATTAAGTATTAGTAAACTAATTCTCTTTATCTCCTCAGCACATCCATCACTTTTATCATTCTATTTACCATCTTATCTTGCCATCTTCTCATACATCCTTTTCACTCCCATCCTTAACATCAGTTTTGTTTGTAGGAATTATTAAGTTTGATAAAGGATTCGAAGATAATGATGATGATAAGGATGATGGCAATGTTGATTTATGATAATAGTTAAAATATTAATATAAAGGATAGTAAAACATAACTTTAATTACATATGATAATAACATAAAGGGTTGATAAGAAGTTTTATTAATAGTGACGATGATTATGATAATGATAATGGTGGATTTGCTTACTACTTTTGCAATGCCCTTTCTTTTCTAAAGTTGATTCTAATCAAATGGTGGGGCTTTGATTAATGTTTAGAAATTAATTATCAACAAATCATTTTCTTTCTTTTCCTCGTAGTGAGAGCATCGGCTGGTCGGATCCCACGTGGTGCACAGTACACAGGGACCCTCAAGGATCTGGGGAATATCTGGCTTTGTACTTCAACTTTGAAAAATGAAACATCAAATGTTCCACAGTTCAACGGAAAGTACTGCCCTTCAGCAATTCGAGACACGGTAGGCATTTGCCCTATTCGGTAATACACGTACACGTGCCCATTAAGTTGGAGTACTTTCATCGTGCCTTTTTTATGAAGCGATTGTGGCAATATAATTTGTTATTGATAGATAAATCTCTATGACTCTTTATATTCATCAATACAGTTTTGAGAAAAAATAAACTATGTTGTAATATACATTTTAATGAACAGAGGTACGACAAAATAATTCCAACTTCAGCATTTTCTTTAGGGTTGTACTTAAGATTTTGTTGTGTTCATTTTGTTAGTGATGAAAACAATGCAATGAATTTGTTGAAAGAATTCATCAAAATAGTTTAAATGGGATTTAGTTATAATTTATGACACATCAAAGAATGAAGTATTTGCCTTTTAACAATTTAGATATAATTCAAATATCTTTCTCAGACGTGTTCTCGAAAAATCATATAAAAATATATGTGTCAGTTATACCAGAAACTCGATGAAGGTTACCATAAATATATATTCAGGTATATGGCTCTAGATATTAAATGAAATAGGAAACAGTGGGTTGAGTCCGTACAACCCATCCCTTTGGGGAAACAAAAATCAACTTACAGAGGTTATACAGGCTCATTGGGCTGCCCAGAATCATATCCCCCTCTCCTGTTTGGTGAAGAATCCGACCCTCTTGGGCTCTTTCCATATTTCATTTTGCCGAAGAAAATTATTATTAAAAAAATACCTCTTTCTGTTCGTCCTTTTTTATAATTCAGGGTATTATTCTTGGAAGTTGCTGGCCAGATAGCTGCTCAGAGATGGATGTCAATTCTATTTCATCGTTATGTAAGTTTTCTACCAAAACACCACAAATTTAAAATTCACAGCTCCTTTTGTTATTCGTGTAAACTTCACCTCCTCATGCTAAAAAACATTTTTACCAATTTGCATCAAAATGCTACGATAGATGAACCTCAAGAATGACGTGCACATTTTACGAGTTTAAAGAAGTGCAAATTTACATCATGGACAAGGCCAAACCAACAAGGAGCATGTGACAAACTAGGTCAAATATCTTCTTTGTGATATAAAATCATATGTCCGTCCCACCTTATTTAAAATAGGCCTACATGAAGCAATACAATAAAAAAAATTAGTTTAGATATGATAGTGTACATTTGTTAGTTTAGTTTAAATAATACAAAGTTAACCTTTTGCGTTCCATGCGGGTGAAGGGCAACTTGTATTGACGGGGTCTTTGATGGACATTTTACCTAAAAACTGGAAGTACCGTAATTGTAATTCACGTAGTTTTCACTTTATTCCTGATTTTTTTGTTTTACTAGTTTGGAGTGAGGTTGTAAAGGTCGAACCATTTATGTACTTCGACTGCCAAGAACGGAGGCCGTGGACGACAGCGGATATCGGTTTTAGGTAATTAGTAGATGATGACGATGACGATTTTGATGATGACAGATCATATGACATGGTCATATAGAGGATGATGATGATGAAGAGGAGGAAGAGGGCAAGGATGATAATGCTGATTATGATGATGATTGATGATAAAGTCGACGACGTCGATGTAGATATGTCTTGATACTCGAGAAAAGCTAATATGACTCTCAGATCAAAAAAATAAAAAGACGACCATCAATGCAATGATAAGTCGCATCGACTCTTCCTGTTATACAAAAACAAAACAAAAACAGTACAAAAACTAAACTAAACCAAACAAAAACACTTTCTTTCTTGTGTTTTTCTTTATCAGTGTTGCTATGTGCTTCTTCGCTCTGATGGTTGGCCTTGGATCCTTCTACGAGGTCTTCCTCCAGAAACTGGTCATAGATAAAATGAAAGGGAACGACAAACAGAATAAGGTGCACACGACCAACGTTAAGAACACCATGGAAACCCAATTCGAAGCCGACCACGAATCCGAGCACGCACTCAGTCACGCAAGCGACCGCGTGTCCGACCACATCACCTCATCGGCTGACTGGGAGGAGAGAAAAGTCGAGGTAATCGCAAAGACGGAGGAGGAGATGGAGGGAGGAGCCAGGATCAATGGGGGATTCAAAGTAGATGGCGAGGAAACTCCTACTGATGTGACAGAAGTGAAGAAAGTGCCTTTCAAAATGGAGGATGCAGAAGATGGAGACGCTGGGGGGAAACCCCCAAAATGCAATCTTAAATGGGGTATGGATGTAAACTAGTCAAGACAGTTGGTCAAATGGGACTCTTTTGATAATTATCTTCTTCTTTCTCCTATTCAGTATCACAGTTATCACATTTCTTCAAAATGTTCCGTTCGTCTCCTCGTTTTAAGGAAGGATATTAATATATTTACAGGTTGTCGCTAGAATTGGCAAATTAAAAAGCATGATTTTAACCTTTTTCGACACACTTTTATACTCGAAGACATCATTCGAACTTTGTCGGCAAAGGTGAGAAACTTTTTTTCATGTATTGAAAACTTGTCAGCGAGTAGGCTTTGACCCTACCACCCCGTTTCATGCAACATGTTCTGACTAAACAGATAATCTTGATCATTTCTTTCATCTCTCTCTCTCTCTCTTTCAAGCTCTCCTTCATGCTATCATGATATCGTTCTCCATTGTGAGTAACTGCAAGAAGGTCTTACGTGCCAAGAAGACGAAAGACACCATGGCGGTCATAAATGGGTTGAGAGTCCTCAGTATTTTCTGGGTCATGCTCTGTCATTCACTCCAATACACAGCAACCTATCGCACCGGTAAGCAATTTGCTAAGTATTTGTTGTTTGAACCTGACGCTTGATAGAGCCATCGCAACAACTGTCATAAAAACCCTCCCTTCAGTTCCTTTCTTTTTGTTCCATCTACATGTAAATACAAAAGTTCTGCATTTTGGTCCTTGTGTCCTTTATTTCCTTATTAATTGACCTTGTTGTTCCTATTGTTCCTCTTAGTTTAGGCATTTGTAGAAATACTTTGTATGTTAGAATTGTATCTTTTGCAAAATGTGTGCAATTTTCTATTTTGAATGAAGGTGCAAATCGAAATCGAAATCGTAATCATTTATGTAATGTGTACCCCTCTCGCTCTGTTCTCCCTCTTTATCTCCCACACTCTCTCTTTTTCCCTATACCCCCTCTCTCTGTGCTACCTCCCCCTTCCCCCACCCCTCCCCCGTCTCTTATAGGTAACCCACTGCAGGCGATTGATGTCATAGTCGACCACATGGCATTTAATGGTGTTACGTCGGGTAGCTATTCTGTGGATACTTTCTTCGTTTTGAGGTAATTAAACAGTTCTTGCATCATCTGTAGATTTATCATAATTGTGCATTCCGTTTCTATTACTAATGGATATGCAGTATTTTGCAAACATAGGTTGAATTTATAAAACATAAATCATGGTACGATTTTTGTTTTTCTTCCTGGCTATCTGAATCACGTCTTATCGTTGTACTTTAAACGAACGTCCGCCATGCCGACGCTTCAACAAAAATGCAGATGCAAAAATCTTTAATCCGATGCTGATTATGTAGGTATGCACTTACAGTAGTATTGATAAAATCAAATCGATAGAAAATACTTTACTAATTCCATTAATTGGGATTAGGTTACTACTATATGTACGCTATCTGAATTTGTGTGATCAATTATTCTCCCTTCTGACAGCGGATTTTTAGTTGGTTACATGACGTTAAAGCGAATAGACGACAAGACGTTGGAAAGCGCTGGAAGTTGGGTTATGTTTTACTTTCACCGCTGGTGGCGCCTCACCCCTGTCTACATGGCGGCCATGGGCATCTGGGCTTTGTGGTGGCCCCACTTTGGCGATGGTCGAAGTGTGATGGCCGATGAAACCTACGATTTCTACCAGGGGTGGTGTAGGAAACAGTGGTGGACCCACCCACTTTATATCAACAACATCTATCCGTGGCCCAACGTCTATAACAATGCGGTTAGTTGGTTAGTTTTGTTTTCGTGTACCATTCACCATTACCTCACAGCTTCTATAGGAATACCCGATGAGACCGACACCAGACGTTGATAGATCGCAAAAAATACATTACACCGATAGCTTAGAGTAGTAGAGCAATTTTGCGTCGTGAATAGGGTAGGCGTAAAAATAACCTCACGAAGACTACTGCTATAGTAGTGGTCATGATGTAGACGAGCAAGGTTGTATCAGGACGACTACCCCCCCCCCCCCCCCCCTCCGCGACTGTTTCCCCGGACTTATCTCTGGAGCCCATTCCATGTACTCCCCTTACATGAATTCCATGGTACGACAACCCTAGGCCAATAACTACCCCACGACAAGTACCCCTCTAACGACATTACCCCCTCCCCCTTCCTATACTTCTATACCCTATAATAACTTTAGCATAATATAAATTGTTGTTATTCATCCACGCTTATTGAATAATTGCTCCACCCTGTATCATTAAAAGGCCAATATTTAAGTATATAGACATTGTGTTTGAGAGGATAGTTAGGATGTTTATTTCAAATTCTTCCTCTCAGTAACTCAAACGTCTTGTCCTTTCTACAGTGTATGAGATGGTCCTGGTATCTTGCCTGCGACATGCAATTCTTCATCATCAGTCCTATCATTCTCATCATCCTCTACAAGTAAGTACCCATGGCAACATGATGCCAGGGACGTTTATATTCATTTGTGACTCTACGCTGGGTTCATTAGAGGAAATAGAATATTGATATGGAGAGAGAATAGGGACATTGATATACACTGTCGCTCATATAGTTGGAATATTTTTGCTTTACCCCAACTTATGAAATTATTTTGACATTGATTTATTCCTAATAGATCTAGATAATAGTATACATTCTCAGATGTTATTGAATAATAATTTGCTAGTGTTTAGTTTGCGTGAATGCTAGAGCATGCGTATGCTACTATGCTTATCAACTAGGGGACCTACGCCCTCAAGTCATTAATGACAGTAATGAGGATTAATTCCCCACAAAAGGGCACTTATATGGCACATCGACACGGTTTTGATCCTGGGGCTTCACAATTATGTGGCCATTGCTTTGCCACTGAACCATGACTGTACGCAGCGGGGGTTATGGTAGGGGGCAGTTCCCACAAATAAAATAAAAAACAAAGAAAATGCAATCAAGAATTCATTGAATTTCCCCCCGATCCCCAACATAAAAAATCCTCTGTACGGCCATGCATTATGGCTCAAGGCATGGGCACACAGATGTTCATTTGAACCAAATTCATGAATCAATACCAAAACTTTGTATGACTCTGTGGTGACTGATGAGACAGAACCAGGTCCTGAGAGGAACTAGGTCCTGGACTAGCACAGACCGGACTGCACGGAGGCCTGCGCGTACTGACGTGAGCTACATTGTTATTGGTACCATCCGTTGCAAATTTATCTGACAGGATAGACAAAGGACATATTTTTTTTTAGTGTGTTTCAAAATTTCAAAATTTGGCCGATCGATATTTCGTTAAGTTGGGGGGGGGGGGGGGGTGGTGCTCCAAAGCGCACACATATACAAAGGTTTAAAGGGGGGTTCACCCCCCCCCCCCCCCCCCCCTGCGTACGCGCCTGACTGTACAACACCTGCTCATCAGACTGAACAACTGTGTTCGGATGCTGCCAAAATACATTATTATAAGGATTGAGACGATAAATGTACTTACAGAATGATGCTACTGGGCAATCTGCACGTTTGGTCTCATGCGTTTTTCCGCTCTGACTGCGTAAGTCGTCAATAGACTCACTTCGATGGTTCTTATCACGAGCAAAGTAGACGAATCTCTGATTTGATAAATCAGAACTGATGGCAAAGTCTGATTTAGTGAAGTTGCGCAAATTTTCCCTGCCTCTATTGCTTGGATGATATGAAGCATCATATCAACAAAATCTTTGTTTTGAAGTCCTTTAGCTGTGTTCACATCTAACGATGAAGATAATTTTATTTTCACAAAGTCTTCCTTAGAAATTGGATCTTTGTGGGTGACAGATCCCTTGCCAGCCAGTTTGATTGAACTAGCATGGCACGAAAAATTTCAGTCGATTGTTTAAATTGTGCATAATTCACAATGTAGTCCGTAACGTAGGGCTATCACGGATCTTTTAGCGTACTTTTAGCGTATGCAGCTTACCAATCGTTCTTCTTACCTCAGCCTAGAACGTTCGAAGAAAGCCGTTTTAATACATGTAGTTCATGTGCTGAGAAGTCCTCAATATCTTTAATTGATGTGCCATTTTCCACACAGCACTGACTAAGAATGTTCACTGCTGAATTGATCACTGTTCTTGTACAATGAGAATCCTTCGTGTCAACGATTTTGTCTAATTTCTCCTCGTCGAGGGAATGAAATTGGGTGAAATTGACTTGCAGTCGCCATGTTTGGTCAAACAAAATTTAAGATTCAAGGGCGTGCATGGCGCGGAGCTGTAGTATGTTAATTGTTTTATGCATGCATCACAGCGCACTGCGGCAGATATGCAGTATGGCGTAGTGATGACGCTCCTCGGTCCAACATAACGGACAGAGGTGACGTCAATCGAGCAATATAACGTTCGAGATCTATGAAGCTCTAGTCACGTGATGGCACTTTGACCAATCACTACCACACCCTAGAGGCTATCCATATAGGATATGTAATTTGTATAATGGTGAGGGACGGATAAAAGAGAAAAAGAGATTACAGAAGCAGAAGGCAAGATGAGTAGGAAGATGGGAGAGAGAGCGAGAGAGGGGGAGAAAGTAAGAGAGAGAGAGAAAAAAAAAAGTGGAAGAATAGTTGGCTACACCGACAAAAATTTGGCTGAAGAGTGATTGACTAAAATGTGTGATTCGTTTATTCCTTTCTTTTCGGGGAGGGTATTCTAACTAGATTTTTTGAATGAGGGAATTCATTCTATACTACTGCGAGTGTCAACTGTTTGTAAATGTTGTGGACCAGCGTTTACTAGCGTTCACCTAATAAGTTTGCAGACAATAAAGTTCAATTTAATCAAAAGTTTTACCTCCAAATCCTGTCATTTAGGAATGTCAAAGCAGGCATGGCACTTGTTACAACTGTATTACTGGTGTCTCTCGGATCGCTATTTGGTGTCTCATGGTATTACGGATATCCGATCAACGGCCAACCGTAAGTCACCTTCCTTTTTATTCACATTTTATATCCTAGATTAGAATTCCTTCCAAAATTGTTTTCATTTTTTTTTCAGGGACTTTAAGTTCTTGTGATTCCTAAAAATGAGAACATTTTATCAGTTTGTTTGATAACTTACCCTTGATGCTTAAGTATATTTGTATACATTGTTCATAATACGTAAATCAATCAATGTGAGTGAGATGTAAATATATATTATATATATATTCCTTAACTAGGTTTCTCTGTCTAGCTTTATTATTCATCTTAATCTATACAAAAAACAAAAACAAACCAGAAAGCAAACAAAACATACTCGGTAGCTCCATCTTGCTTCCCCAATGATAAAGATATAGGCTACACAAATAGCTACCATCCGCCGCCTTATGTTTCACAACTTCTGAACCTATGCTCACTATGAATCACCACCTGTGTTCTATTCGATTTCTCTTACAATGTTATAAGGCAATATTATAATTCAATGTTTACGGGCTGATGTCAGAAAATCACCTCTTTTTTAGTTGTTGTGAATGACATGTTCGGGTTGATGAATTACCATATTTTAGCAAAGGTATTATAGCAGACCTAAGCCGAATAGGTTTATTCAACATGTTCAATGGCAATGCACCACAGCTAAAACTGTGAGGAATTGTCTATGTCTCGTTGCAGTCAGTTTCATGAATTAAACTACACAAGTTAACTCAAAGGCAATGCAACCCAATTTTATGGCTAAAATAAAACTATAATTATCGTTTATGTCTCGTTGCAGTCTTTATAACGATCACGTACCTGACCCGCCGGACGCCGATGTAGCTTACACAAAACCATACACGAGGATCCCTCCCTATCTAGTCGGTTTGGTATTAGGTTATTTCATATTTAAACTTAGAGGGGAGAGAGTCAAAATATCTAAGGTAAGCGGTACATTACACTTCGTTTTTAACGTTAAAAGTGATTTATGTTTAGTTTAAAACGGAACTAAAATAGTAGAGGTAAATTTAAGCTTGCCGAGGTCCTTACAATCATGACTGGATTCAAATATTGACTCTCATGATCAAGTCTTGAACAACAGTACTGATCAATTTACGTATTCACATGGTAAAATATCAATGAAATTATCGTTATTAGGTTTCTATTAAAGAAAAGAATATCTTATTTATATTGGTGCTCAACGTAAAGTAAACAAAATATATATATAATCATATTGCTCAAGTGCACCGACGAAATACAATTACCTTTTTTGTATCTACTACAAGCAATGTTTCACTACGGCTTTAATTAACCCCTTTACGAAATCATTTAAAAATATACAAAAATATATACAGTAATTGAACAATCTTTAAAATCGTATACGACAATGCTCTTGCGACGATTGCTCTGCGGTTAATTTCTTACATTAACAAAATTTCTAACTTCAGCTCTGGATAAACTCTATACCTAATTCCACCTCTAAACCTAAGGCTTACTTAAAGCCCAATTGCATCCTAACCCTAACTCCATACCTTTGACGAAATAAACACGGAACAGTTGTCGCAAGAGGAAATGTCGGATGAACGCCACCAATTTTAATAAGACCTCTTCTTCCAGTATATTGCAGTAACTGGGTGGATTCTAGCTCTCGCGTCCCTGTTTGCGATTGTCTACGGTACCTGGTCCGGTTCTGACCGCTATGTACCGCAGATCGAAGCGGTTATATACCTGACGTTTACCCGCGTCGGTTGGGGCGTGGCCATCTGCTGGATCATATTCGCTTGCCTCCAGGGATATGGAGGTATTTTCTCTCTTCACTGTTTTCGATTCCATTTTTAGTTCTGAGAAATTACAATGACGTTCCCAGGGTTATCACTAAACAATAATGGGGGGGGGGGGGGGCGGCGGTTGTTTGGTAACTCATGATCTCCGGCGAGCGAATTAAGAGTAAAAGAAAACACCCCCAAAACAAAAACAAAACGCAACACGGCTAACCTTCTTGCAAAAGGGGATGCAGCTGATATCCAAAATGGAATTGAGGGGGTGCTGGAATAAAACTGGCTTTTCGAGGGGGAAGCAAACAAAACTCTGGACAAGAGGGCAAAACTAATCCATGTTTTGTATGAAAGATCCATGATAAAACAAAATACGAAGATGGGAATAATACAGACATAGCAAATATATGTAGACTGAGGTGAACTATTCTTATGTGTTTTATAATTTGAACCAAAATCATTTTTGTTTATAGATCTGTTTACATCCGTGCAACTTGTCTGTCCTCTTTCATTCACTCTTGTTTTTGTTATCTCTACCACAGGTCCTGTCGGTGTATTCTTGGAGTGGAGCTTCTGGATTCCTCTTGGTCGTCTTAGTTACTGTATCTACCTGGTTCATCCCATTGTGATGTACAGTGTCATCTTCACGCAACAAGTTCTCTTCCATTTCACCTACGTCTCAGTGGTAAATATAATTTTGATCAGTACACAGTATGGGCATAATACTAGCGCAGATCACTTTGAAATGCTCGTTTTGTATAGTGTTATTTGAGGCATGCCTCGTCAAAGATACCCCCGCAATAAGTATTATTACTATCATGTTTATCAACAGTTTATAGATGAAAGGTTATCATCCAAAATAAGTGCAATGTTTTGCTTCTTTTTAAATTTAATTCATATTTCAATTTCCGAACATAAAATAAAACAATATATACAATATAATGACAAGTCATGTGCACGGCATGGTTGATGATTACAAAAAAAAAATGTACAACATGACTTGGATTATAGATATCTAACAATTACGTCTTTTTTCCATTATGAACAAATTGCATTCATGATTCGACATGTTTATTCATTACCAAACATCAGAGAAAAAACAAACAAGCAAGGCATTATTATTGATTATTCCTGTAATGCTACAATTACCAATGAAATCATTATTTTCCATTATTAATAATATGTAGTCTCATAATTACAATCGTTATCATCTGTACTGTCAATACATATATCACCTAGACATTTATTTATTTCTCTCTCTGTCTCTCTGTCTCTCTCTCTCTCTCTCTTTCAATTAGGCATACCTGTATGTAGGGAACGTGGTATTTTCCTGCGCAGCCGCTCTCATCCTCTCTCTCCTGGTAGAGGGACCTATCATGGGACTTGAAAAGGTCATGTTCGGAAAGTTCAAGAGGTCATAGGTCAACCAATGCCGTTTACGATTTAAGAACCAATTACATTACATTCTATAATTCAAAGCCTAATTTCATGTTCATATTTCATATAAGTACTTAAACTTACTTTTCAGTTAGAGTGAAATTGATAATGAAGTTTTTTAAGTCTTTTCATTTTCCCCAATACATTTGAATATATAATCTCTTCCAATAAAAAGTGATTACTCCCAGTGTATAGTAGGTATTTTAAAGCGCCCCACCCCCCCTTAAACAAAGTTTACTAGATACCGACATGTTAGCCATTCTTTAATTTGCTTCAATATCATGTTTTTAACTCTTTATGTGCCCTGAAATTATCTCAACGTGTTACATTGCATTTAAAGCTATACCAATGCATTCGAGATAAAAGTTTTTCTAGGGTAAAAATTAATCTTCTGAAGTTTTACAAGGATTGTCATAATTATGGCATATCAAGACCAGAAATTGGTACTTTTGCAAAGATTTTTGTGTTGCATAGAGCAAACCTTTATGAATTGATGCCTGCTGTTTTGTGCCAATTGGCACTTGTCGCGAAGGAATGGCTGAAGAGCTATATCGAACAAATGACAAATGAAAAATAAAAGTATCTTAATTTAATATTGAATTTGGGCCACGATTTGAAATTCTTACGTGTGGTTATTGTGTGTAGAACCAACAGAAAGCTATGTGTGTGCAAGTTTGTCATTTTTGGACAAACCTCAGTGTCAGAAATGCAGTGTGATAAGCGGAGACGGAGGTGATCAATCTAGTGTGAATTCAAACTTCTTTAGGCATGATTTTCACCTTTTTTATGGCGTGGAAATTTGCACTAAGAAAAATTTAGTGCAATCAAAGCACTACTTTGGAGTAGAATCAACTATAATTTTGGAATGGATTCAACCTCTAAACGAAGTAGTTTCTATTATGATGAGTCCTAACATGATGTATTTCCACTTCTCTGCATTAAGAACGTTTAGCGAAGTAAACGTAAATATATTCAATATCATGGACGAATATTTATATTCCTGATACACACAACCATTAAAAGTAAAGGAACATATTCGCCCCCCCCCCCTCCCACCCGCTCCTATTCGTTACCCTCCGGTATTATCGATCATAAAATAAACATGGTATTTAATTTTGCTTTGAGCAATTAAATATGAAAACTAGCTGATATTGACGTTGTACATGTAATTATAATGTACCCGTTCATGGTACAATTTTCCGAGTGTGCGTAGTTGAAAAAAAAAATCATTAAATTCCCCCCGCCCCCCTCCCCCTCCCCTCCCGGAATCCACCTGGATCCGCCCCTGATAAAAAAGAGATCTTACAGTCAGATTTCGTGCCTGTGCACAATATATTTATTACAGTGAACTGCCTGAATTACCATTTTGTCATTGCACGTTGTGCATTCACAAAGTCATAAACAATGTAAGGTCACTCAAACATCGAACAGTTTCAAAGACACCGCTATGATGTAACAATGAATAAAACGTCATTCGACAAAATAAAGATGACGTCACAATTTTAGGCATTAGCCCTATACCAACACGATTGCGTGTACAAGATCTGATCAGCAATGCTATCCTTCTGAATCAATAAGAGATTGTGATAGAGATATACACGCCCAGTGGAGAATTGAAGGGGGGGGGGATATAAACTAGCCCCTCATTCTCACCCCCCCCCCGGATGATTTCTGTATTAAAGCCTATGAAAATTAGTTAAATTAGTAGTCAATGATTTTATTTTATTTTATTTCTGCATTTTTTCCATATAAAATATAACTGAATAACAAAGAAAATATAAATGTAAGGTATAATACAACATAAACAAACAATAATTTCTTCATGTCAAAATGTTTTTTTACATAATATATGTACATATGATAACGAAACTTAATATTTCCATAACATATAATCATAAATTTAAAGTATTATCCGAACTTTTCTATTGGAAAAGTGCAGGAGACCGCAATCATAAGCAAAGCTTGACAAGGATGGCGTCCTAAAAAAAAAAAAACAAACAAACAAACAAACAAACAAGAAAAAAAAAAATCTTAAGGTAAACCTTAAAATGAAAGTGTTCAAATGATATTTGTGTATGAGTTTGTGAGTATGTTGTGCAAGTGTATATATGGGTTAGGTAGAAAAGAAAACACGCAAAAAAGCGATTTGCTCTTTTTAAAAAATTGAGCCACCCCCTTCCCATAATTTTTACGAATTCTGGGATAATAATGATAATCATAAATCCATTAATAGGGCGCTAATTATACGAACGTTTCTTAGCGAACTTATTGTTTAACTCAGTTAATTATTCTACATGTTCAATAGCTTAAAGGCAACCAAATAAAAAAAATGTTACGAATACACTACAATTCAGTTGAATGGAATTAATGGGTATTGAGAAGGGTTTGAATTATTCAATGAATGGGGTAATTTTGAAATGGGGTGGGAATTTGTTCCAGAGGGTGGGGGCAGTCGATGAAAAGGTACGGTCATCATAACGGGTTTTTGTACGTGGGCAGTGAATTAATTGCATGATGGAGGAAGATGAACGGAGGGATCTGGTAGAAGAGGAGGATCGAAGGGAGACTAGGTCATGAAGACATTTTGGGGCAAGGTTATGTGTTTTTTGTATGAACGAAGTAGGATCTTGATAGAAATGAGAGAATGGACCGGTAGCCAATGAAGTGAGTGAAGAACAGGGGATATATGGTCATGTTTCCTATTTATTGTAATCATTCTAGCTGCTGAATTTTGAATACGCTGGAGAAGAAATGATGAGAAATTGGGAGGCCGGCAAGGAGGGAGTTTAAATGGTCCAGATGCATGGGAGGAGAAGAAGGCATGAACAAGTCTTTCAGTGGAGGCTTTGTAAAGCAGTCGCCTGGTCTTTCTCATTTTGTAGGTGCCCCAAGTTGCAGACCTACATACATTTTTGATGTGCCCTTGAAGAGTAAGGTGTAAGGGATCTACTCCTACTTGGACAAACCTAGACAAACCTAGACAAATTATTAGTATTCTGTTCAAAGATGGCGTTTGATATTAAAACAACGGATCCGAAAGTATTTCTTTTAGTACGAAGTAAACTGAGCCATGTATATTAAACAAATACCACGTGTTGTCAATGCTGTTGCAATCTTTACTAATAAGGTTTAACATTTACCACTCCCTGTGTTGTTTTAACAGAGTATCTAAGAGTCAACAAACTGAATCTACTTAATACACTAGGGTTAAAGTTCATTGTGATAAATAAGAAACTCCGATTTAACCTACAACACACCATATTCTTTCTGTATTTCTTATGCAACCCATGAAGATTAGATTTTCCCGACCTTAGGCACTCCTGTTTGATAGAGTAAACATTCGTGAGAAACCTGTGCTATCATCGATAAATATCTTCGTACATATATATATCCTTAAAGTAATTTAAAGTAACAGTCAAGTGGCATTTGAGGTGCTGGGGTGATCGGGGCTAATGTGTCGTCCATCGCTGTCTCCAAAAACGGTTTAACGAGTGTTTAAAGGCAAAAATTAGTAGAGATGTCGAACTTTCGGGGACGTTTGCTTGTCTACGCGTCGGGAATTATTCTTCTCAACTGCTTTGCTTCAGTAGTTGGACAGGCAAGTCCAGAAATAGACGCGGTTAGAAATTCATTGAAACGTGGTTCGTATAATTCTATCGATATACTTGTCATCGTATATTCCAATAGTTTCAACAAAATTACATTTAGGAGCCTATTGATGAAATTCGATAAAATCCAAGATATTATTTTTTTAGCAATATAATCATACTTTGTACGTTATCACAAAATTGGAATAATTGTTTTAACCTCTTCTATTTTTAATGAATTGATTGTAAGAACATGATTTATTCTTGATAACTTATTTGATTAGAGATTAATTACTAAGGTTCTGCGAAGATATTAACTATATAGAGCGTTAACTAAATAGCCACAATCATTTTATTGAAAGAGGTACACATAATTATTATCCAAATTATTTTAAAACTATTCATATTTTATTGTCAATAGTGTACATCATTATTGTAATCATCGTCATTCTAAATTAATAACATATAAGTGTGAATTTAAAAACATCTATCTGTCTTTGATCTCAATTCTAAATTTAATCAACTTCGTCTCGTATTTAAGTAAAGACTCTTATACCCTATCGAAGTATCCCCAATTGTAAAATCTACTTCACATTTTGCTATTTTCCGATTTGCGAATTGGAATAATTTCAGCATACCGTAGGGTTTTCATGTCAATAGACCTTTTCTATTATATTGCAATTAATATTACCATTGAACTATCAATTTACGTGTTTTTTGTGCGAAGAAAACAAATGCATGCCTCGGATCAACCTATCTTTGATGAAAGAAAAGTTATGAAAAGATATGAAAAGTATTTACTATTATTTATCGATTACTTCTAATAGGACATAATGACTTAGGAAGATTTGAGGAAATTTTAGCCAACAGAGGGATAAACTACGACCGAGCACTTTCCTTGATGAACAACGATCAAGCATTGATTGAGGTAAAAACTTTTTCTTTTTTTCTTTACGACATTGAACTATCGTTTGTACCATTCAATTTATGTATTTCAAATGTAGTTTCATTTGTGATGAAATGACTAGATTGAATTGACATCAGAAATCAAGTTAAAGAGTGTCGATAATAAATAGAGACTTGTACAGTATTTTTTTTATTTTTTTGATGAGATGCAAAATGTCGTTGATAAGAAAGATTGAACAATAATCCAAATAACACGTTAGCAAAAGCCAAATCTGCATACCAATACTAACAAAATATCCAGAGGTAAAAAAATACATCTCTTGTCCGTTAACTGTAACTCAATCTCATTTTAAAGCTCATAATCATCAAATGAAAATCGTTTCAGCAACTATGAAAGCTTTGCTATTTGGATTTAGAGTCTTTTAGTCTTTTCTATTTCCTGAGCTAATCAATCTAGTGAAGGGAATAGAGTACCAAAGTGTGACGTCATACTTGTCATTCAAGTTGTCACGGTTACTGCTTCTGGTAAACAATAGTGTGGCGATCACACCGTCCCCCAAATCCTGCTCCAGTCCGTTGCTTGAATTATTTCGAGGTGAACCCCTTGCGTAGGCTCTGTTGTTTAGAACTAGTAACCTGGACGACGAGCGAATATGACGTCAGAAATTCTGTACTTTAATCGCCTATACGCCAATGATTCAAAGCTCCGTTTGAAGTTTTGCATTTACAGTTGTTTGATATCACTAACGCAGTCATACGTCATGAAATGACGCCTCTTTTACAACGGACATAAACAATCTGTTTATGATGATAAATAAAAAAAATGTAATTACTTCTTTATTTTTCTTTAACAAGTATCTTAAATCGAAGCTGCCAGAAATAGAGGATCTGATAAAACGAACCACGCTTCGTCCGAAGAGCATCGTCTCAGACGATCATGTGTACGTATTCGAAGGGGAAGATGATGAAGAATGGCAGATTTCAGAGACGTGCGTTGTCGACGTCATGCAGTACTACAGGGATCTCATCAACGGTGTTTATTACGCTGACAAAAGTTAGTCTTTCTGGGGTTTTCTTTTTTATGCAGACGTAGCACATAAACATGATTGGTACATATTTTTGAGAAATGTTCTACTTGCAGTTACTATCCTCAGTGGCGAAGAGACGGTTCAGACTTTGGAGAGGAGTTGGCATAGAGAGAGAGAGAGAGAGAGAGAGAGAGAGAGAGGGGAGAGGGAGAGAGGGAGAGAGAGAGGGGGAGAGAGAAAGAGGAGAGAGGGAAATGGAGAGGGGAGAGAGAGAGAGAGAGAGAGAGAGAGAGAGAGAGAGAAAGAGGGAGAGAGACTGCCACTGACTGGAGCATGCCCCCTCCCCATGTCTACGCCGGTATATCAATATAATAACTGATGTTTAATTGGATTGATTTGGCTAATTTGAAAGTAAAGTGGAAGTACAAACAGTTCATGGATACAAACAAAAAAATGTATATATTGATGTACATGTACATAAATATAACAGTATAACATAATCATGATTATAGAAATATGAAATGATGCTCGAAAAAGGGAAGAAGAATACCTAAAGACGAACATGTCATATAGTTACCGTTCAAGCCGTTTGTATTCATTCAGGGTAATGTATTTCATTGATTATTTCGTTAAAAAAAATCTCTTACAGTGAGAGCCTCTTCAGGTAGAATTCCCCGCGATGCTCCGTATTCGGGAAATCTCAGGGATCTGGGGAACATCTGGGTCTGCACTTCAACTTCGAAAAATGAAACATCAAATATTCCAGCATTTAACGGAAAGTACTGCCCCTTCCAAGTCATAAACACGGTGAGTATCTATTGTGAACTTATGTAATGTCGTAATCATTGCCAATAGAACTGTATTGTACCGAATGTTTTATTCATGAAAGGAAGAGTGAATTGACATGGTCATGTTTGCATGCATGGGTTTTCGCTGATTAATGGTGAAATTTAAACCCTCACTTGTTACACAACAAATGGGTTTAATAATACACTGCAAGTTGCCAAGTTCAGATTTGTTTTTAAATGACTATTGTGCTAATAATATATATTTTGCCACTATACTTTTAGGCAAGTTTTCAGTTATGAATTGTTAAAAGAATATTTTAGCCCTATTACAAGTTCTTAGAATTCCATTTCCAAATCCCTGCAACGTTGTTTATAGACGATGTGACGGGAAAAGTTTTCCATCCCACTTTTTTACCTTTTGATACTGCTCCTGGTTTCTATATTATCCAGAATGTGATTCTTGGAAGTTGCTGGCCAGATAGCTGCTCAGAGATGGATGTCAATTCTCTTTCATCGTTCTGTAAGTACTATAACGACAGGAAATAGTTTGTTTGTTTTCAGTTACAAAAAAAATTGGGGTACAACATGATACATTATATATTTCAGATAACCTTATATAAACACACCGCTTCACCCGTTTGACTGCCCACATTAGGTGTCGTGGAACTGGGAACTGGTCCCTAGGTCATGCACAACTTCGGGAAACCGAGAAAAGGCAAATACTCGGAAAATAGCGAACGACGCACAGTGAATATAGTGTCCTCATCGTTCAATGCGTGTAAGTGTTAGCAAACGGCATGTGGAAAAATATTCCAATGTCAGCCTGCTGCATATGTTCATGGACTTAGTAATTCCATGATAATTTATGTTTATTACAATTAATTCTGTGGATATATTTATTTCATTTGTTTATCCTCTGTATTGGTATTTTTGCATGAATTCATAGATTTTGCAGTTTATTGACCCACATCATTAAAACAAAAATGTTTATAGACAGTAATATGACTTTGCAATATTTCCCCCCATGTTTTTTGTACAAACTACCTCCTGTTGACCGTTGGGGGCTCTTTATATTTACTTGATATTATTCGCTATTCTCCGAGTATTTTACCTGTATTCGGTTTTCCGAGAGTGTATTTGACTGTCCCTATTGCAGTTTTTCGAAGTGCCAAGTCAAACTGATCATGGTGCCTTGCACCGGTTTTACAAAATAATGTCAAATCTTCGTACACAAAGCCGCTACATGTAGTATGATATATTATTTGCGGATAGCAGGATATACAAACTAAGGGTGTGTTTAGTTATTATGACAACTCTAAAGTGCAGATTTAAAAAAAAATCAGGTGGGGCTCGTCCGGGAGTCGAACCCGGGACCTCTCGCACCCTAAGCGAGAATCATGCCACTAGACCAACGAACCTTAGCTGTTCGATGGGAAATATATGATAATTTTATTCGTTTCTGGTGCAGATTTTAAAAAAAAATCACGTGGGGCTCGTCCGGGAGTCGAACCCGGGACCTCTCGCACCCTAAGCGAGAATCATGCCACTAGACCAACGAACCTTAGCTGTTCGATGGGAAATATATAATAATTTGATTCGGTTCTTGTGCAGATTAAAAAAAAATCAGGTGGGGCTCGTCCGGGAGTCGAACCCGGGACCTCTCGCACCCTAAGCGAGAATCATGCCACTAGATCAACGAACCTTAGCTGTTCAAATGTAAATATATGATAATTTGATTCGGTTCTGGTACGAATTTGCAAACTCGACAAGATTAAACAAAATCTCCCTGGCAACGTTCGACGCTTTGGTAGGCGGTGCTCGGGGTACTCTGATCCGTGGCCACGTCAACAAGATCCAATGCACTTGAAGTCTGTTTCAATTGCTGCTTCAAGCTACCAAACATACAATCAGCAATGATAACATAATTATAATACAATTCATAGAATAGTTATTTTGTTAATTCATTATCTTTAGAAATATGAATAATGTTGGTATTCATAATATTATCATACTTTTAGACTTAGATATTATTTTAAAGAATAATTGTCAGGATAAACTAAAGGTTTATGTAAACGAATCGACCTTTGTGCACTTCCGCTAAAGTTATCATGATTACTTTGTATAGCTGTATAAACACACTCTCCCAAAACGATTAAGTCACCCAAAATTGAAGGGAAAGTAAGGGGTTGGTCGATTACAAAAAATGTCACTTGTGGATTATAAACAGGATGATAATCAATGGCAATGATACAACACTCGAACAAAAGATGACCCAAAGTGGGGCTCGTCCGGGAGTCGAACCCGGGACCTCTCGCACCCTAAGCGAGAATCATGCCACTAGACCAACGAACCTTAACTGTTCGATGGTAAATATATGATAATTTGATTCAGTTCTGGTACAACTTTTTTAAGTAGAACATTTCCACAAATCTCCATGGCATCACACGACGCTTTAGGCATGTTAGTCGCGCAGTGCTCACGAAATTGGGATACTCCCATCCGCTGCCACGTCAACAAAATCCAGATAAAAACTTGATATTACATTACAGTTGCTCCAAGCTACCAAACATAGCCTATATGCATCCCTATGATCAGCAGTGATCAAATAATTATAATTCAAATTTTCATAGAATAATCGTGTTGTTAATCAATTATCTTTAAATTGATAAAGCATGTTGATATTTTTCATAAAAATTATACAAAATGATAATGTTCAAGTTAACCTAGGTTTATGTAAACAAATCGAACCTTAATTTTGTGCACTTGATACTGCCACTATTATGCACAGCTGTGTTAACACTTTCTGCCAGAGCGATTAAATCACTAATAATAATGAAATAGAAACCAAGGGTTGGACAAGTCTAATGTTATTCATGAGATTGTAAATCTAAAATACAGGATAGTAAGGTTACAAAAATGAGTAGGGACCTATCATATAATTATACGAATTCAGAGATAAAATTTTCAGTAATGACACAGCAAACCGCGGCGATTTTTTGTTGTTGGTGTCTTCTACTTCTTTCTTTTTATGATGAAAGCGCGATTTATATCGCTTTATATCTAATCGAGCCTTTACAGGCAATACAAACAAAATGTGTAGGCCTGTATGAAACTATCCTCCCCCTCTCTCTCTCTCTCTCTCTCTTCCTCTCGCCTCTCCCTCTCTCCCCCTCTCTCTCTCTCTTTCTCTTCTTTACCTCCTCTCTCTCTCTCTCTCTCTCTCTCTCTCCCCCTGTGTAGGTCTGTCCCTCTATTCACCCTCTTTGAATCAGCAGCCGATACAAACTAAAACACCATATAAAATGATGTCTTATTTTTTACATACAATTTCCAACCAAGGATAAAACGTAAATTTTGACCCCCCCCCCCCCCCACAAAAAAAAAAAAAAAAAATAAAAAAAAATGATGTCATCATTCAATGATTTTGAAAAAGCTTAATCTTATAAACTTACTGTCAACGAACGATTGAATTAATTAATACACAACTAGAGTGCAAAAACGATTCCACGGGGCTTGTCCGGGAATCGAACCCGGGGCCTGTCGCACCCAAAGCGAGAATCATGCCACTAGACCAACAAGCCTGAACTGTACAGTACTCGAGAATTAACATTTTTATTCGGTTCTGGTACGAATTTGGAAGGATCTCCCTGGCAACGTACGATGCGGTGCTCCCGATTTATGGCCACGTCAACAACGTGGGGCGAGATCTAATGGATTTAAAGCATTATCACTATGCTTCTAGATACCTAACACGAGTCTCTATCATCAGTATTGATTACATGATTATATCACAATTTATGAAATAATTTTTTGTAGTTATTCTATTACCTTTACATTTATAAACCATGTTGATTTTTTTTCTCATACACACACCGGAATAATCGTGAAAATGAGGTTTATGCGAATGAAAATCGACATGAATATGCACTTGATAATTCTGCTATAATTATGATCATGACTTTCATAAGTATGCAAAGCGGTAAAAACACATCCTCTCAAAACTGAAATAGACAGCAATGGTTGGTCAAGTCGAATTCCCCCAATACTCTCTCTCTCTCTCTCTCTCTCCCTCTCTCTCCCTCCCTCTCTCTCTCTCTCTTTCTTTCTCTTTCTCCTCACTCTCCATGTGACTCTCTTTCTCTCCCACTCTCCCCCTCCCATCTATTATGACTCCCAATCAGGACCCATAGGTCACACTTGAGGAAGGAGAAACAATCAGCATATAATAATAATACTAATAATGATGATAATAATAATAATAATAATGATAATGATATTAATAATAGTAATAATAATAATAATGATAATAATAATAATAATAATAATAATAATAATGATAATAATAATAATAATAATAATAATAATAATAATAATAATAATAATAATAATAATAATAATAATAATAATAATAATAATAATAATAATAATAATAATAATAATAATAATAATAATAATAATAATATTAATAATAACATTATTAATAATAATAATCCATTTTCAGGTTGAAAGCCCAAGTTTTGTAACAGAAATAACTGAAATGTCTCTGAATAACGTAAACTAACAAAATAATTATCCGATCCTGATTATTTTTCTCTAGGCACTCTAATGAATGTTTTCTAAAGGGCCAATTAGTGGGTAATTCTATGTTGTGGCACTTTGGCTGCTCATGGACAATATAAAATTCTATTCTGGGGTAAATAAAAAGTATGGTCGATATTCTGTGACAATTTTCTGGCTTGTTTTTTTATTAGTTTGGAGTGAGGTTGTGAATGTCGAACCGTTCTTGTATTTCGACTGCCAAGAGAGGAGGCCGTGGACCACAGCTGATATCGGCTTCACGTAAGTTTATGATGATGATGGTGGTGGTGTTGGTAGGGTGGAAATGCTGATGGTGGTAGTGATGGTGGTGGTGATGATGACGTCGATCGTAGTTGTGTTGGTGGTGATGTGGTGGTGATTGTGATGTCGGTGATGATGATGATGATGATGATGAATGCTGCTGCTGCTGCTGCTTCTAATGATGGTGATGGTATGGGTGGTGGTGATGGTGATGTGATGGGACATGATGGTGATGATATTGGTGGTGATGATGATGTTGGTGACGATGATGCTGATGATAATGACGATGATGAGGGTGATGATGACATATATATCCCTCCCTCCCTCCTTCTCCTCTCAATCAGCGTTGCTATGGGTATTCTCGCTCTGATGGTTGGCCTTGGGTCCTTCTACGAGGTCTTCCTCCAGAAACTGGTCCTGAATAAAATGAAAAGCAGCAAGGACCAGGAGATCAAAGAACGCGACATCCAAGACGAGAACGCGCAAGAAGACTCACCACAAGGCGATCACGTGTCCGACATCGCCACCTCATCGGCTGACGGGGACGATGTCGGGGACGAGAAGGAGGTCGCAGAGGTTGCTTCAGAGATCAGGGAGATGGACGGGAAAGGAGGAGCCCAGATCAATGGCGGGTATCAGATGGACGTCGAAAAGCCCCCTCCTTATACAGAAGGAGTGAAGAAAACGTCTTTTGAAACAGAGGATGCGGAGAGAGGACGGACAAGAAAAACACCGAGGGGCAACCTGAAATGGGGTAAGGATGAGAGAATCATAATCCAATGATATCCAAACTCGCTTAGGAATGGGATCGTAACAAGGGATCAAACAAACATTAACATTCGATCAAATTAAAGTAATTTAATATTTACTTTGAATATTAGTTCACTGGTTTTCTCGAGCTCAACTGTTATTAACCTCAATATTCTGTTTAAAAAGGGGGAGGGGGGACTTATCAAAAATCAAAATGACTAAGCGGACTATTAAAGTAAATCCGCTTACTCTGACCTGAAAATCTTCCGATAACGCCTTTCATTAGTTAACCGTCATTCTTCCTCTCTTTCCAGCTCTTCTGCATGCTATCATGATGTCATTCTCTCTTGTGAGTAACTGCAAGAAGCTCCTAAGTGCCAAGAAGACGAAAAACACCATGGCCGTTCTAAACGGTCTAAGAGTACTAAGCATATTTTGGGTTATGCTTGGCCATTCGGTGCAATTCTGGGCCCAGGATCGTATCGGTAAGCTCTTTCTCTCTTGTCATATTCCTTCACCCGATGCTCATGAGAGCCGTTCTCTGTTGACGTAGTCCTGTTGAACCCCTTCTCTTCTATTATTATAACTAGATTCCTGCCCTTTGCAAATACTTTCAATATTTCAAAATAGTATTTGAAAAGCATTGCGCATTATTATGCAACACCATAACGTTGCATTCGTGTGTATATGACAGAGGACATATAAAGCTAAAAGACGACATTGGCTCGCCTCATTACGGTTTTTCATTTTTCTCGCCCCCCCCCCCTCTTTCTCTCTCTCTCTCTCTCTCTCTCTCTCGCTCCCCCCTCTCTCTCTCTCTCTATCTCTCTTCTCTCTCTTTCTCTCACTCACTCATTCTCTCTCTCTTTTTCTGTCTCCCTCTCTCTCTTTCTCTCTATCCCTCTCTCTCTCTCTTTCTTTCTTACGTACAGGTAACCCCCTGCAGGCAATTGACGTCATACTGGCCCACATGTCGTTCGGTGCCATTTATTCTGGTAGTGTTTCGGTGGACACATTCTTTGTTCTCAGGTAAGTCCTTTTTCATTGTTATATTTTTTACATCATGCGTTCCCTTTCCCTAAAGATTATTTCCTTCAAATGTTAGGTCGAATGTGGAATTTAAGATTTTAATCTTTTGGCCTTATATTTGCGTACAGTGATTGTTCATGCATGATAATTTGTTGCATATTGATTATTGTACTTTTAAAATGTCATGATTGCAAGTTTCCTTGAGTTTTCATATACACTGTTGCTCATAAAGGTGGAATATTTTAGTTTTACCCCAATTTATGGAATTATTTTAAAAACTATTTAAAAATAAAAGATCTAGATAATAGTTTTCACTCTCAGATTTTATTGAATAATAATTTGCTAATGTGTGTTTTGCGGGACTGCTAAAGCATGTGTATGCTGCTATGCTTATTAACTAGGGGACTTACGCCCTCAAGTCATAAATGACAGTAATGAGGATTAATGCCCCACAAAAGGGCACTAATATAGCACATCGACACGGTTTTGATCCTGGGGCCTCACAGTTACGAGGCCATTGTTTTGTCACTGAACCATGACTGTACGCAGCGGGGGCTAGGGTAGGGGGCAGTTTCCATAAATTAAAAAAAACACAGAAAATGCAATAAATTTTCAATAATTTATTGCATTTTACCCCGGTCCCCAACATTAAAAAATCCTCTGGACGGCCATGCATTGTGGCTCAAGGCATGGGCACACAGAAGATGTTTTATGTTGGGAACCGGGGTAAAATGCAATAAATCATTGAAAATTTATTGCATTTTCTGTGTTTTTTTTAATTTATGGAAACTGCCCCCTACCCTAGCCCCCGCTGCGTACAGTCATGGTTCAGTGACAAAACAATGGCCTCGTAACTGTGAGGCCCCAGGATCAAAACCGTGTCGATGTGCTATATTAGTGCCCTTTTGTGGGGCATTAATCCTCATTGCTGTCATTTATGACTTAAGGGCAAAGGTCCCCTAGCTGATAAGCATAGTAGCATACATATGCTTTAGCAGTCACGGAAAGCACACATTGGAAAATTATTGTTCAATAAAATCTGAGAATGTATACTATTATCTAGATCTATTATTTTTAAATTATTTTTTTAAATAATTCCATAAATTGGGATAAAAAAAATATATTCCACCTTTATGAGCGACAGTGTATTTACTTCTCTAAAAACAGCCTTTTTTCTCAAACAGCTAATTCTAAATCTAAATTTTCTTCTCAGGGTGGGAGGGAGTGCCCCTCCCATATACCCATCTGGCATATAAGCTTTGTTTTATCCATCAGTTTTTCTTTCAAAGTCAGAACGTATGTGCATCATTAAAAATTAATACAATTTCAAAAGGTTTATAGCACGTGGGGATACCAAGATACATCACGCCTTTCCCTGTCTGCTATATGTACGGTTAAGCCCTTTCTTGGATCTTAGATCTTGGATTCTTTTCCTCCTAAATACTCCGAAGAAGAGTTTTGACTGGAGGTGGTGGAGGGTGGATGATTACATTTCCATTTCTAGAAGCCGATGCCCATTGGTACCTCTAGCCATGCCCCTGAAAAAAAGGAAATACATTTAAAATTATACTCATCACGATATCATCATCATAAATACTTAGGTATCTAATATGATACATTTTCTTTCAATCTTTTTTTAAATAATTGCGTCTCCCATTTTGCAGCGGATTTCTGGTCGGTTATATGACGCTGAAGGCGATAGATAAGAAGGCCCTATCGAGCGCTGGAAGCTGGGTCATGTTTTACTTTCACCGCTGGTGGCGCCTCACCCCTGTCTACATGGCTGCCGTTGGCATCTGGGCTTTGTGGTGGCCCCACTTTGGTGATGGTCGAAGTGTGTTTGCTGACTCCTTGTATGATTTCATCCAAGGCTGGTGTCGGAAACAATGGTGGACACATCCCCTCTACATCAACACACTCTATCCATGGCCCAACGTTCTGGAATACTCGGTTAGTACTATTAATAATAATTACAATATGTCTTTTGTACCCAGGGTATCCTCATCAGTATTACTGATGTTCTGAGGGTCCTGCAATCATATTATTACACCCTGCTCTTAACGCAGCTACCATGATAAGTCGCACGAGCATTCAAGCAATTTTTTTCGTACCGGGTACCCATTTACTACTACACATGGTTAAAGAGTGACAAACGTAGACTAATATCTTGCCAAATGACATTAGTGCCGCAGTCGGACTCGAACCGCGAACAACGTAATTCACAGTCCAGCGGCGTATCCACTAGACCAAGACACCTCTACTTTTATAAAGCTGGGCCCCGTTTCATAAAACTTGTTTTCATTAACAAGTGTCACATTTCTATAACAAATTTGCTCTCAGCCAATCAAATGCTACGATTTCAGTAGCTTATAACAGTTATTGTAACTTGTGATCGATAACAAGTTTTATGAAACAGGGCCCTGGTCGGGTATGAGTCGTCGTTCACTGACGAAGAACTGTGTCAGTGACTTTGACGTCAAATGTGAAAGAGACATTGTACAAAAAAGTGAATGAAAAAATGACAACAACAGTCTAAAAAGTGTGTAGAATTACTGTCAAATGGGAAAATTAGTCTTCACATTCAGGCTGGTCGCATATAGTCGTGTATAGGCACAAGAATAACTAAAGCCTCGGTTACAAATGCCATTACGAACTGATACGAACGCCGTACGAACGATTTTCAGACAATGGAAATTCGGGAAGACAGTGGAAAACAGGGAGATTCGTACGAACGCATTGTTCGTACGAACCTTTGTGACCGTAGCTTAACGCAATATCAGCTGACATAATTTGTTTAAATTCCGAACTCATTAAATCTCGAACATTTTAATGCACACACTGGTGTTTAGATCACCTCTCGATAACTTCTTTATTCTTCCGTTCTTTTTAAAAGCTTACATTTTTCTTTAGTCAATGCGAGATTTTTTATTTTAATATCCACGTACACACTCCCATGATGATATGAACAATACGACCCATTTTCGTTCCCCTTGACACAATGCCTCCTTTCCGTGTCATTAACATTTTAAAAATATTTGATTGTCATGAATTACTGTTTCCGATGTATCGTATGACTTACATTTTTTCCTGCAGTGTATGGGATGGTCCTGGTATCTTGCTTGTGACATGCAGTTTTTCATCATCAGTCCTATCATTCTCATCGTCCTCTACAAGTGAGTTGCGATGGTAACGTGTAACATAACATCTACGAACTGGCTTGTACACCGATGACGAATAGGAGCGATGAAAAAGTAGGAGAGAGTTAGAGAGAGAGGGGGGGGAGGAGAGAGAGAGAGAGGGGTAGAGAGAGAGAGAGAGAGAAAGAAAGAGAGAGTATGTGTGTTTGCGTGTGTGTGCGCGTGTGTGTGTGTATGTATGTGCGCGAGAGAGAGGGAGAGAGGGAGAGGAGAGAGAGAGAGAGAGAGGAAGAGAAAGAGAGGAATAGATAGAGAGAGAGAGAGAGAGAGAGAGAGGAAGAGAGAGAGAGGAATAGAGAGAGAAAGAGAGAGAGACGAAGGGATAAAGATGTAAATAGAGAAAGGTAGAGGAGGAGACTATTGGGAGTAAAGAGGACGAGAGAGAAATAACAGACACTTCGTCGTGGGATATATGCACATTACTTACACATTATACTTTTGAAGATGGAAGTAGTCTATGTATGAAAATACTATCAGAATTGTTAATAATGAAAGAATTGATATGACAATATTGATGATAATCAATAATGCTCTTTATTGAACAATTATATATAACTCTTTTAGGTCCCACCAACTTAGCCGAAATTGTAGTCATTCAATTTCCCGAGACAAATTTTCTTGAGCCCGGTATACTAGTTTTCGATCTGATAACAACCATTGTTCCAACTTGTCCAACCGATAGCGTAAACTTACACTTTAAGCCGATACAAGGTTTCGCCTATCTGGGCGGTTGAGATAAGACATGATGAATACAACTCGAGCTTCGTTACCATACTATTACTATACGTTTCTAAATCAATTTTCACCTCAAAATCTTTTCGTATCCATCTAGGAATGGCAAAGCAGGCGCGGCACTCATTACGTCTATATTTCTGGTGTCTCTAGGATCACTATTTGGACTCACGTGGCATTATGGATACGTCACCAACGACCAGCCGTAAGTTAGGATAATAATACTAACTTATGACAATGCATTTACCCTGAGAAGCCTCTTCAACACCATTGCTGAGGACCACTACCTGATAACCCCACCCCACGCACTAATAAGGGTGCAATTGGGGTGCAGATTTGCATCCACCTACACGTATTTGGTAAAGGGTGCTGCTATTGTAGCATAATTGCACCCTTGTTTCTTAGTGTGCGCTATAGTAAACAGGTACCCATTTACACCTGGGTGGTGGGTTGAACAGGTAGATGGATGTCTTGCCTAACGAATTCGGTGTCGGACTGGGATTCGATCCATGAACCCTTGGATTGAGAGTCGAGTGAATGAACCACTATACCACGACACATCCAACTTCAACATCAGTTTAGAGATTTTGAAAGAAAACTTCCTCTCCTAACAAAGACAACGCATTAAAAAAAATCAATGTGAATTGTAGTGATTACGCGGTAATACTTAACATTGTACAAACTCTGCAGTTCGCAAACAAGGATCGTAAAAAAAAGAAATGCATTTGTTGTTGTAAATAAGGATTCATTGTTAATTATCGTTATGACAATGATGATAATTATGATGATGATGATGATGATATTGATGATGATAATAATATAATGATATTAATGATGATAATGATAACAACGGTAGCACCAGTTATGATAATACTACTACTAATAATGATAACAACAATGATAATAATAAGATGAGAATTATAATGATAATGATAATGATAATAATTACAAAAAAACATAATAATAATCATCGTCATACTTGAAAACCACGCCTGTGTTCGGGAATTGTAGAACGTAGTATGAAAGGAAGATTCAAGCAAAAAATGGTGCCCGGTATCACTTTTTTGTAAAGATTTTGTCCTCATTGGACATCTTCTGATAATACTTTGGAAGTTTTTGGTGTTAGCCTTTTAGATAAGTGTTTCAGTTTCAGATTAAAAACATTTTCTGAAGAAGTCCAATGAGGATGAAAGTTTAAAAACAGAGTTACCCTGCGTCATATTTCGCTGGCATCATACTTTCCCACTATGAGGTTTTTATAGAAATCGGAAATGATGTTCGCTTATTATCTTTATTTTTGTTATTGCAGTTCTTATAATGATAATAGGCCTGATCCTCCGAACGCCGATACCACTTACACCAAACCTTACACGAGGATTCCAACTTATCTGATCGGCTTGGTGTTGGGGTACTTTATGTTTAAACTTAAAGGAAAGAAAGTCAAAATGCCAGTGGTAAGTCAAGCCCCAGTCCTTCTACCAGCTCATGAATGCTATATCCTTTTATTTACTTTCGGCTGCCACTTCCAAGTGTTTTTGTCGTTGAACTGTGAACTATTGAAAATTACTGACTGTGTTGACGAAATCAGTCTTCAGCATTGAGATTGTCGTTATCAAAATGTATCCAAGTGACGGAAACCTTTAATTTTTGAAAACTTCACTTGACTGTATAGTTGCTAATTTTTGTTAAATATTTTACTTTCATGGTTATCCCTATTTTGAATATTTTATAGTTGCCCTTGTTAACAGCTTCATTAATTCATTATCATAAATATCTTTATCATCGCATCATCATCATCATACTGACTACTTTTTTTATTAACAAAAATTGATATTTTGTATCCTTATCATTACTATTATGTTAAAGAAACCCTAATGTTTTGTAATATCTTGAAGTTTTTTTATCTGGTAAGAAGAAAGTTATCAACTGTGGAGGCGGCATCGCTTTTCTAACAAACAATTTTTGTTTAAATCATTATTTCAACCCCCCCCCCCTTCTCAGTATATTGCAGTAACCGGGTGGGTTCTGGCCCTCGCGACACTGTTCGCGGTCGTCTACGGTGTCTGGTCCGGTGCTTACCGCTACGTACCGCAAATCGAAGCGGCTATATACTTGACGTTCTTCCGTCTCGGTTGGGGCGTGGGCATTTGCTGGATCATATTCGCTTGTCTGCAGGGATATGGAGGTAAATACACAGGTTTGATGATGACCTGCGATAGGCCACACCTACTATTGAGTGTGACCTATCGTAACCTTTATCATTATCAAAATGACCAATGAATATTCAGAGCATGACGTAGTTATGGAGTATCTTGAAGACATACAAATCTGTTGACCTAAAATGACCTTTGACCTTGACTTTGTTCCCATGTCATAATTCGTCCGCGTATACTGGAATTGGTGAAATTACTAATGAATAATGTGTGTAGCCAAACTCGCATCCAGCAAAATTCATATCCTACCCTCTACTTCGAACTTGATGCGAGAGACTAGGAAAGCGTTCAGTCATTTTTGGATGCAAAATTTATGACGGTGACTTTACATTATGGACTGATACGTCTGCAGTTTATGTAGAGTGTACACATCATATGAATTGCATCAATGTCTTTGTCATTAGCACCCGTGGTCTGTTATAGAAAGTAAACTTCAATATGGCTCTCGGGTATTTATTTGATAGTTAATCACTATTGCATTTCCCCTATTCTGTATGAGAAGTGGGTTCTGGCATTGTCTATGGGCGCTACAATTATGTCTGTATTTTAGTCAAAAGATGATTATCAGTCATTGATTTAACTATTACTTGTCAACCCGGTTATTGACTAGGAAAGTAGTGATAGCGAATGTTAATGAGAATAATAACAGTAATGAAATGTTGATTATAAGGCTTTATAATAACACGTATTATCTCCTATCGAGTAAAATCATGTAATATTGTGATTGCTTTATTGTGTTTCGTAAAAAAAAAAAAAAAAAAACTACACAATTTTGGAACATAACTCTTGTTAATTATACTCTCTCTCTCTTCCTCTCTCACTCTCTCTCTCTCTCTTTGTTTGTCTGTTTGTGCTTGTGTGTGCTTGTGTGTGTGTGTGTGTGTCTCTCTATTTCTCTCTCTCTCTCTCTCTATCTATCTCCATTTTTCTTTACATCTCACCCCATCTCCCAAATCTCTTTCTGTCTCTTCCTCTCCACATCACATTTCTTTTCCCCCTACCACTCTCTTTCCCTCTTACCCCTTTCCCCCACCCCTTTGTACCTTATTTGCCCTTCCTTCATTCCTCCGTATCTACCACAGGTCCTGTCGGTGTGTTCTTGGAGTGGAGCTTTTGGATTCCTCTTGCTCGTCTTAGTTACTGTATCTACCTGGTTCATCCCATTGTGATGTACAGTGTTCTCCTCACACAACAAACCCTCTTCCATTTCACATACGTCTCAATTGTGAGTCCAAAACAAAAAATCTTATCTTAATCCATCGCATATTATAACCAGGCGGCTCATTTATAAAACCTACATGGCACGAAAGAAGTCAGGAATTAACGGGTTAAAAGGGACGTTATGAACTTGTTCTTTCAAGCCCATTTCACACTATTAGCGAGTTGGGTCGAACCGCAAGCTGTCTCGGTAAACTCGTAGATTATTTGAGAAAACTTTAAGCATAATCTTAGGTAACTTTTAGATAACCAATAAGGTGACTGGTACATATCCCATCGATTACTCGTAGATAATGCGTGGATAACCCGTAAAATGGCTAGTAGATAACTCGTAGACTACTCGTAAATAAGATAAATGATTAAAAACAGTAGATAACTCTTAGATAACTCGTCTATAACCCGGAGGTAAGTCGCCATGCATGCAGAGTTCCTAATAAGTCGCACTGACTTATAAGCATTTCGAAGACACACTCGTCATGCAATTTCTTCTTTTCTTCAAGTTATAATTCAAAACAGATTTATGAATTGTTTCAAAGCACACTTGAAACATAACCATAATATTGTCGTTTCCTTTATTACAATTCCGACTGTTGTTATTTATTCTCTCAATATCCATTTCTTCCGTTGTAGGCATACCTGTATGTAGGGAACGTGGTATTCTCCTGCGCAGCCGCTCTCGTCCTCTCTCTCCTGGTAGAGGGACCTATCATGGGACTCGAGAAGGTCATGTTCGGAAAGTTCAAGAGGTCATAGGTCAACCAATGACGTATACAAAGCAAGAACAATATTGACCAATTCAAATTTATCATAATATTCTGCATACTTCTGAAATTCTAATTGTAACTACTTCTAATAGGAAATACTGTAGGTTAATGATACTAGATAATTCCTTGAACTACATCAACTGAATATGAAAGCGGTGTGTAAAGTTTTAATGGTAAAGTAATGACATATCATGCTAATAAAAAAAAGCATATTCATATTAGTTTGTTTAAACTTTTTATACGAAAAGGTGGCAAGTAATCATCCCTTTTTGGAATCTGAAAAAAATCTCATGTATGATACATTTCATGAGAAAGACACAGAGAGAGTGTGTGAGAGAGAGAGAGAGAAAGAGAGAGAGAGAGAGAGAGAGAGAGAGAGAGAAGTTCCAAAGCTCACTATTTTGTAAAGATGAAATACTCGGAAGGAAAAAACATCTTGGGACATTTTCTTGATCATAATGTTTCCAAAATGTGAAAACGCAGGGAGAACAATAGTCAATAATCTGTAAAGCCCTTGAAGAGTCAAAGATTTGGGGCTCAAATAATTAGACCGACATTGACAGAACAGTTCACTAGAGCGACAGCCCACGAGACCAACAAAACAAAGAAAGAAAGAAATGAGGGAAGATAGAAATCGTGTCGGTCTTTCGGGCTGGCGGTCTTGTGGGCTATCCACATCACGGAACGTCGCTCCAGTGATGAATCCTGTAAACAGTGGCTAAAATGCCTACAAGACCGGTTGTCGATCTCATAGGCTGTATTAGGAATTATAGATGAATCAATGTTTCAGTTGGAAACCTCATTATTATTACTAATATGATGTACATAATTATTTACATAATAATACAGATGTTGTTGATGATGAGGATTCGAAAGAGGATGGTGATGAAGATGTCAACAATAATGATAATAATAAAATTAATAATAGTAATTAAATTTCAACTGGTTTTGACTGGATTTTTTCACAAGAGGTATTCTAGTAAGAGAGAGAGAGAGGGGGAGAGAGAGAGAGAGAGAGAGAGGGGGAGAGAGAGAGAGAGAGAGAGGGGGAGAGAGAGAGAGAGAGGGGAGAGAGAGAGAGAGAGAGAGAGGGGGAGAGAGAAAGAGAGAAGGGGGAGGGGCAGGTGGTTGAGAAAAACAAAACAAATATATGCCATAAAATCAAGGTAGAAAGAGGTGGGGGTAAGTTCATTTTCTAATTTACCCACAATCACGTATGTCCATCTTTAACAAATATTCCATAGTTTTCCTACAATTTACCGGTTGATGTGTACACAACTACTTTGACACAAACATTGATCACGCCAGCCATGGTGATAGAAAGTCATCAAATAAGCATCATGTATGAACTTGCCCTCACCCCCCGGTAGGATAAATAAAGAATTCATGATGCCTTTGACTTGATGGCAATAGATCACAAATTGATAAATGAATCAGAGCTAATAATCTGTCTCCGTGTTCATTTTTGTGTTTCGTTTAGCTACCATGTTAACCGTTCGACAAAATCAAATACCAATACCAATGCTAGTTGTATGCATGTCTACACAGAGGCATCGCTCTCATGAAGGGATGGGGGGGGGGGTATGGCTAAGGGGTCAAGGTGCACGGTGCCCCTTCCAAGTACCCCACAAAAGTGCCCCTTTTACTTCAGATAAGTGCCCTTTTTCTTTCTCACATGTGTCCGGTCGTCCCCCTTCTCATAACTTTGCCTCTTTTCATCCCTGAGAACTGTACCCCTTTTCTAATCTGATAGGTGCCCCTTTTACCTTCATATAAATGCCTACTGTCCATTCTTATAAGTGCCTCATTTCAGAAGCGAGTATTGCCTATCTTATCTCTGATAAGTACCATTTTTACTCTTTTTTTTGGGGGGGGGGTCTGAAGATTGTAATTTTCGTTTTAAGCTTATCCTTTGAGTCGGTGCCCTTTTCACAAGAAAAATTGTCCTTTTTTGCTGGTGCGCCCCCTGTTTGAAATACGCTCCGCAGCACTTGTGTTTACATTGTTGCAGGTATAAAAAGAAGAAAACAAATACGAATACCAATATCGATTTTATGCATTGTGAATCTTTTACATAAATGAGATCAAATCCTATAATACAAATTTGCAATACTGATTGCATCTTCTCAATATGCTTTATTATTTTGTCATGAGAACAGTCTTTTGAAGAGGAAGATTTCGCACGGTCGCTCTAAATTAACTCTTTATGACTCTATTGGCCACGGAAATAGTCAATTAAATAGAAGTATTGTGCACGTGCGATAATCCATGCTTAGGTCACGAAAAATATTAAGCGATTGCCAGTCTGCGCACACTCGCTCTAAATAACTCATATTCTACTTTTCATTAGAACGATAAGACCCGTCACGTCAACCCGTCAAACAGAACGCCACAAACAAGAGCAATGAGAGTACAGTTTAAGAGAGGTTTCTGAAACAGCTATTCAAGATTGAACGTTATAGAGGTGGCGGAAGGAACACATCTGTTACTTCTCGCTAAGAATCAGAATTTAATAAAACACAATGGTAAGTATTATGATGCTTGATTTTTTCGTGTTATCGTTATCATGATGATTTGAGTATTTATTTACATTTATTAATACACGGTGACAAGACTCGTTTCCATTGGGGCCGTGTCAAACACTGAAAAGCTTCTTTTAAATTTACCTCACCTAAAAACAAAGGTAACTACTCTTGGAGATTGCGCTTTTAGCCTACCACTAGACATACGAAAGGTATCATTTGTTGCTGACTACAAGTTTTGTTGAAACGCACTTGCTTTTCAGGAGCTTTTGAATATTATTGTATTATGTGTCTGTAAAGTAGCCAGGGGCGTACGCAGGGGGGTGTTTTGGGGGTTCAAACCCCCCCTTTGGTATTTTAATGTATGTAAACCCCCCTAAAAAAACCTAAACCCCCCCCCCCCCCCTTTGGCTTTTTTTTTTTTTTTTTTTTTTTATTAAAAAAAAAAAAAAATTATACCCACGGCTCACCTAAATAAGGTGACCTTACCCCCCCCCCCCCCCCCCATACGTAAAAAAATGTCAAATTTTGAAATTTTGAGACCAAAAAAAAGTGTCCGCTTACCCCCCTCCCCCCCCCCCCCCCCCCCCCCCCCCCCCCCCCCCCCCCCCCCCACTGAGCGACTTTTCTGCCGGCTGAGTCGTTGCGATTTTTTTTGGCCAAAAAAAAAAAAAAAAGTGTCCGCTTACCCCCCCCCCCCCCCCCCCCCCCCCCCCCACTGAGCGACTTTTCGGCCGGCGCGATTTTCAAATTTTCGGGTGCAAAATATTTTAAAAACCCCCCCCCTTGAAAAAATCCTGCGTACGCCCCTGAAAGTAGCACTGCTGTGAGTTTTGTTTTCATCACAGATCAAAATATATTTATGTAGTAGCTGCGCTATATAAATTGATCCAGTTATTATTCATATGGCCGTTATCGGAATGAAAATTAATCGATTACATAATATTATGAGCGTCTTCAATAAGCGCAAAGCGCATGTTTAGAGAAATTTACAATTTATTATGCGCTTCATAAATATTCTCTATTATTATTATTAAGTATATTGAACATCATTACTCGCAGTATTTCGTTTCCTTTTCTTTCCAAGCTTATCCCATCCATTTTTTAAAAAGATTGTAGCTTCCTGTTGAACCCGAGGGGTATTATTCAGTATACGTGCTGCCCGATTCCGTATTCTTTGGAGATCCTTTTGAAGACACTTTCCACAATTTCCCCATAATACTTCAAATTGCGTCGCCGAGTGACAGGAGTCATGAAGTTATACGGGGATTCAGGATTTTTGAAATTCATTGAAGTTATGAAATGACAAGTACCCCTTTATCTTATAATGCATTTTGTAGCAATGCATTGATCATGCATTGAAAATAAGGCTGCATGGAAGAAAAACAATTCTTTCTAATGTTATACCATGGTGTCGTGGAATAGTGGTTCGGGTTTAAAAGAAATAGATTACTCACCTTGTAGTAAAGGACGTTAGCGCTGTGGTACGGATTCGAACCTATAGCAGTAACCTGTCTGATGACTTACATCCCCCATACCACATCACCTCCTCCGCAAGTCATTACGAGTAATAGAGTCAGGTTTAATGTTGACTTGATCTTATTAGCTTTTGGTTCCACCAAACGCGTCAGGCCGAAGATAAAAGCATAAAAGGATATTAAGTCCATCCTGGCATACAGTCGAATCAACATGAATAGCAAATACTAAGTATTGCATTTTGATGAGTTCGTCAATATTGCATGGGTGAGGATTCGTAAATGTAATCAAAAATCACATTAAATTGCAAGTGGGATATAATTGTGTTAGGTTACAGTGAACCTTAAGAATCAGCTTTAACTCTACGAGAATTACAGGAATAAGAAAAATCCCCCCGAATTGTGTCATAATAATTAAAGGTAATACAAAGTTTTGAAAATTGGGTGGATAGTGATTCTTTACAGTTTTGATATATTTGGATGCCCCTGTGGATGTATTACATGTATAAGCACTAGAAAATTTAGCCCCTAAAACACTTCTGCTTTTAGAAAAAATTTGAATATAAAAATTTACCGGTGCTCCCGGTAAATGTTGATAAATTTCAAATAGCGCCTACGGCCGTACGATGGTAGCTGCGACCATGAAAATCTCAGAATATGTAGTTGTGATATATATTATTTCCAAGTGGGAATAGGTAATCAGGCGATTTTAGTCAAGAAAAATTGTTTTATAGCATAATTAATATCTTGACCTTGAGAGGAAGCTATACAACAAAAAGATTGTATTATTTACAATTTCATAACTTTAGACTCGATTTCGACCGCGACAACGATCACTGAATATTGTAGGATCGCATATGCTTCCAATATGTTCATTTGAACCAATTTTATGACCCCATACCAAAACTTTGTAATACCTTTAAGGATGAATAGAACAAGGACAACAGAGCTGAGTAATAACGCGGGAAGAGAGAGAGAGGGGAGAGAGAGAGAGAGAGAGAGAGAGAGGGAGGGAGAGAGAGAGAGAGAGAGAGAGAGAGAGAGAGAAGAATAAAGGGGATCTAGAAAGCGTAATATTATTATTATATAACCCCCCCCCCCCCAAACAAAAATATTAAAAAATATTTTGTTTAAAGTTACATAACCCCCAGTTGACCTACGGTTTTCCGGTATATGCAGTTTGTTCGGCGGTGTGGCTGGAGTATTAAATTGCCATTTATTTATGTTTGTTTACAGATCTTTTATAAAGCAGTTCTCTTCATAACTACTTTGTCAAGTCTTTACATGACATCTGGTAAGATTATTAATTCTTTAAATCCTATAGTTAAGCAAATGTTTGTTACATTGTATAAAGCTCCTTTAAAGCTTGATAACTCTTCGTGCACAAAGTTTAACTACAGTAAATCACATAATAAAAATAGACATGAGCCGGTTGCGTCAATGATGATCGAGGAATTCTCTTTAGAATTAAAAAAAACAATTGGTTTCAGTCTCTTTGATAAAATATAAGGTCTAGTAGCACCCTTGGGGAGGTAAACTATCACCTTGTGGACCATGTGGGCAGATACTAGACAAACTATGCTAGACCAAACTTTAATCCGGGCTTGTGGAACAGTATAGCCTCGTTATTCCTTGCTCTCAGAAGATCTTCAACACCAGAAGTGTGGACGTTGTGGAACCTTACTCTTGTAAACCAATGTAGACCTAGCTAAACGATTTCTACTAGGCAACATATTTCGATCTTGAAGAACGTCAGTATCGTGGACCTTGCTGTCACAATATCTCCAAGACCGATCGAGGGCTTCGACCATGTTTAATACCACAGCCCATGGAGTTACTAGCCCATGCACAGTCATACCGTCAAAATCGACTCCACACCGAATCCAAACCGATCAATCGTGGGCCATTCGTGGTGTTGTAATTGTTTGTTCGGTCTGCTGTCGGTCTTGTTTTGGTTCCGTTGGTGTGACTGAGGTATCACTTTATTCTCGTATCATGGTCAGAAGGCCTGCTTGCTCTTAAGTTTCAGTTTTTATCTCCAATATTTTCCCTTCCAACCATACGTCTTTTCTTTGTTCCATCCTGAAGACAAGGACATCATGATTTCCCGGTACAGTTCTCACAAGGACAAATTCATTTTACTGTTAAAATTTCAGTTGTTATTTGTTGGTAAGATATACATTATTTTACAGTTATAATTTCAGTTGTAATGGCTGGGAAAATGTAAGTTATTTTACTGTTGCAATATCAGTTGTAATTATACAGGGAAGACAAATTCATTATTTGTTTTGGCGAACGCAGCAAAGATTGCAGGATATTATAATGAGCATGGACTACTTGAGTATAGATTGAATTTGTTGTTAACTTCTTCACTGAATTCATCCGTCTGTGTTTTTGTTTTTTGTTTTTTGTATATAGTCTCTTCTCACTGCCCAGATGCGTACGACCTAAATTACACCTTACCGCTCTTCGAACAATGCAAAGTGAAGATGGTAGACGGCGACATGGTACAGACCATTCCGAAGCTCCTTCCAGGTTCCGCACACCAGAGCTGCAACCGAAGGCAAAATGGCGGGATCCCAGAGGGCCGTCGCATCTGCCGTGTCCCAGGTTTGACAAATATTATACTACTTTGTCTTTGAGCTTTCTCATTAATTTCTTTTTTATGTCACGGAGAGAATGTCCCCTGATAGAGTTTGCTCTTTAAATGCCCCAAACGAATAGCTAAATAGTTTGGACCACACTTTTACAAAATTGTCTGTAGTCCCATGCACCTATTGCTGTGTGCAGAGTATTCAGAGCACGTTTACTGTCAGGAGGTATGATCCAATATCTATTAATTTTAATAATCCACAAACCTGTATATATAAACGATTTTAATGTAAGCCAACCACATAATCAACTTCTCCTTGTTGCATCCAAACAGTTTCTTTGTGAACAATGGCGTTGCATGAACAAAACTAAACTTTATGTTTGATAACGGTGGTCTGTACAATGTCATCTTAATCGTCTGTTTGTTTCCACTCCAAAACTCATACCCATTTACATCGCTCCGAAGAATGTCTGCAACAACCATGTCAAAACGGCTGGTGTGAGGAGACTATGGTTAGATACACTTGTCACTGCCAAACGGGATATACCGGAGAGAACTGTGAAACAAGTGAGTCTCATTTCACTTATTTTACTATTAAAAAAGTAAGAGTATTTATATTAGGCAGGATAATTAAGATTTGTCAATGGGGACATGACGATATTGTTGATTCATGAAAAGAAATTGGTTGCTTTGTTAAATTGCAAAAATAAAGAAAGTCTTGAAAAATCTTATGCAGCAAAAGAATTAGTAATTTGACTGGATTACATTTGGCCTGCGATTAGTCTATGGAGCCCATATTCTGCCCGTAACCCCTTTTCCGTGCAGCCTCCGTACGGAGGCAGGAGGCGGCCGTGAGATTTTCGTACGGATTCACGGGCTCCGCGGGGCTCCACGGCGTCTACGATTTTGTTTCGCAGAAAGTTAAACAACTTTGAAAACTCGTAAGCCCGTAGTTGGTTAACATGTCGTAGGTGTCATTGTACAATCACCGCACGGGCATCGCGCGGAGGACTATCGCTGGTCCTGCAGCAAACGCGCGATTTTTCGATGAACATGAAGGCAAAAAAACACTTTAAAATGACACGGCGGCTGCACGGCCACCGCGCCTTCTCCGCGCAACCTTTGCACGGAAGCTGTACGGGCTCCGTACGATTTCCGTGCGGAGGCTACTGCTACTGGGTTGAAATTGCACGATTTCTGTACAATCTCCGAGCAGCCCCTGTAAGGATTTGCCCCGGCTTTCCCCCAAGGGCCAATACAAGAAATGGCACGATGCTCGTAGATAATGTTAACACACACATCGTAGCCCGTAGCCTCCTACGATGCCGCCAAAATCGCACGAAAAATCGTAGACTAATTTACCGTACGGCGCCCGGGGCAAATGTAATCCAGGCATAACTAACGTTATCTGAAATTATGAAAGAAAAAAAGACCTGATTTTATAATCATTTAAAAAAAAAAAATTACTAAACGAAAAAATAAACTTGCCCCTTTCCCGTTGAGACAATATATTTCGTCATTCATTCGGTACCGGTGACTATCGCATCCATCATTCTCAGTCAGACTTCTTTGATGTAGGTGTTCGTTAAGTAGCAAAGATACTCACGATTGTTAATGGGTGTCAGCTCTGGTTATTAGTCAAGATTTGATTCTCCTAAAATGGATTGAGTATCATTGAAAATGAGACTGGGAAATAGTTACCTTGTGTTTTCTTCGTATGCGTAGGAGAAAAAATTCGCAAGGGAATTGCATATTTTTCTTCGAATATAAGATTTGAAGTTTCTTAATTTTGTGAGTGAGAAAAAGCAAGGGAGCAAAGTTTTGACACTATGATACAGTGAAAATGTCTGACATTCAGAAAACATCAATTGAAAATAAGAAAAAGACACTACCCATTATGTACATAAACTGACAGAATACTGGTAATTTAAACCTCCGGCGCACCCCCCCCCCCATCGCTTCATGTCCACATGCTTCTGGTTTTCCTCTTTATGAAGAGAAATTAGAATGAGGTATGATATTATACAATGATTTTCTGCTCAGAGATGCCGACGATTAAAACAGACGATGGGACTACGTCATCAACAGAACGAGTCGTGACGAAAGGTAAAGAGAATACCCTTTTTTAAAGTTCTGTTTTTTATAGTTTTTTTTTGTGTAGACATAACGAATGGACATCTTGAAAATATATGTTCACTTTGAACATTTTAGCTTGAAGTAGATGATAATGATTAGTAAAAAAAATCAAATAATGAATTGTAACCAATTATGATTTTAATGATGTTGCTTACATTTTAGACGCTCTACGTTTTGTTCTGGACCAAAAGATGATTTGGTATTCTATGATATATACTATTTTTGTTAACTTTTCGATATTCGAAATGTTTAACTTGTCAAAGAGTACTTATACCAATGCAGTAAGTTGAACATTTGTCTTATTAATTCAAACAGAATGCTTAAAACCATTAAAATTCATATCTAAATTTTAAAAAGCTTTACTTCATTTTGTGGTAAACCTAGACTTACAGATACTTTAAACACTGTATCTCAATTGTGTGAGCGAGCGAAGCAATATGGGGTAGGTAAGCGTACACTTTTTTTTTTTACGAGTTCCCAAAAAACCGCAACGACTCAGCCAGCCGCTGAATAAGCGGGGGGGGGGGGGGGGGGGGGGGGGGGGGGGGGGGGGGATAAGAGGACACTTTTTTTTTTTTTTTTTTTTTTTTTTTTTTTTTTTTTTTGGGGGGGGGGGGGGGGGGGGGTCTCCAGATTTGAAAATTTGACATTTTGTCCAGTTGGGGGGGGTAGGGTCACCTTTTTAAGGTCACCTATTGGCAATTTTTTATTTTTTTTATTATTTATTTATTTTTAATTTATTTAAAAAAATAAAATTAAAAAAAAATCAAAAGGGGAGGGTTTTCCAAAATAAAATACACATAAAAAAAACCTCGAGGGGGGGGGTTTAACCCCCAAACCACCCCCCTGCGTACGCGCCTGGTTACAGGAATACACCAACTGGAAACAGCGCTGCGGAGAATTACGTCAATTACAACCATTCTTCTAGTAAATATTATTGGTATCATTTTCATAATATCAAATGGGACTTTTGCTTTCTTATTACTCGACTCGAATGAAGTTTTAAAAAATTGAATGAATTAAAAATTATATATCATTAGAAGACACATAAAGCAAAGACATATTTTGAATATCTTCGAAGTTATTCAATGGATTCAAATTACAAATTCTAAAAGTAGAACGTTCATGTATAGAAAGTCAGTAACAGACACCAGGGTAAATAAAGTTGACTTATTTAACATGTTTACAGTCAGTTTGGTATGCAACAATTGAACAGATTCATATGAAAGCATAAAAAAGTTGAGTAAGAAAAATCAGTACATTTTGTTCTTCATTCGTTTTCTTTAAAAATAATGATATTTCTTGTCCTTTCCCCCCAGAAAATGCAAGTTCGGAAGAACCGAGCACTTTGTTATCCACACAAGCAATCGAAACAGGTATCAAAATCATTTCAAGTCTTTCAAAAGTTTCCTATTTGAATGCTGAACAGATAAAGAAGATAATCTTTCTTACCACATTAATTTATTTCTTATCAAGGCTTCACTGTTTACAATGGAAGAACATTTAATGTGATCATTATTATTGATATTATTACTATTATCATTGTTATTATTATCATTATCATTATTGATATTATTATCATTATTATCATTTCATTATTATTGGTTTCTAGATAGCCTTCAGATTTTGGATGTAACGAAAGAAGCTAATATAATTTTCTTTCTTCATTTGAACAACGGTACAGTATCCACTACAGCTATTTCAGCTACATATCTCACTCCGCACGAAGATATAATAACAGGTAATATGATTAAATGAAAAGTTTGCTTTTCCTTCCACACAACCAATTCCGTTTTAAACCCTTTTGGGTTGTTACCCAATCGACTGTTGTTAATCAAAGAAATTTAAAAAAATCATTTGCATATTGGTATACATCATCAACAACAGCTACTACCATGACACTTTTGGGTTGTTACCTAATAATTTTTATTAAATTTGTTTTTCTTCATTTGAATATTGGTGCAGAATCCACAGCGGCTACTACCATTACAAAATATACAGATCTCAAGCCACAAGAGGACAAGACAACAGGTATAATGATGAGAATAAAGTTTCAATTTCCTTTCCACCATTTCCATCTTTAAAACCTTTTAGTTCTTACTTAATAAGTGATTTGTTGTAAAATAAAACATCTCAATAGATCTAAATAACCTTCCCCCTTGGTCATTTTCAATTGTGCACTAAATCAAACGCATGGAAAATTAATTAGCCTCTGTGGCTGCAAATTCTAAGTTAAACTATATCATTATTGTTAATTCTTAATGAAATACAAAGGAGCATAATGAAAATATGTAAAGTTCATGACACCAAACACCCTCAAATCGTTTAAACATGGAGTGCACCTCCCTCTAAGTGCATTTTTAAAATAATCACTTGCAAAGTGATGGAGGTGCTTCATAACTACCGTTTTGCTTTCCCCTCTTGCAAAGAATTCCTCTCGTTTACCATAGTAACGATGGACTGATTAAAGAAGACTCATCAGCTACATATCCAGTATTTGACTCAGTCGGTTTTGGTATACCTGTATATGCACATATACGCAGATAGTATTATCTACAAATAGTTGAAGAAATTGTTGGTCTACATTTAATTGGTTGGCGTATCATTATTTTATTTGAGGAAACCCAACCACCGTGACGGCCGAAGTCACCCCCTCCGCTTCCGCAGATGACGATGAAGACGATGAAACAGGTACACTCTTTCTTGAAGGGAAAATTGAGTTCCGTTGCAGAAGGCGTTAAACAAAATAATTTTTTGTGAGATAATGAAAAACCGAGTGTCAAGTTTGAAAAAACATAATATTTAAATAATTAATTAACTGTCACCGTATTTTGTTTTAAAGTGGAACTGAATTGGTATGCTCGTATTGGCTAAATTTCACACATTGGGGTCTTAAATTTCCTTCATAGCAATTTTAGGTTCTAAAAGGGCACTCGAAATGTCATAGATAGAATAAGGGCAATAACCATGCACTTTGAAGGCATTTGCGGTCTGAAAACAGAACTCAACTATTGTTTATCCCATGGAAATCGTGTTCGAATTACGTAACGTACGTCAACGTCGTGTTCGAACACTTATTAGGTGTCCCACAAGGCTATTGAAATTGCCTTAGGTTTTTTTTTCTTCTCGAAAGTAGTTGCTATCGTGTTATAGTATGGGTATTACGAAAACTTGTAGGGCATGAATTGGAATATAATTTTAATTATTTGGTTGCATTTAATATCTTAATTTTCAACCTGATATCTTGAATGCAGGAGCCACGGCATCTCCTACTCAACCGGACGGCACAGCAGCAGCAAGTAAAAGCGCTACAGGTAAACATCAACGAACATGGAGACAGGAGATGGAAGAGAGATTGAGGGAGAGAGAGAGAGAGAGAATGAAAGAGAAAGAATGACAGAGACAGACATACAGCGGGGGTCGAAGGGGAGGGGTTGAGTAGATGGAAGAGAGATAGAGCGAGAGACAGAGAGACAGAGAGACAGAGAGACAGAGAGTGGAAAGAAGAGAGGAATACCAACAGGCTGACTGACAGGTGATCGCAAGGAAAGGGGTTAGTGGGTGGAAAGAGAGAGAGAGAGAGAGAGAGAGAGACCAAAATCTTAGCACTAGTGAAATAGGTAAAATAATATTTGTTTGTATAATCCATCATTGTTACATGTGCAAGAATTGAGATCATAGAACAAATATTTTATTGAATCTATAATGCTTTTTGACAAAACATTCATGAAATGGCCCTTTGACACCAATGTTATGATATTAACATTGTAGTATTTTTTCCAGACGATCTGACAAACCCGGAAGACGGAATGACATCAACCGATCAATCACTGCGTGAGTTACGATGATCCATAATTTCACATTTACACTCATACAACATGTTTTGATCGTTATGTAAGTAGGTGTCACGGTATAGAGGGTCTCTCACTTAACTCTCAATCCAAGAAATCCAAGCCCGGCACTAACGTGATTTGGCAAGGTATTAATTCAATCCCAATCGTGCACGTTATAGAGTTGATGTGTTCACCTTGATCATGTTTTCTTGTAATAGACACTGCATCCTCATCGACACAAGGGGGCAGTACAACTAGTATGCCAATCACTCTAAATATTGCTGTATATTTGTATTCCTCATCCGTAGAAAATTGTGTGTGTTTTTTCTCTGCTGCTTTATCTCTTCGTTTATATTCGCATTAATGAGCGAAAATAATCGTTCCCCGAATGAATATATCGAAAATAAGTTAAACTTAGGTATTAATGTATATTCTAATCTATTTCTTTTCTGTTTTCAGAGCATGAATCTTCATCAATGTCAAGCATGTCAGCTTCATCATCCGTCATAGAAAACGGCTCAACAGGTGATAATATAATTAAATAATAATAATAATAACAAAAATGATAAAAATTATGACAACATCAAAGATGATAATAATAAAAAATAATGATAACGATAATGATAGTAATAATAATAATAATATGAAAAATAATTATGATAATAATAATAATAATAAATGCCTGTATTCCTCATCCGAAGTGTGTGTGTGTGTGTGGGGGGGGGGGTTGCTGCTCGATCTCTTTGTTTAAATTCGCATTGTCGAGCGGAAATAATCGTACCCCTAGTGAACATTTAGAAAATAAGTTAAACCTATATATTAAAATGTCTATTATAATCTATTTCTTTTGTTTTCAGAGCATGAATCTTCATCAATGTCAAGCATTTCAAGTTCATCATCCTTCCAAGGAAATTACACAGCAGGTAATATTTGTCATGTGAATCTAAATCAATATACATATATTCTGAAAGAAGCTATTGTTATTATTACTTTTGATGACGACATCAATGACGACGACGATGACTATGATGGTGATCATAATGACGATGATGATAATATTAATAATTGGTGATTGTATTGATAATAATGATAATAATAATAATAATACAAATAGTGATAATGATAATAATAATTTGCAGATATCTGATCCCTTTATTCCCCTTCCGAAGATAATTTATTGTTGTTGTTTTGTTTCTATTGCTCGATCTCTTTGTTTAACGAAAATGATAGTTCCCCTCGTGATTAATTCGAAAATAAGTTTAACTTTGATATTAAAATGTTTATTCTTCTTTTCTGTCTTTAGTGTATGAATCTTCATCAATGTCAAGCATTTCAAGTTCATCATCCATCATAGGAAATGACTCAGGAGGTAATATTTTTTTATTTGAATATAAATCAATATACATATATTCTGAAAGGAACTATTATTACTTTTAAGCCTACTACTGATGATGACGACGACGACGATGATAGTGATGATGATAATATTTATTATATATATATATATATATAGTAGTAGTGATCATGATGACGATCATGATAATGATAATGAAACAACAATAATAATACAAATAATGATACCAAAAATACTACTAATAAGAACAATTATGATAACTATAACAATGATAACGATAACAATAATGATAATGATAATAATAATATCGAATAATTATACTAATTATTTTTAAATCCTTCTATTTTAGAAATGAAGACGAATGAGTATGACAATGTAACAGCAGGAAACACGGACGCATTCACGATAAAGAGAAGTATGAATATGAATAAACAAATTCAATTTTGTTTCGTATGCAGGAAATATTTATGGCTGCTGTCACAGTCTTCAAGATTAGGAATTTAAAACCATCTAACCACCATTTAAAGAAAAACAATAGAACTCTTGTTTGATGTTGTCTTATTTCTTTTTCTTTGGGTTTGTACTTCCTCGTTGGAAATTTGATTGAAATTGTCCGGGCAATTATATTTACCCTTCTCAGGAGATTGTAAACCACATTGCAAATGGTATGACAGGGGTAACCAGCATGATAACATAATATATGAAGATTATAAGGTTACTTCATATATGATACAAGTTACCAAGGTGTAGGAAACTAGGGTAGTTTTAACGGAATCAGGATTCGCTTTCACCTCTCTGTTTTAATAAAATTTACACAGCCGAGAACTGTGACGTTTTGCTCCACGTATGCATCCTGAAATAAAAAAAGTCTGGCTAAAGTTTTCCCGGGATTATCAAAACTATAAAAAGAAAAAATGGGTAAAAGGGATACATACTCACTAATCCACGTGTTTCATGTCTTATTTCCATACGTTTAATGGCGGACATGCAGACGACAGCACACTCTACATATCTTGTCCGGACACGACATGGGATAACGCTGAAGACCTGTGCGCCGACCGGGAGGGGCGACTCATCGTGCCTTCGAGCGAAAGTCTTCTCGAAACCATTGTCGACTCCGTGTCCGATGCCTGTCTGGAGAAGCACGCTGACGGGGGTGAGGTAGAACTGTGGCTAGGATGCCGACTCTTGAAGGTTGACGAGGAAAATGGCAAGGATCTTAAGTTGGTCGACCAATGGGCATGTAGGAACGATAGCAGTGACGATTCGGGCTTTTCCAGCATGGTGACTTTATACAATTGGACAGCCAACTACAAAGGTAAATCACCTTGAAATCTGAGTTCTAGAAAATATTTTGCGGCGAAATAGCTCCCATTCCACAAAAAGGTACAATTAATGTAGTTTTACACTGGATCCGCCATTGGGCCAATAACGTGTTGTAATAATGTTTATAAGCTACTGCGAATAGTAAAAATACTGGCATTACTGAAGATGCTACCCTGGGTGAATAAGATTATTATTATTATTGTTATTATTATTATTATTATCCCTTAAATGATTCTTTAAAAATAATTTTCGACTCCTGTTCATACGCAGAGTAATTTGTAAACATGCATCGTACCTTCAGTTAAAATATATTTAATGAAATTACTCCATGATCAACGTTTTACAATGCTATCGATGCTGAGTTAAATAACTCTAACGAATTGCCGAGATAAATAACGTCTAACGATTCGTTTGTATTTCTGTCTTGTTTTGTTACTTTTTTCTTCTCAATTAGTATCTGGTATTTCTAGAGACGACAAGGTCTGTCTTCAGGTGAAGACAAAGCGTGGTAGACATGCAGACGATCAGAACAAGTACGAGTTCAAAAGAGAGTATTGTGATAATCGCAAGGCTAAGGCAGTCTGCATTCTAGACTAGAAATACGGCATACCCGCCGGTGACGACAAGTTGGAAGAATATAAAGGTGTTATGGTCAGTCGTTAAGATGTAACCGTTAAGCAGAATTTTGCATTTAGATTCTTCAAAGTTTGATTAGTACGTCACAGTTTGTTAAATTTTAAAAATCATTATATAAATGTTTTCAAAACTATTTTGAAAGGGTAGATGGACAAATAAATTATTTAGATTTGTTTCCTTCAGATATCCCCATTATGTGGGGTTTCGTTTTAGCTATCTTGGCTTTAGACTAGTCATGCAACCAGTAATGTAACGAGCATTAAGCATGTTCAGTGAAAATGGAGGGAAGATGAAATTAAAGAGAAAACCATAAAAGGGAGAGGGAAAGGAAGATGAAAAGAAGGTGATGCCCCACCGAAACGCACACCCCCTGATCGAATCGATGACATTGTTAATTTGTCTTTCATACAAATTTCCTAAAAAAGAAGAAAAAAAGAAAAACGTATCTACTCAGGTAAGAAACATGACAGGTTTCTCTGATTAAGAAGGACCTTGTTAAACCTGAGTGATTCGAAATGATGGTCGAAATCTACAGTATAATTCCCTAACCCTTTACAATAAAACCCCAAAAATTGCATGGTCAAACCAGACAATAAAGAAGGATAATGTTTTTTGTATTGTCATAGCAACAGTCGAAACCCTGGCTCATTGATAATATCAAGATTCCATGCAACGACAGAATGTCCACAAAACTTAGAAATACAAGGGACTAATTTAGAAACTTGCTTAATCATCGTTCTTCTTGTTGTGTTTGTAGACATGACGTTTGAACTTTGTTCATTTTGGTTACCATAAACTTATAGTAGCCATGGTTGCAAAAACAGTTTGAATACATACTACATGTATATCGCTTTCAAAACAAAGTGACTAATGTAAATATTTCAAATAGAATTAAAAATGGCAGATTTCGTAATTAACAATTGTTATTCTTATTGTGGTTGTAGACACGTTTAAGCTTTGTGCATTTTGTAAATGTCGACTCCTTTCTTAGGATTGCCATATTATCACGTAATGCATGTATATTTATGACTTTTTTAATGTCATGACTCTCGTATGATGTTATGTACAGTTATGTGACGTTTATGACGAAGTGTTTATCAGTTATCTTGTAACATCATTGTATTTTGTTTTTGTGCTGCCAGTGGAGGCCAATTTCCTATGTTTTGAATATGGATCAATACAAGAATCTAAATATCTATCTATAATCATTAAATAACTTGTTCTGCATCCCCCGTTGTCCGACTTTTTCACATTACTGATTCGTTTTTCTCCATTGCTCATAGAATGATAATTATCTAATTTAGATTATTAGTAAAATATGCGTATGTATTAAAAGTATGCCAATAAAAATTCAAATCATCCCGCAACATATGTATGCTTATAATTTGTAAAGTCCGAAATATGTGACCCTCTAGTATAAGCCTCATTGCACATTCAATATCCATCATTTTGATTTGATTTGATTTGATTTCGTGTAAATTGATTGGATCTGTGTTCAATCTTTCAGCAGGTGAAATAATTTTGGCCATGAATTGCTTCATAATAATTATGAAGCAATTCATGGCCGAAATTATGTAGCAATGAATCAAAGACGTAAAACCTATCTTTTTTCCAGGGGTACAATTGCAAAGACTTTCGAATAATGAAGGTAAGGCAATTTCAATAGCCATGTCCAGAACACTTTTTGAAAATTGATAGCATTGCAGTGCTTTATATTTTATTCATTTATTTATTTATTCATTTATTTCACATATTTATACAGGGTATCTCACTCAGATTAAAAACCGGTCTTGTCTCAATAAAAATACACATAATTTATATACAAATTTCTCAAAACAAAGTCATACAAATAACAGTAGGAAGAAAAAGACAACAAATAAAATAAATAAAGCATATTGACATCACAGCACAACGATAAACAAGTAAAACTAACAATATGAAATAAGTTACGATAACAAAAATTAAAAAATGATCCTTCATGTTGCCCTGCTTTGTAATATACAAATAGATATGCAAAATGTTTCCATATATAATAACGTGAGAGAAAAAATAGAGTATAACATCAAATACGACAACAAATATAGTAAAGGTAAGATCAAATTAAAAGTAAATAATGATCCAATATAAGACGTTAAAATGGCCCTTGTATTAAAAACAGGAAGTGAGACACCGCTCATATAATATTGTAAAAGAGCAAGAAAGGTCAGATTTTAAAATGTTCTGCAAAATAGAGGATTCATGATAAAATTGACAAAGAACCTATAAATCTCCCAGATCCAATTTAGTAAATACAATTTAAGCTGAGTTTGAGAAAATGTATAAACATGATGTGGGGTATTGACAATGCTCTCGAGGTGATTTCTTGAATGCCTTTGCGATCGTGTTCTATTAAAATGTTCATCAATGGTGAATTTTCGTAGACCTTTAATTTTGAGTGGAGGTGTCGTGATATAGGGATTCATCCACCTTAACACTCTCAATCCAAATGTTAAGGGTTCGAATTCCAGCCCTTGGGCTTCGTGCGCCCTGGGCTTTTGATTTCATGAATAAACCGCTTCCTGATTCGATTCATTTAATAATGTTTTTGTATTAAATAGAACTATATCCATTCTTACCCGATACTCGGAACTCATTTAACTTTCATTTAATAAATCCAGAAATATTGATCCTGCATACATCAATAAGACATCATGGTCCAGATTTGTGGAAATGCACGCCCAGACTCAATAAAATCATCTAAAAACCTAAATTCGTTTAGATTCAATACGAAGATAAATCCTTGTGTGGAAGCCGCCCCCAAAGATCTCACCCGATTTGTTCTAACAACAGTGTTCTTGGCAGTCAAACATTTTTACCCCTTGCTACGTCATCAAAAGAATAGAGAGAAAGTACTGATAAACCGTAGGCCTGAGTCTTGTACCTGGCTATTCCCTCCCACAACCCCTACCGAGCCCTCCCCCATCCCCCTCCCCCCGCGAGATAAAAAAAAAAATGGGCTTACTTTGTTGGCTTTACGCGGTTGATTAGTTTGTTGCTGTTGCTTTCTTCACACTCTCTTTGTAAAATTATGTAATATTTGCTCTTTTCAGTCTCGCCTGGAGAGATTGTGCAGTTGTCTACTTTGGGAACACGGGTAACATTTGTAAGATTTCGTTATTATAGGTTGATTGTTAGGCTTCGAGGCACAAAAGCGTGAATATTTGCGGCTAACCGATAATAAAGGAGGGAGATGGGAGAGACGTGGACCAAGTTTTTTTTGAGAACTTGTATTGGACTTTCCAGAACTTTTATTTATTCAGTACTTTTACCATGTTTACAGCCAAGCAAACAGAAAAAGATACACAACACATACACACCTCTCTCTCTCTCTCTTTCTCTCTTTCTCTCTCCTTCTCTCTTTCTCTTCTTTCGTTTTATTCTTCTTTTGCTTATCTTGTTATCTCTTATTTACCTTCCATCTCCCATTTCTATTTGATCCTCTTCGGAATCCCTCTTCCGCCTTTCGCAGAAACACATTTTTTCTTCTTCATTTTCTTCTTCTTCTTTTTTCTTCTCCTTTTCCTCCTTCTTCTCCTTCTTCTTCTATTTCTCTTTGCCTAACCCTCTTTCCATTCTCAATCTCTCTTTCCACTCTATTTCTCTCTCTCTCTCTCACTATTTCTCTCTCTCTCTCTATCTCACATACACACACATCATCTCTCTTCTTCTTCCATACCATCATCTTCTTCTTTCTTTTCTTTTTTCTTCTTCTTCTTCTTTTGTTTCTTAAATTTTGCTCCATACCTTCTCAAATAACGTTATCACACTATTGTAAGAAACATTTTTTTAAAACATTTTTATGCTAAGACGGAATGTAGAATATTATTTTCTCTTCAATTTTTAAACATCGATGGCGTGTTGAATACAGCTATGAAGGCTATGCCCATTATCCCCTCCCCTTCCACTATATACGTTCCCCCATTCGAACCCTTTGAGATCCGGGAATAAAGGAGCAACGACCAGAACCACTAGTAGCAGTACGTAAACGGCCTTACGCAGAGGTAATCAATATGAGTTTAAAAATACACCCGCGGATAATCATGAATTAAAATCTTCTTTATCCAATGGAATGCATCATATTTTTTTCCAGGATTTGAAATATTTAGTTTAATTGATTGTTGACGTAGCCTCATCCGTCGTCGCCCACGTGTTGGTCTCATCCGTCGTTGCCCACGTGTTGGTCTCACCCGTCGTCGCCCACGTGTTGGTCTCACCCGTCGTCGCCCACGTGTTGGTCTCACCTGTCTGACTCACCATTGAGTCCATGGTCGTCATGTCAAATGTCACTATTTCTGCAGTCACGTCTTCATTGGTTGCCATTATTGTATCAAACGTCGCAGGGATGGCAGTCGTTGTTGCTGTTGCTACCACTGTTGTAGGTGCGGTGACGGGTGCTGCTGACGAGCCAAACTGGAAACCTGTAAAGAAAAGAAAATCAATGAAGCCCATATTTAATTATCTGTTCAATTATTTATTTGTAATGTATACATGTTTCTTCATTCAGTCATTTGATTATATATTTCTCTTTTATTTATTCACTTTAATATCATTTATTCAGCAGTAATTAGTGGTATTGAGGAGCTTCTTTTTCAATCCTCCTTAGGTAGTTCCTCTATTCCTCTTCCCGTCTCTCCCTCTTTCTCCCTCTCTCACTCCAGTAATTAGTGATATTGAGGAGCTTCTTTTTCAATCCTCCTTAGGTAGTTCCTCTATTCCTCTTCCCGTCTCTCCCTCTCTCACTTAGATACACCCTTCCTTCATCTCGCTCGCGGAACCAACACCATGAAAGACCGAGAATTTCGGTCTCGCGGGCCTTAATATAAGTGATATATGAAGGTTCACGAGACCGATATCTCCTGTTTCATGTATTGAACGGTTTACTCAGTGGTGGATTGGGGAGGGGGCACACGGGGACACTAGCCCTTTCCCCGGCTAAATCCAATCTGAAGTACACATCGGTCGGTCCCCCTCCCTTCCCCGACAATCATGAATCCCCATAAACGGATATCCACAAGATACGCACACGTGCACCTTAATAGTCTATAATTCGATACGGCACCAACAAAGGATGTCTTTAGGGCAATGTTGACTCTTCACCTTTACTCAACACCCATGGGTTGATAGGCCACTCATTACAAGTCTTGAGTACTATCTACAAAATAAATATGTGTCTGTAGTCATTGGCCAAGATGTTCAAATCTACAATGCAAATAGTCAGGATTGAGAACACGCGAGTTTTTGCATATTTCGATCTTACTTGACAGTGTTATGTTTATGTCATCCTATTTGGGTAGAGTTTTGCTTTGGTCCTTGATACTTCGTCGCAGTTAGAATTAGAAAGAAAGATGGAGAGAGAGAGAGGGAGAGAGAAATGGGGAGATAGAGAGAGAGAGAGAGAGACAGTCAGCGAGAAAGAAAACAGTGAAACGACGATAAACACAGATATATACCCCAGTCACACCGCCAAACCGACTTCAAACTGACTCCGAACCTACCGATTCCTGGCCAAAGACGTAATGTAATATCATAATTTTCGTTGGGTCTTTTGTCGATCTGGTGTTGGTCTTGTCAGTTTGAGTAAGGTATCAGAGATAGATAGAGAGAAAGAACAAAAAGGAAAGATAATCAAGTTCATACCTGTCACTGCCCACAAGACTACAACGACGACGACGATGCTGATGACGATCAAGATAGTGATCACGATACCGCACACGCAGCAAAACCACTTTCCATTTCCATTGCGGGTTCTTGTTCCTCTCTCCTCGCCCTGCCTTTCCGGATCTACTAACTGCCCCTGATCGTTTACGGGATGGACCCTTGGATCGCGCCGCGACGTGGCAGACGAAGACCGGCCAGCCCCGCCATCGTTGTTGTTGTTGATGTTTTCGGGTTGAGCGGGGCTCCACGCACCATGGTTGCGGGGGTTCGCCAAATACTTCCTCTGCCCGTTTTGTGGAAACTCGCTAGATATAATCAAAACAAATATCTCATGACAACGAAGAAGAAAAATTACATCATTAACTCATTAACAGATTCAATTCTGTACAGAAAGCTACAAGTAATGCCTCACGGACTCAACCAACTAACCATGGTTACGGAAGTTGTTATGGCATTGATTAGTGTTATTAAGCTATGGTCACAACCCAACAAAAGTAGCTTGCTCGGGGGCCGGGCGGCGAGTTTTTAGCCAATAATGGCCGGGCACCGCATGTTTTAGGGCATCGCTTGGTCGCCGCTGAAGTTATAGCGCGGAGTTAAAATTCGGGCGGCGCCTTCTCACTATTCACTCGCCGCACCAAAAAATGCTCGGTGTCCGGGCGGTCGCGACCCACTGGATCGGTCGGCGTCCGGGCTGCGCCAGCTCGGCAGCCTTTGACCTAGCGGCTTCGATTTGTGACCTAAATCGCTCGACGGCGAACGCTCGATTAGGTCGGTACCAAGCGTATTTTGGGCGGCGAGTAAAAGTGAGGAGGCGCCACCCGAATTTTAACTTCCCGCTAAAACTTCAGAGGCGACCAAGCGATGCCCTAAACTACCGGTGCCCGGCGAAATTGGCTAAAAACTCCCGTCCGGCCACCGAGCAGGCTACTTTTGGGGGTTGTGCCCATAGCTATAGATCAAGGAGAGTGTTAACAAGAGCACACAGTAGGAGCCGTGCAATTTGAATATCAAGCGATGGATCAGAGATTATTTCTAAAATGAAATAAAAGGGCTATTTGACTTTCAAGTTTCCTTTCATTTCATTTAAGACATAACTTCTCTTTCTCTCTTAAAGACAATTTCTCTCTTTAAAGTCAAATAAATTCGGGAGCATCCTGGGGCTCCGCCCCGGAACCCCCGGCAGGGGTTCTGCCAGGCCCCTCAAGCTCTAGCTGCCATATTGTACGGATTCATTAGGAAGCAAAATAAACACACTAGATAATTCATTTATATATGTACATATAAATATATATATATATATATATATATATATATATATATATATATATAGTTATCCTATATACGCAAACTTATCTCTGTGAACTGCATAATGAATTCGTTTTCGAGGGTTGGAAATAAATATAGAATAAACAGTAGAAACAGACCCTGAATAAAGAAATAAATAGCTTTTTGGATTTGTTTTGAAGCATTATCTTCTTAGAACCGACGGCTTAATCTTTGTTAACCATATAAATAACGTCTATAATCACTCTGAGATGGAAGATAATACCAAAACGAAATGCATTGTGCAGCGTTTAGACATACTCTTCTTTTACATTTCGAAGCGTTGCATAAGATCTTAATCCTATTTTTTCTTCAACATACATCAATGCCTCTCTTTAAGCATACTTTGAATCTGGTCACGCTTCGGAAAGATCGTGTACTAGAATTTTGTTTCTGTTGATGATCAAATAAAGATAGCACCCTTAGATCAGGAAGAGTGATAAAAAGAGCACACAATAGGAGCAGCTAGTGCAATTGAAATATCAAGGGATGGATTAGAGTTTGGATGATGTTTGAAGGTTTGCATGGTGGTATGACTAATCGCGGTAGAGGTTTACGGTACACCATGCAGGCGCGGATCCAGGGGGGGGGGCCGAGCGGGCCTTGGCCCCCCCCCCCCCCCCCGCAAAAAAAAAAAAAAAAAAAAAAAAAGAGAGAAGAAAGGAAAAGAAGGGAAAGGGAAAAAGGAGAAAAAGGGAAAGAAAGAAGAGGAAGAAGAAAAGAAAAGGGGGAAGAAGGAGATCGGGGGCCGAAAGGGCCTTGCCTCCCAGGCTGTTCCCCCCCCCCCCCCCCCCCTCCCCCATCAAAAAAAAATAAGAGAGAAGCTGAGGAAAGGGAAAGAAAAAAGGAAGGAAAAGAGGAGATACTGGCGTACTGATAGAGGGGAGGGGGGGGGGGGGCTTGGGGGAAATCAAAATCAAGCGTGGTTTATTTCTAATTCCACAACGGTGGATTACAAATAATGCTGAAATGACATCATTTCCGAAATTTTTCCTCTCTTTTTAGTAAATTATACGTTTGTATGTGTTTGTTGAAAAATGACAAATTCCTGAATTTAGAACCAGGCAAAAAATATGATTCTTGAGATTCGTACATGTCAGGGCCCGAGGTAAGGCGGGGATCGAGAACCTCGAGCTCCCCCCCCCCCCCCATTTTTCTTGACAAAGTATATTAAAGAGAAATAAAATAGAATGAGAGCAAGAAAGTGAGAATAGTTAACTGCCAGTGTTAACAAAATAATGAGGCATCAAAATATGCTCATCTGACCGTGATTAAATGCCTAAAACCCTTAAGCTTCCGGGGGCTTTGCCCCCTGGATTGCATCTAGGGCCCTACGGCGGGCCCTTAGATGATCATCTGACGGTAATTTAATGCCTAAAACCCCTGATTTTTTTGGGGCTCCGCCCCCTAGACCCCACGCCAAATAGTGACTTGCCAGTGTCACAAAATAATAAGGTATACACAAAAATGTGCTCATCTGACCTTTAATAAACGCCTAAAACCCCTGAGCTTCCGGGGCCGGCTCCGCCGCCTCGACCCCACCAGGGGCCCTAAGGCGGGCCCCTGAATGCTTATCTGATCGTAATTTATTGCCTTAAACCCCTGAGATTGCGGGGTCGGACAAGGTATCAAGATGTGTTTATCTGACCACAGGCGCGTAGCCAGGGGGGGGGGGGGGCGGTCCCCCTTCTCCAATCGGAAGAGGACGTAGGAAGAAAAAGGAGAAGACAAAGAACATCTTTGAAATTCAGACAAGGATTAAGAGTATAGAGAACGGTACAACGCATCATTTTCTTTCTCTAATAATAAAACGTCAAAGCCTCGCGCAGGAGGGGAGGGGGGGGGGGGAATTTAGACGAAGATTCAGAGGCGAGAACGGTAATACGAATCTTTAATGATTTAATGAAACGTAAAAGCTTCCGCGCTTCGCGCGGGAAGGGGGAACTGAAATCAGACGAGGATAGAGGTCGAGAACGGTACAACGAATCGTTTTCTTTCTTTAATAGTTTAATGAAACGCCAAAGCTTCCGCGCTTCGCGCAAGAGGGGGAGGGGGGGCTGAATTTAGACAAGGATTAAGAGTCGAAAACTATACAACGAATTGTTTTCTTTCTCTAATGATTTAATGAAACGTAAAAGCTTCCGCGCTTCGCGCGGAAAGGGGGGGGGGGACTAAAATCAGACGAGGACAAAGGGTCGAGAACGGTACAACGAATCGTCTTCTTTCTTTAATAGTTTAATAAAACGTCAAAGCTTCCGCGCTTCGCGCAGGAGGGGGAGGGGGACTGAATTTAGACAAGGATTAAGAGTCGAGAACTGTACAACGAATCGTTTTCTTTCTCTAATGATTTAATGAAACGTAAAAGCTTCCGCGCTACGCGCGGGAGGGGGGGGGAACTGAAATCAGACGAGGATAAAGGGTCGAGAACGGTAAAACGAATCGTCTTCTTTCTTTAATAGTTTAATAAAACGTCAAAGCTTCCGCGCTTCGCGCAGGAGGGGGAGGGGGAGGAACTGAATTCAGACGAGGATTAAGAGTCGAAAACTGTACAACGAATCGTTTTCTTTCTCTAATGATTTAATGAAACGTAAAAGCTTCCGCCCTTCGCGCGGGAGGGGGGGAAACTGAAATCAGACGAGGATAAAGGGTAGAGAACGGTACAACGAATCGTCTTCTTTATTTAAAAGATTAATTAAACGTCAAAGCTCCCTCCTTCGCGTAGGAGGTGGAGGGGGGGGGGGGGGACTGAATTTAGACAAGGATTAAGAGTCGAGAACTCTACAACGAATCGTCTTCTTTCTCTAATAATTTAACAAATCGTAAAATTTTCCGCGCTTTGCGCGGGAGGGAAAAAAAACTAAATTCAGACGAGAATTATTTTCGAGAACGGTACAACGAATCGTCTTCTTTCTCTAATAATATAATGAAACTTCAAAGCCTGGGAGGGGGAAACTCGCCCCCCCCCCTTGCACCGACCCCCCCCCCCCGCATTACGTCACTGTTGGTCGCCATTACGTACCAATATTTGGCTCGCATAATTTCAAATTTGGGCCCCCCCCCCCCCTAAGAAATCCTGGATCCGCGCCTGCACCATGTGTAAAGTCCTAGAAGGACTAAGGAAAGTGGATAGAAAATAGAAGTGAAATAGAAAGGCGAGAAAGTGGAGGTTGGAAGGAAGAGTATCTTTCGGAAGTGAGTATAGTCCTGAAAAGGACTGTAAACAGAAAGTTGTAGATAGGATGAGAGGTTTGAGTATAAGAAGACTGGATTGAGTTGGAGAGTTGAGTAGAGTTGCAGAGCAGGAGCAGGAGAGTAGACTCGACGTTTCGGACAGGTTGACTGTCCGTCTTCTCCAACTCAATCCAGTCTTCTTATACTCAAACCTCTCATCCTATCTACAACTTTCTGGTTTACAGTCCTTTTCAGGACTATACTCACTTCCGAAAGATACTCTTCCTTCCAACCTCCACTTTCTCGCCTTTCTATTTCACTTCTATTTTCTATCCACTTTCCTTAGTCCTTCTAGGACTTTACACATGGTGTACCGTAAACCTCTACCGCGATTGGATTAGAGTTTATTTTATAATAATGCACCAAAACCTATTCTACGTTGCTTTGAAAAGCGCATAATATTATTTTTCATTGGCTTTCACATTATATCATTGACTAAGCAATGGCCTCGTTCCTGTGAATAGTCTACGAGGGGACACTTATGGATTGTTACGAGCTATTTACGAGCTGTTTACGGACAAATCAATCCGTGGAAAATCGTAAGAAGATTTTTGACATGTCAAAAAAATTGGCCTCTCCTTTCACGGATCCTAAAGAGTGTCTACGAGTTGTTGCGAGTTGTGACTAATTATTTACGGATACCGGCGAGTTATTTACCGATGCTTGCGAATGACTACGAGTTCGCAATCCGTAAGGACTCGCAAGAGAAATCCGTGTATGTGAAGGGGGTATTAAAGACAATTTCTCTCTTGAGAGTCAAATAAACTCGATAGCATCCTGGGGCTCCGCCCCGGAACCCCCGGCAAGGGCTCTGCCAGGCTTCACAAGCTCTATACCTGCCATATTGTACGGATCCATTAGAAAGCAAAATAAACCTATAAATACATATATAAAAATTCAAACGTCACAGCAATTCATCCAAATAAAAAATCCAGTAAAGATACTACGTCCAACATCAAATTATGTAGAACTTTGCAGGAATTATGAATATGTCATATATGTCCAACAGTATCTGTGAAATTCAAACGTTGGCAGTGTCCTAGTATTCAAATTATGCAAGGAAACCCGTCTTCTTTCTATACTTCCCTGAAAGTTTTAAGAAAATTCCTTCAAATTTCAGGAAACTGGTTGTTTATTTTCAGGAAACTCTATTTAAATGAGTAGAAGCACAGGTGGCTTTTTTTAAAAACTAACAATTCTACTTGGATCAGATAAAGACCAAAAACAAGCCTCATTATCTTTAATATTCAAGTGTCATTACTGTAATTTAGGAGTAGATTGTGGTCACAGCCCCAAAAAGTAGCCTGCTCGGTGGCCGGGTAGCAAGTTTTTAGCCAATTTCGGGCACCGCCCGGGCACCGCTTGGATTTCAGGGCATCGCTCGGTCACCGCTGAAGTTTTAGCGCGGAGTTAAAATTCGGGCGGCGCCTGCTCACTTTTCACTTTTAAACCTCACGTTTATTTTTTTAAACTCAAACTGGTACATTCCTTATATAGGTTATTTTTAAGTTAATGGAAAACATCCTCAAGACTTTAGCTACGCAAAAAAAGAGAGTCAAGCCTGTCCTTTGTTGTTTTTAAAAAACCGATTTCAAGAAAGAATAACAAAACAATTTACGTTAAATAAACGATTTATCCTTATTATTTTTAAATCGCTCTTTTTTACCCCAACCATGCGGCTCGTAGATCGATCTCCACTCACCTAGCCAGGCTGCCCCGAATCACCGGCCTGTCGAATTGACAACTAATGGTCGTTATTTTCCCACAAAAAGCCCTTTTCGAACCGTTTCGTTTTGAGGGAAGTTCTAGATAAGTATTTTTTCTTCAAATGCGGTTAGAATCTTTTTATTTTTTGACCTGCAAATAACACATACCTTTAAAGGTACTACGTCCCTTTTGCAGCCAACCTCAAATTCTGTAGGACTTTGCAGGAATTATGAATATGTCATGTATATCCTATCTGTGAAATTTAAAGGTTAGCAGTGTCCTCATATTCAAATTATGCAAGGAAACCCGTTTACTTGCTAGACTTCACTGTCAGACACTATTGAGTGACTGACTGGCTTTTTTTCTTTGGTAATAACATACATGAAAAGAGTTGTAAAGGGTACATGAGCATTTGTCTACATCAATAAACCACTTCTTGTGATGGCCAAGACTAAACTGATTGAATCTTTGCGCAGCATAAAACGTATGACCATTCGGTACAATTGTCTGAAAATCAAGACTATTACTTTTGGGCTCTATAGCCCTAAAGTCGATTTGACAACTAATAGTCGTTATTTTCCCACTTGAAGACATTTTCAAGCCCCACCTTTTTTAGGGAAGTTCTAAATTAGTATTATCTTTCAAATGCAGTTGGAATTTAACTTTTTCTTTTTTTTTGGCCTGCAAATGGGACATGGTACCTTTAAGGCATTGAAGAAAGAGATTAATTTTTTTCAAAATTTATAAGTTAGAGAAACTTGCAAAGTCTATCTTAGATTGGAAGGAAAGTGACACGAATGTGCAATTATGCAGTGTTTAAAAAGTCTTTTTGAAAGTATAGATCCGGTGATCTTTTGAACAATTTGTCCCCCATGACAGAAATGATTTTTCTATTCATTGGGGGTAAAATTCTGGTCTTTAAACGTCTAAAAACCTACCTTGTCGCCATCTCAAAACGCGCAAATTACTCTATGTTGATTTTCCTTCTCCCAAGTTTGTCCTCATGAATACCTGAAATATTCCAAGTCTATATCCCAAAAGTTGCATCCTCGGCTAAAACTTGAAGAAATGAAAAATAGTTGCGTGGTCAGAGGCGATGCGGCTTGAGCGGCGGCATCGGGATTGATGAAAGGAGAAACTGGGAATGAATAGTTTGTTATTTTCTTCAAGTCATGGCAATGGAGGCAACGAACCGTATAAGCCCCTCTAAAAGTACAGTAGTGTTATCCATGGTATTTGTGGGGTGGAATGGTAAACAGACAGAAAAGAAAAACAAGGGGAGGATGGGGTTATAGATGTAGGGGTTGAGGTCTAAAAAAAAATGATAGAAATAGATAAAGGGGCATTTTTGCGAGGAAGACGGAGATCGAGAAAGGGTAAATCAAAGAGAAAGAGGGGGACGGGATAAAGAGAAGAAATAAAGAATTACAAAAAGTGCAAGGAGAAAGAGAGAAGTGTATAAAGAGAAACACAGAGAGACGGGGGGGGGGGGGGGGGGGGGGGGGAGTGAGTATACAAAGAAAGAGGGAGAGAGGCATAGAAAGAATGGGAGAAAGAAAGAAATATTGATAGATAACGATGGGTTGAAGGATTAATGGGAGAGGACACAAAGGAGAGGAAGTAAACGTGATAAAGACGAAAGAGAAGAGAAAAATACTTGAAACAATGAAACCGCTTATAATATCTAAATAATAATAAAGACAAATTACTAAATAAAAATAAATTACTTAATAAAAAGAAATACATCCATGAGGATGATGAAAACGATAGAGAGGAAAAGAAAAAGTCCTACGGAACTTTATAGGGATAATAAAGCTTAAATCAACAAATAGGAAACCTAATGAGAGAAAATATAAAGACGGGAGAAAGAGAGAGAGAAAAAAAAATTGGAGAAGTAGATTAATACACAAAAATAATGAACATGATGATGTAGAGTTGGAATAAAAAATATATCGGGAAACGAGGGAGAGAGAGAGAGATATACAGACAAACAGAGGGTGTGGATTTGGAGGGGGTGTCAAATATGGGAGGAAGCTTAGAACTCGGACGAAAGTCCCCCATAACAGTTACCATGAATACAGTTTGGATACAAGTGTACACAGAGGCTGTAAAAAGTTAATGAGGGATTAGACAAGCTCGTCCTTGCCATGACTATGCGAAAGAAGGAGCGATGAAGCCCTGACATGTCTGAGCTAAGCGCACACAATGATGAATGATACGAGTTCTGGCTGTACAGAACAGAAAGTTAATGCAACAACAGGGTCATTGGGGAGACAGAGAAAGAGAGAGATAGAAAGAGAGAGAGAGAGAGGGAGAGAGATATGAGATATTGCAGGGTAAACCACTGCAACTAAAAAAAAAAAAAAAAAAAAAAAAGCCTCTCTTTTTTATTTACACTCGTTAAATTAAAGGAGCAGTCGACCTTAAAGGTAATACAAAGTTTTGGTATGGGGTCATGAATTTGGTTCAAATGAACATATAGGACGCATATGCGGTCTTACAATATTCAGTGATCGTTGTCGCGGTTGAAATCGAGTCTAAAGTTATGCAATTGTAAATAATAAACTCTTTATGTTGTATAGCTCCCTCTCAAGGCCAAGATATAAATTAAGCTATAAAACAATGTTTCTTGACTAAAATCTACCGACTAGTTGTTTCCGTTCGGAAATTATATATCACAACTACATATCTTGAGATTTTCATGGTCACAGCCAGGCGCGTACGCAGGGGGGGGGGGTTCGGGGGTCGAACCCCCCCCCCCCCCTTGGTATTTTTTATGTGTGATTTTTTTTTTTTTTTTTATAATAATTTTTAAAAGAGTAAATAAATAAATTATACCAATGGCTGACCTAAAAAAGTTGGCTTTACCCCCCCCCCCCCCAACGGAGCGAAATGTCAAATTTTCAAATTTCGAGACAAAAAAAAAAAAAAAAAAGTGTCCTCTTACCCTCTTACTTTTTTTTCCTCGTTTTTTCTGCTTTTATTAATACCCGTATCAGGACAATTACTCCGGAGGAAAACCACACCCCTAGCACATTTACCTCCTAGGACAATTACCCTCCTAAGAGAATTGCCAATACACAAGATATCGTGTTCGAATCCCTCCCCAATACACTTTTTTCATAGTTTTTGTATTGGTTCCATAACAATACAAATCATTCGTAGAAATACAGTTGCTTTTCATCTTGACATAATTCAATACATGTTAAAAGCATAGATTGTACGATTGATGAGAAGAAAAGAAATACCCCCATTCAATCAAACACTCTACCACTCCCCATCCCCACCCTACCATGCGACCCATGACGCACACCCAAACACGCCCATACACACACACACACACACACGCCTTTTCTCCTATTATTCAGGTCCAAATGTCCAAAACTACATCAATTACATTTCAAACTTCAAATAACTCAAACGAATAATGATTGTTAAAAATATTTTATTAGAATACACCTATATACTTACGAACTTCACAAAAAGAAACGAATATTAGCTGTTAATAGCTTTTATTATTATGTGCATTTAAATTCACTAGATTATATTGTCAGAAGTGAAGCAGTTTTTGTGGCAATAATGTGCGTTCTACAGAGACGGCAGTACAATTAGCAGATGTTTCTGCATTTATTGAAAAAATCAGATCCAAAATATTCTAATAACAATATTAGTATATAACACAATTGATTTACATAAAATGTGACATTTGAAATACACAAAAAATGCATATATATAATTGAAAACTTGAAAGAATGGAGGTAAATAAAAAACTCAAGATAAATGCAGAGGCCAATTTAGTACCATAACATATTCAACATGAAAGTTGGAGTCGATAATAGCCAGGGGAGGGACACTAAAGGTGTAAAGAAAGTATTTTAATAAAAAGTGGGCAGAAAGAAACATTTTTTTCCATCTTCCTTCTTCCCGTTTATTGTTTACTTTGTATCATTTTCCTTCTTTTCTTATGTACTTGTACTCAGTGATTTCACATATTATCCCACCTGAACCTTTTATGTATATTGTGATAATACCTTCTTCCTTCTTTCTCTTTTCCTCATCTTCCAAAATTGTAACAGATAAAGTTGTATTCTGGTCATACAATAAAGGTGAGAGAAACTATATTGAGAAAGGTGTTTAGATTATGAAGCGAATAATAATAAATTGTGTAGTTTGAGGTTTTACAATCAGGAAATTGAAACAGAGATGGCTAAATTGAGCTAGCTGAACATCCTTATACAGTGGGACTTTAATAATGTGGAACTACAGTCATTTGAATGTTAGGTCCAACTTTAGAGCTCAATCTCATCATATTTCGACTTCGAGGGCATTTGCAAATTCAATCTTTTTCAGGGGCATTTCTATGAGTTTTACGCACAAGGAATTAGAAAACTCACAAACTATATTCACCTTCACCAGGATATAATCGTCTCGTACTAATAGCGAACTATTCTAATAGAAAACTGAGGAGCAGGCTGGTACAAGTTTGACAAAATCGGACAAAAAAAAGAAAGTTATGAATATTTCATTTTGTAAGCTGTAATCACTAAACGTATATGGGCTCTTCAATTTTCTGAATCGGTAGAGTCACTATGACGAAGCGCCGGGCAAGTTTCCCATTGTTCTAACATACGAAATGACATAAATCATAAATGTTATTTTTATAAAATATATGACTCGAGAGTGTCATTTATTTTTAGAGAACATTTAATAATATGTTATCCACAATATATTTTGAATATCGCCCCAAGGGAAAAGGCGCTTAGGAGACAAACAGCAACACGAATGGGAGAGTTAATAATTATCCGCAACAACGTCACAATCCAGTAACTAATTGCCTATTTGAGATTTGCATAGCTTTAGTGATCTCATGTTTCAAACACTCATATACACTGCCATAACTGTGTTATTATTAGTCCGACTCGTTTCAAACGTTCGCCATTCTGTTTCCCTTATTTTACGCTTTCATGCAAATCAAATTATTAGAGAAATTTGATTGCCCTTTAAATGATATTCTTCGAGGCCATTATCATAAGCAGTATTCGTGAACTTTCTCATTCTAATGAAATGTCTCAACAAAGAGAGACGGTGTGTTTAAAAGATTGATTTGGCGAAAGGTGGGGGGGCGACATCTCTAATTTATAAAAAAAAAATTTTGAGTTTTATTAGTAAACTTCATTCAAATACAGGAACATTTCTTTCACAATACATAAATAAAACAATTTTATAAACAAGTCAATCATCAAGTGGTATAGTTTCATGAGTGATCACAAATTAACAATAAATAACAATATGATTTCATATGTGATAGCAACGCGGACCTGATTGCCATGACAGAAACCTGGCTGACGGACAATGATGCAACAGTTCTGCGTGAACTCATCCCTACTGCATATCGTTTTGTTCACCAACCACGGATGGGCCGTCGTGGTGGTGGAACCGGTCTCGCTTATAAAGAGACAATCAACGTCCATCAAGTTGCTGCGGGTGAAAAGGACTCCTTTGAGTTTGCAGAATATTCTATCTCATGTAAATCATTTCGCTTGCAACTAATTAATATCTATAGACCGCCCTATTCTGAATCACATCCCGTGACGGTTACATCTTCTGTATCAGAATTTAATGACTACATTCAATGTCATTTGTTGTCAAACACTCCTTTATTGATCATAGGAGATTTCAATATTCATGTGGATACTGCCAATGCAGATGCTAGACTCTTTGTAGATCTTCTCGAATCGCTTTGTTGTAAACAATTGGTTAATTTCTCTACACATGTACACGGTCACACCCTTGACATCATGATATGTCGTCAGTCTGATGATATCGTATTTGGGTCACCATGGCCACATAGTTCTATATTATCTGATCACATTCCAGTCATGTGTTTTCTAAACTCTTCTAAACCTCCATTGCCTTCTAAACTGATATCATTTCGAAAGCTGTCTGCTATTGATGTGAATAGATTGAAGTTAGACATCGCTGAAAGCGAGCTCTGTATGCACACACCTAGTACCCTCACTGAACTAGCTTTATTGTATGATACTACGCTTAGTGATATCTTAGAGAAACATGCCCCTGTTGTTACTAAACAGATAGTGTTACGTCCCCAAGTACCGTGGTATACTG